TGCAATGGTGGAGTGCACTTATAGGTAGGCGAAGTAATAGAAAATAGTGGTTAATTTTTTGTCGCTGGTAGATTGAAAAACTCTGGTTTTTGTGATAAATTAGGGAGAAGATAAGGGAGAAGGAAGAAGAGGAGTTAGGCGAAGAACCAATTGAAGATACGGGAAACCAAAATTCTCACGTGCTTGGGTTTCTGTAAAGTGAAGGGTGAAAAATAATAATAATAAATTAAAAATGTTAAAAACTCATTTAATGATGTGGCATAGCCAACTCAACAGCCACATCAGATGGTACACAAATATGGTATAAATAGATGGTCTCCCTAGCATTACCCTTATTTTTTTATTTTTTATTAATTGCAACATATATTTTGGGTATAATAGTGAAGATCCCTATAATTAATCTAAAATTTAATATGATGAATTAATGTCTTACTCCGTAACTTATTTATTTATTTTGTACTTTATTATGAACATGATTTTGAGATGGAGGAATAGAAAGAACTCATCTAAGTGCATAAATGGAGATTTGAAGAAACATCCAAATAAAGCAAGCGTCTTTTTTATATTTAGGCTTTCATTTTGGATATGTGTTAACCTCGGCTCATGTAGCTTTCGACACCATGAAGATTATTTGGAATTTCTCAACCATTCCCTGTTGCAACAACCCGAAGAATGTGATGACCATAACAACAGTACAAACCACATAGAAGGGTGCAAAGAAAAAGTTTATTATGGTTGTATTCAAAATATCTCAATAAAATGAAATAAGAAAGATCATCTCAATATGAATCCCATAGTGGCACTCACTCCAAATTTGTAGTAAAGAACACACCTAATAAGGCAATCTTCGGGTGTACAAACACCCAAGTTGATTGTGGTTAATACCGAATGTATACATAGTTCCAGAGAAACCGAAAATCATGTGCATTATTTGGTTTGGATGTTCTTCTTGGGGAAGTTGAAGGTTGGATTGTGGTCGTGGAGGTAAGTGAGTTTGGGGTTCCATTGAACGAGGGGAGTGGGGTTAAGGTTCCATTGAACGAGGTGAGTAGATTAAGAAGAGACCAAAAGGGATGATAGATTTATGTAGTCTCGTCATAAAACAACATTCTATAAATAAGTTAAAACCACATAAATAACCATACGTTCCAAAACTTGGAATAATAATGTTTAACCTAGATATATGCTTAACCAAAAAGCACTGTAATTTTTTCACTTGGTTTTATACAGTCTTGCTTTTTCACTATCGGTCACACCTTAATTTCTTACGTGGCTTACATGTACACACCACGCTATAAGAATTCTCCACAGTGACCTCACTGCCTTACTCACTAAGGAAAAAAAACATCATATCTCTTCTTTATCTCTTGAGATGTTTCATAGTATTTCAATCTAAAAGTAAAAACTAAAGAATTTTAGATATTATCTTGCTGTGTAAGAACAATTTGCGCATACAGTTGAAGGACTAGGCCACACTTCCATTGGGTATTACTGTGTGTTGTGTTGCTATTGCTCTAATAATAATAATGAGAAAGAGACAAAGAAAAAGCAGCAGTGGCGCAAGTGTACAATTTTCTATAATACCATTGGTTGGTCCAGAAGCGAAAAAATGTTTCTCTTTTCTCCCTAGACCTAAGACCCTAGTGAGCAAGAAGAGGAAAGCTGACTAGATCCCCGTTTCGCTTGGAGACAAAGGTATTAATTGTGCAAGTATTTGGGTTGTACTGCATGAGCATCAAGAGCTACGTACGTGCCAACTCTTTCTTATGGCAAACCAAAAAGCACCATAATTTTTCACATTTTTTTTAGTCTTGCTTTTCTCATTGGGTCATGTCATTGCAACCTATGGACACTATGACCAACTTGTGTAAAATCTCTTTAGTTGAGTTGAGATGGAGCCCATCAATATAATAATTTCTTATGTTTAGTTATTTTGAAATTTGATAAGTGTACAATTCAAAAAGAATTCCAAATCTATTTGGTTTAAGAAAATGGGAACAAATGGTTTCTTGTGTTTAGAGCATAAATTGTTCATGTGTTTAGTTCCATCCTTTGATTTGATTTCTTATTCATTGGTTTTTTTTTTTTTTACGAACATCAATATGCTTAGAATTAATTTAAAACTTAATGCGATGAATTAATATCTCATTCTATAACTTTTTTATTTTATACTTTATTATGAACAAGATTTTAGGATGGAGGAAAAGAGAGAACTCATTTGAGAGCGGAAATTGAAGATTTGAAGAAACATCCCAATAAAAGAAGTTTTTGCTTTTTTTTTTTTTTTTTTTGGCTTTCCTTTTGGATTTCTGTTTATACCTTAATCTCTCTCAATTTAACCTCTGTAATCTCTCGTTCGCTAATCTCTTTGCTCGAGAGCCTCAGCAATCTCTCACTCATGCCTCCGTGATCTCTTGCTCGAACTTCCACGATCTCTCACTTAAACGTTGAAATCCATGAGTTGTTCGCTTGAACCTCTGCAATCTCTCTCTCTCATTTCTAACATTAAAATATGTGAGTCATTTTTATAGTATTTCGAATTCGCGATTGTATGTATGTAGCTTAGCTAGTCCGGTGAGATATAATTGTTTCCTTGTTTGTTTTGCTTGCTAATTGTGTCTTTGAGTTTGAGGGGTTTTGAAAGCTAATTAAGCTAATTGTATGTAAGCAAGGGCGAACGCACGTTGGGACAAGAGGGGTCGAACGACCCCCTGGAAGGCTGGAAAGTTGGCAAGGGACTCCATGAAAGCCCCCTGGATAGCTGTTGGAAGCCCCCTTGTATGCACACCAAGTGCTCGATGAAAGTCTCAGGCCATTGTTGCGCCTTGCGCATCCCTTTTTTTTCAAAACAAGCCTTGCCAAACGACATCGTTTGGTCCAAGGCTCAATCAAATTTTTTTAAAAAATTGGCCTAGCCTCAAAACGATGTCGTTTTGGAGAAAAAAAACACAACACAACATCACTTCAACTCTATCTCCAAACCCTTCATTCCGAATTTCACAGCTCCTCTTCCCACCCTCTCAAACCCTAACCTCTCCCAACCTCCCAATCTTTGACAACCTCCATCAACTCTTCAACGGTGGCACAGTGCCGATCACCACCACCTTTTTTTTTTAACTACAAGTAATCATGACAAAATTTATATTAATAATTATAGTGATAATATACATTGTTGATATTTATATTTTTTTATGTAATGAAATTTATGGATATGAATCATATTGATTGATTGAGTTTATGCTTGAAATTTATGGATATGAATCATAGTGATAATCATATTAATGTAGATTGATTGAGTTTATGCTTAATTGATAATATGAATTGATTGAGTGTATTGAATATTGATTGATATGGGTTTAGGGAGTATATTGAATATTGAGAGTGGGTTATTGACATTTTCATATTCATATGATAATTTGAATAAAAATTAATGATTGATTGAATTAATTGATTTGTAGATTTATGGAACGATTCTTGAAAAGAAAATTATCTACGGATAGTCCTTCTCCGTCTAATCGGGGTAGTTCAAATGCAAGACAAATTGAAGTAGATGAGATCTTAGCTAATATTTAGGCAGACCCTGGACTAAGAACTCAAATGGCGAATTATAGTCCTAATATTCGGGATGAGACCCGAAGAGCATATTTACAAAAGGGACCTTGTCAACTTAGAAGTTATAAATTCCCACAAACTAATCAATGAGGAATTAATAGACGCTTCATTGCTCATTGGTTTGATGATCATGATTGGTTGGAATATAGTATTGTTAAAGATGTTGCGTTTTGTCTTCATTGTTATCTCTTCAAATCTAATTTTGATCAAGTGGGTGGTGATGCATTCACTGGGGTTGGCTTCAATAATTGGAAGAACGCGAAAAAAGATTTAACCTTCATGTTGGACCGGTTGGTAGTGCTTACAACCAACCTAGAGAAGTCGCTTACAATTCGATGCATCAAAATACACACATTGAAACAATTGTAATCAAGCAAACAAGCCAAGCCAAGCTCGCACGACTTATCGCACTTACTTGAATGCTTCACTTAAGTGCACTAGGTATTTGTTGCGACAATGTCTTTCTTTTCGTGGTCATGATGAAAGTGCACAATCAAGTAATAAAGGGAATTATTTAGAGCTCTTGCAAGTTCTTGCGGATCATGATGAAAAAGTTAAGGCCGTTATGTTGGAAAATGCTCCAGGAAATTTAAAGTTAATAGCTCCTTCAATTCAAAAAGATCTTGTCAATTCTTGTGCTAAAGAAACCATTGGTCTTATCTTGAGTGATATAAAAGATAGATATTTTTCAATAATGGTGGATGAAGCACGTGATGTTTCAATAAATGAGCAAATGGCGATGGTGCTACATTATGTGAACGACAAAGGACAAATAATTGAAAGGTTTATGGGGGTTCAACATGTAACCGACACTACTTCAAGTGCACTAAAAGAAGCCATTGATGAATTATTTTCTTCCGCGAATTTGAGCTTTTCCAAGTTACGAGGACAAAGTTATGATGGAGCTAGTAATATGAGAGATGAGTTAAATGGCCTTAAAACAAAGATTTTGAGAGAACAACCTTGTGCATTTTATGTTCATTGTTTTGTTCATCAACTTCAACTAGCTCTTGTTGCGGTAGCAAAGAAAAACATTGATGTCAACTCTTTTTTTCACATCGGCTAATAGTTTGGTTAATGTTGTTGGAGCATCTTGTAAGCGTCGCGATGCACTTAGAGCACAATACCAAGAAGAGCTTGTGAGAGCTTTTGAAGATGATTGTCTTATAACGGGGCGGGGCTTAAATCAAGAAACTACTCTCAAATGTGCCAGTGATACACGATGAAACTCACATTATGGTACGTTGATTAGTATCATTTCTATGTTCCCATCTGTAGTGAATGTGCTTTAAATGATTGTTGATGATAATCCTAATGATAGTTCGAGTGAAGCCTATAAGTTATGGAGAGAAATACAATCTTTTGAGTTTGTGTTTCACTTATTTTTAATGAAAGTTATATTAGGAATAACAAACACTTTGTCTTTAGCATTGCAAAAGGAAGATCAAGACATTGTGAGTGCAATGAGTTTAGTAAAAATATGCAAGAAAAACCTGCAGTTGATGAGGGATAATGAGTTTGAAGAATTGGTTGAGCAAGCATCTTCGTTTTGTTACAAACATGATATTACAGTTCCTACCATGGATGAGGAATATGTAATTCCAGGGAGATCACGGCGTAATGCTCCAATGAAGACAAATTATCATCGTTACTGTGTGGAGATCTTTATTCATGTAATTGATGGGCAACTTGCGGAATTAAATGATCGCTTCAACGAGGTAAGTACTGAGTTACTTACTTGTTTGGCATGCTTGAGTCCGAAAAATAACTTTGTAGCTTTTGACAAACGAAAGCTAGTTTGTCTTGCTCAATTTTATCCTTTTGATTTTTTAGATAGAGACTTATTGTTGCTTGAAGATCAACTTGGTGTTTATGTTCATCATATGCGTTCGGGTAGTGATTTTTCTCAATTGGAAGGGATTAGTAGTCTTGCGGAAAAAATTGTGGAGAAAAGAATGCATGAAATATTTCCTTATGTGTATTTGCTTTTTACATTGGCTTTGGTTTTACCGGTTGCAACTGCTTAGTGGAGAGGGCATTTTTCCCCATGAATATTATTAAAAATCTACTTTGCAATAGAATGGGAGATCAATGGTTGAATGATAGCTTGATTGTTTACATTGAGAAAGATGTTTTTGCTTGTATTGATAACGAAACTATAATGCAACGTTTTCAGAATATGAAAACTCATCGTGGACAATTGTAACTTATATTATTGGTTTTGTTATGAATTATAAATGGAAGTACTATCTTTATATCTTTTTAGCATTATTTTCTTTGTAGAAAAATTTCAGAACTTTTACACTAAGCCCCCTTGGCCACATAATCCTGGATCCGCCATTGTATGTAAGTAACTTATGTAGTAGTATGTGATCGTTTTCTTATACTAACAAGTCCAAGAATATGATGATCATGACTACATTGTAGACTCTACACCTCAAAGAAAAATAGTGTTATGTTGAGTTCAAAATGTCCCTATATATCCCCAACAAAAAGGTAAAGATACCTCATAAAATTAAATAATGAAGCATTTTTCGAGTGAACCAAACATGAAGAATCATCCCAATGTGAGCTCCACAGTGACACTCACTACGAATTTGTAGTTTGTAGGAACACACCTACTAAGACTATTTTCTAGTGTACAAATATATTTCTCATTCTCCTCAAAACTTATGTTTCCAAGTTGATTGTAGTTGAGATTGAATATATACATTGTTAAGGAGAAAGCGAAAACCATGTTCATTATTTATTTTGGATGTTCTTCCTGAGGAAGTTGGAGGTTTGGTTATTGTCGCAGAGGTGAGTGAGGTTGGAGTTCCATTGAAGAAAGTGAGTGGGTTTGGGATTTCATTAAATAAGGTGAATAGGTTAAGAGTAGACCAAAAGGATGATGGATTTATATAGTCTCGTCATATAACAACCCTCCATGAATAGGTTAACTAGCATAAATAACCATACGTATACCAAAAATTAGAACAATGAATGCTTAACCTAGATACATGCTTAGAATTAATGTAAAACTTGATGCGATGGATTAATGTCACACTCTATAACTTTTTCAACCCATCACACACATAATTGTCAAATCTTTCAACTCATCAATCACACATAACACAAGTCTTGAGGATAGAGACTGATTATGATGCAGGGAGATGCGATTCAAGCAACAATTAGAGAGATCGATTATGACTTTGTAGCTTCAAGGATAAAGACTGCATGTGTTTATGACATCGGTTATTTTTATATCGCAAAGAGCAAACCGTCATTTCAAGTCGTTCCACATGTTGCATCATTGATCTTTAATGCAAGAACCGTTTTCAAAAAATTATTAAATGTTCAACCAGTAATTCCAACACATCGTTTCAACTTTCTTGATTACAACCACATATCCTCTCAAATAAATGATAATTCAATTCTAAAATGTAGCAATTTGCATACACATACAATTAGTTTTTTTAAATGAAGTTTTGAGTACTTGAGGTTTTACATATTCTAATAATCTTATAATGCTATTTTGTTAAATTACAAGATGTTCTGGGCCACATCACAGTTGTGCAAGATCTAGAAACCAAAATGGTTGACAACAAGAGGCTTAAAACAAAGTGTGAAATTTACTTTGAGAATATAAGGTAAAACTGTTAACAAAACATCTATAAATTGTCAACCTATTAGCTTTCTTATTAAATTAGTTTTTTTTCCTCTGTTGCTACAGGAGAGAGAAAATTGGAGTCACTTTATGGGGTGATACTGTTGGAAGTTTAAATGAAATTCAAGGATACTTGTCCCACATTGGTAAAAAGTAGAAAAAGTGAGGTCTTTATAAGTGTGGAAGTCTCACACAAAGTAAATGGAAGTTGGCCAAGTGCAAGCCAATTGGGCTTCAAAAACAATTTGGGTTTTGAATATTATATAAAAATATATAATATTTAATGGTAAAAAAGATGGGCATTGGGCCCACTTAGGCAATTTCATATTTAAATTAATTTTTTTAAGTTTCGAATTAATAATTTTTTTTAATTCGAATTAGATTAATTAACTGTTTTCTAACAGTTGTGACTCTTCTAATAAAGTTTCAGAGCTTTATTTAAATCAAATAAAGCATCGTTCATTTTACACTAAAAAACATTTTACAAGCATTTTACATTGTCTGAGAGGAAAACAAACAAAGTTCGCCAGATTTTAAATCCTAGTGCTAGGGCTTAAAATACAGATAGTTGAATCCTCGGAGGCAGTCACTTGTAGAACTTCAAGCACCGAGAATGGGTGAAAGTATTGTCTTTAGGACACTGCATCAAATCTACAAGTCTCTATCTCGAATCCAAGTCGATTTTATTTGTTGTTGTTTATTGTATTCTGTATTATAGTTTGTATCTATTTTGTTGATATTGTTAATATATAATTATTTTAAAGGCTTATTTACTGTAACGCCCCCTGAAACTTCCGTCAAATCTCACATTACCCCCCCCCACCCAAAGTTAAAATGGCTCACTTAACCTCCTTGACCTTGATTTCGTGTTTTACTTTACCTCATGCCGTTATCTCCATTAATAACTCTGTCAGTTTTGATGACGTGGCAAGGCTATTTTAGTTGTTTTACCACAAATGATGACGTGTCATGTGAATGGCCCACTTTTTGTTTAAATTGAATTAAATAAATAATAAAATAATGTAATTATTTGTTTAATTAAAATATATATAATAGAAAAATTAATAAATAAAAATATTTTTTCACTTTTTTTTTGGTGTAATCTTTTTTCACTATGCTTTAAAAATTAAATTAAATTAAATTAAATAAAAATAAATAAATAAACCTCTGCCCAGATCCAACTCTCCCCAAAGATCAATCCTTATCCCCTTATCCTCCATTCTATCTCTTCTCTCTGCAACCAACCTCTGCACCATCGTTCACAACCACCCAAACCCACCACCACCCATACCAGCCATACCCATCTTGTCTAAAATTTGTTATCATATTCAACATGTCTTGTTTCTTTCTTCTTTCCAATTAGCAAAAATGTTCCACTTAGCATAGACAATTCTTAGTAGTTCAACCGAAATGCATAAAGCTTTTTTTTTTTTTTTTTTTTTTTTTTTTTTTGTTTTTTTGGTGAGAGAGGGGAAAAGCCCCAAAAACAATTACACAACAGCAATAAGGTGGGTTCTATGAACTCCCATCAGATCCTCCCCTAGGTGAGCCCCTACCCACCTAAGAATATCAGCAAAGGAAACAAGTCCCAGAACAAAATTGAAACTCCCCTTAGCCAAGCAGTATGCAACCATATTCTTCTCTTTGTAGACTTGCTTCACCACACAATTATCAATTTGATGCATAAGTTCCCAACAACTGGATAGCAAAGTAGCAGAGGATGAAAACCAAATATATTGGAATTCTGAAAAAGTAGAATTGCCGTAGTAGAATCCATTTCAACAATCAAGTTGTTGATTCCCTTTTGCACAGCAAGTTTTAGGCCAAAAAGCAGTCCCAAAATCTCTGCTTCTAGGATCTGACCTTTCCCAAGGTTGATTGCAAACCCCCTAGTCCAGTAATGCGCTAGCTTCACCGTGGTCACCTAGAGCTGTACAAGCTCTTTGGATTTTGTTCACCGTGGAGATCAGGTTCTACATTGCTGGCTTGGGAGATTGATAGCAATAGGAACTACAAAGTCAGACTCAGATCGCTTAGATCTGAGGCGAGCTTGAAACGTTGACGTTTCAGAGACCCAGATATGCGAAGAAATGAAGACGACAATGGGCCAGAGAGAGAGAGAGAGAGGCTGGTTGGGGGTATGGGTGGTTATGTTTGGTGGTGTCTTTGGGTTGGTTATAGGAAGAGGAGAAAGAATGGTGCCATTCTTTGGGGAGAGTTGGATTTGGGTAGTTTTTTATTATTTTTAATTACTTAATTTAATTTAATTTAATTTTTAAAGCAGAGAAAAGAAAGATTTTTATTCATTAATTTTTCCATTATATATAAGCATTATTTTGTTATTTATTTAATTCAATTTAAACAAAAAGTGGGCCATTCACATGACACCTCATCACTTGTGGTAAAAATGCTAAAATAGCCCTGCCACATCATCAAAACTAACAGAGTTCTTAATGGAGATAACGGCATGGGGTAAAGTGGAACACGAAATTACGGTCAAGGGGGTTAAGTGGGTCATTTTAACTTTAGGGGGGGTAAAGTGAGATTTGACTAAAGTTTCAGGGGGTACTATAGTAAATAAGCCTTATTTTAAATAATAACTTATTATTATTTTTCCAACAGACACAACAAAAACTTTCGATGTGAAAGCTTTACAACAGTTAGTTTCGCTTACATTTGTGGTTTTTACAAGCCTAAAGTTAAAGAATTTCAAGGTATGCAATTTGTGGTTCTGTGATGCAATTTGTTTCTCATTCTTTCTAATCTCTTATTTATCAATATGCAGGACAAACTGCCTTAAATAGCACCATTTCAACTTTGCTTTTCATCAACCTAGGTATACCAGAATTGCAATCATACAAAACATTGTATGATATTTTACCTTCTTTTTCTAATATGGATGTGCATTTGTCTTTTAATCGAACCAATGCAGTTTCAATCATTTGACAAACCCTATAAGAATGATGCCACCTTCTGCAATGCCACGACTAGCGCCTCAACAATTAGGCAACTCTAAAAGACTCTCTGTGGCTAAATTGAATGTTATTAATCCAGACATGTATAAGCTACAAACATCAATGTCCTCCTTTTAGGTTTGTATTGCTTCCAATTTAATACACAATCTGACAATTATTAGAAGCCAGACTTATTTCATTTCCCTGCCATTTTTTATCTCATAATTGTTTTCATAAAATTAACCAATTTCCTTAAACATGTTGTTGAATACTTTTATTATATGTAGAGCGGCCATTACGCATTTTGATATGCGTGGTGGATGGTGGTATCATGCATGTCCATCTTGCTTCAAGCAGCTAAGAACCATTGCCCACAATGATTGGCTGATGTGTCCAAAACACATTACAATAGACCAAGCCCCTCTCCCTTGATAATATAAATAACAACAATTATTTTCATATATTCTTTCCATAGAGTTTGACCGCAGCTATGCTTAATATTATAACATCTCATAAATTTGAAATCCAGGTTTAACGTGGGATTGATTCTCGAAGATACAAAGCGATGAGGCAAATGTCATGATTATCGGAAAAGCAGCAGAGCAATTATTTGGAATTTCTTGCTATCAGTTGGTAGTTGAAAAAGGTTTTACAAACCAAGAAGAATTCTTCAAGTCAAAGGCCAGTACATACTTTTTCAGCTGCGCTTTGAAGCAATTAAAAATGATTTGAACATAAGTGATCTCTTGATTCAAGTTGTGTTTGAAGACATTGAGCTGCTGCTCGAATTAGGCTTCAACCCATCTCATCAAGCGTTAGTTCAATATGAAAAGAATGACACACTTGGCCAAATATTTCCATCCACTCTGCCATTGATCTCAAAAGAAACTTCAACTACACCACTTACTGCTTCATCCACCTCTTCTCCAAACGAACACACATCCACCTCTAAGAAAAAGGCAAGAATTGCTATGAAAAAAACGTCTTTCACTTATCTCATCCAAACACACACAAAATTCAAAAGTTAAGAATTTATATGACAATTCACTTCTTGATATCAATAATTACATATCAATTAATATATATATTCTCTTTTTTTTTCTTTTTTTTTTCATGTATCCAAGTCATGTTACAATTGAAAAGAAAACTGACAATTCATGTTGTAAAAGCTCCAGAGAAAGATATATCAAATTGTGATGATGCCCTGCTCATTTCTCTCAAAACCAAGATTGCATCAGGTAATGTGGGAATCACCATTTCTGCCCCAAAAAAGTAGTATACATTATTTCACCCAAATTTCCTTTATTTAACTCAAATTCAGAACATATCAATACTTTTCCCTTTACTTTTTTTTTGAATTTTTCATGTAAAATTTGACTGTTTGGTTGTTTGTGTTTGTGCATGCACTCAACAACATTATTTTTGGATTTCTCTAGTAAGCACTTACTCTCATAACCGTTTCTAACAAAATCGCTTTTGTTTTTTATTTTTTATAAACAAGTTCTTTTCTAGCAAAAAGGCAGCCTTAAGCCCCAAATCCAACTCCAGCACACGAAGTCCAGCTCGAGTAAGGCATGGGACCCACCAGGCTGGGTAAGCCCACGAGCAAAATTGGACTGGGTTGTTGCTCGAAGGCTGTTGACATTAGTCGTGACGTCACGGCTGACAGACACCAACGGGAAGAAGCCATGTGGCGCTTCCCGGAAGCTCCGATCAAATTTTTTCCAGAAATTCGATGGCAAAAAAATTTGAAATTAAAAAAAAAAAATTTTTAAAAAACCAAAAAAATTATAGATTTTTTCCTTATAAATACCTAACAATTTTATTCACTTTCCACACCAAATCTTCAAACTCTTCTCCTTCCAATATTTTTACTTTCCACTCACATTTTTTACTACTTTCCATTTGTATCAAAAAAACAAATGTCATCTTTCATCGAAGCCGGAGGCGTGTGAACAACTCAAGAAGATATTGTGTTGTGTGAGTGTTAGGGGAAAATTGGTCATTGCACGATGATGGGCAATGATAAGTTCTCTCATATGTGAAGAAAAATTCATGGAGAATTTTGTGAAAGATAGGTTCGCCTCAGATGGAAATGGCCTTGGCTAGTAGGTGGAAAATTTTGAATAAAGAGTTAGGGAAATGGAGAGATGCATTGGCAAAATATTGTTGACGAGATAAAATATTTATAAATGCCTTTTATTCAATTTGATGTAAACTCTTTTTTTTTTTCTTGCATTTCCAATTTGTTTATATTTTCTTGCATTTTCAATTTTTTTTTAAATAGATTATGCAAGCACAACTGTGGTTCGGTGCCATGGGCTAAGATAAAAAAAGTTTCATGGATCCCCAATGTTGGGACGTTGTGAAGAATTGTCTGAGATACAAAATTATCTCCACTGGTCATATGATTGTGTTGAATGAGACGCCGCTCCACGATTCATCGGCAACCAATTCTCCATTGGACGCCCCAATGGATTAAGACTCACCAATCCATCGTGAGCCGAGACTTATTGGGAGAAAGGTGGCAAAGGCCAAGAGAGGGGGCACTTCGAACAATGAATGGGCACAATTTTTGTAGCAAATTGCTAGGAATAGTGCACTGAGAAGTGAGAGAGACTTAAAAAGAGAAGAAGCAGACAAGGCACGACATGAAGCATATGCAATTCAAAGGCAACATGCACAAAAACAAGACATGTATGACAGAGAGATGAAAATCATGGCCATGGATACGAGTCATATGTCTCTTGAAACAAAATCCTATTGGAAGCTAAAATAAAGGGAAGTTATGAGAAGAAAGCTTTTCCATGACGATGGACCTAGCAACATGGATTAGTTAAATGATCAAAACCATTAGGTTGTATTGAAAGAGTTGCCATATATATTAATTTGTTGTATTCTTTCCCTTTTATTCAATAAAAAAATCATTAAATAATATAGCTATTTATTAAAAATATTTCATACATCAAAACAAAGCATAATTAAAAACAAACCTTAATTCATTAAAAATCACACACAAAACAAAGCATAATTAAAAACAAATCTTAATTCATTACAAAACTACACACAAAATAAAGCATAATTCCAAACAAACCACACATAAAACAAATCATAATTCCAAACAAAGCATTAAACTTAACTTCATCCACTATGATTGCCTTTCATCTCCCATAAGTGCTCGATTAAGTCAACTTGACGTCTCTTGTGAACATACGAAGATTGCATTTCCTGATTAGGGTCAATCATTGGGTTGTTGTATCGATCATCCCGAATTAACAGTTCGTGCTTCATTGGTTGTCCATTTGCTCCTATTGACCTTTCATAATTCTTGTCAATGTCGTGTTCATGGGATTGGGTTCGAACACCTCTGGAGTATCATAATCATACTCATCCTCCACAATTATGTTATGGAGGATGATGCAAATCATCATAATACTCTGCAACACTTCCACATCAAGCGTTTGAGCAACGCCCCTAATAATTGCTCAACGAGCTTGAAAGATACCGAAACACTTTTCCACATATTTCTTATAACCTTCCTAAAAGGCAGCAAAGCTTTTTTTCTTCTTAGATTGGGGATTTAGAATTGTTTTCATGAATGTCGTCCACCTCAGATAAATTCCGTCTGCAAGGTAGTATGCACTCGAGTACACAGTATTATTGATTTGATACGTGATGTATGGAGAATGACCTCTCAAGACATCGTTGAATACCGGGGATTGACCAAGCTCATTGAGGTCATTCTTAGATCCGACAACTCCGAAGAATGCATGCCAAACCCTAGTGTCGAATGAAGTTACAGCCTCCAGAATTATACTTTTTTAGCCTTTTTTTTATTCTCATAATCTTCTTGCCAAGCAGTTGGGCAATTCTTCCACTGTCAATGCATACAGTCGATGCTTCTAATGCCTGGGAAACCTCGAGCCTTGTTTTTTGTACAAGCCTTTGGAGGTCCCTAACAATAGGTTTGCGGAGGTACTCCCTCGTGTAGAGATTTTCTATTGCATCACAGAATCTGACCAAACACTCTAAGATAGTTGATTTCCCCATTCTATCAATCTCATCCACTTGCTCTGCAAATGCCCCATACGTAAGCATTCGCAAAACAGTTATAAGTTTTTGCTCCGGAAGAAGACCCAAAACCCCAACGTCATCATACTTCTGAATGAAGTATGTGGCGTAATTGCAAACATCATGCATGATTTTTTTGGAACAAATGAGGCTGCATTCTATATCTCTCTCAAAAATGAGAAACAAGATATAACAAATTTGGGATAAAGTAATCTTCCAAGAGATTCTTACCCTGAGAGTGCCTATGTCTGCCCACGTTGGGGGCACTACGACGGTGGTGTTGCCTTGATTCATGGAGCATACACACCGCTAAAACAATTTCTTCATCCTCTTTATCCAACTCACGATCTTCTTCAGCACATATATGCCTGATTTCTTCCTCTTCTCGTTTTTGCCTCTCTAACACCCTTCTCGGGTTAGACATTGAGAGTAGAATGTGTTCTGTAAAATCTAAAAAATGAAATAATATAGAAGATATGATGTGAGAGGTATGAGTTGAGGGTGTAGTTTTATAGAGGGATTTAGAAGATAGAGATGACATGTGGCACAATTTTAGAGGATGAAAATCTTATCTGAAATCTGATAGTGGAATTTTTATTAAATATCCGAAAATCTTATATGACATAAGACATGTGGCACAATTTTAGAGGGTGAAAATCTTATCTGAAATCTAAGATGAGAATGTTTTAATAAATATCCGAAAATCTTATCTGAAATGAGACACGTGGCAACCGAAAATCTTATCTGAAATTTGAGATATGAATGTTATAACAACATATGGATAGGTGGCAACCGAAAATCTTACCGAAAAATTTAATTCGAAAATGTTATCTGAAATTTTAGGTGAGAATTTTATAATAAATAGTGACACGTGGCAATTGAAAATATTATTCGAAAAGCATATCAAAATTAATGGTTTAAGTATAAAAATAGAAAATAAATTAGAGTGAATAGTGTTTGCCATTGCCCTTGCCCTTTGGAGTGAAACTAAAAACGGTAAGGCTACCAATATTCACGTGAATAGTGACAAACCTTGCCTTACCTTTGGGGTGGAGGTGCTCTTACTCTATTGTGTTTTCCCTCAATTTTAAGCTTTTCTATTCAAAGTTTTACTATAATGATACGTGGTTTAACCTTAAATTTCGAAAAGCTTTCCCTTCTGTTCATTTGATGCCTCATGTAGTTGTTTTTTTTCCTTTCAATTATGACATAAATTTGATAGCATTTCTATTCTATGCAATTTTTTCCCCATATGGTTGTTTATAGATTGTTACTATCTCTATAACTTACTTATCTATCATTAGGTCATTAGGTTATCTTATTTTTGTTTGTAGATCATTAGGTGTTTAAGATTATTTAAATTTATGTTTGTGCAATTTATGTTGTTGGCCTTAATTCTTTAACGATAGTCATTGTCTTCACTAAAATTTTCTCATTTCTCTACACTAACATCTGCCGTTTACCATATTGATGACAACAGATTCAACACCCCTTGATTTGATTCTATTAAAGTTCAAGTATTTTTGCTTAAATCTCTTATACATCTTTAATAAATTGTCACAATTGTCCTCAGTTTGTTTTCAATTGATTTGACAAATTGAACTTATACTTTTGTCTGTCAAGTTAATACAATACTTGATATATTTGCATTATTGTTTATCATGTTTAATTTTTTAACTTAATTCTATCATATTAGTTATTGCCCTCACTCAAAAATTTTTCATTCATCAACATTAACACATGGCATTTTCTAACTTTATGGGAACATAGTTAAAATCTCTGCTGAGGAAAATGAGCATAAGTCGGCTCTGCAGCAAAGCCAGCAACAATCAGATCCCCTTCGAACATACATTGAAAAGGAAAAATCCCCTTCTACGACCCAATAACATATAGATAAACAATTGTACAAGCTATGTTGAACAATGCATAGCTCAAAAACTTCTCATATTTTGATGTTTTTATATCTGCTTGATCTATTAAAATGTGCCAAATATTTTAAGATATCAAACATGTTATTAGTTTATCTTTTGTAACTAAAACTTGGAAAACCAACATAGATGACACTATTTACATTTTCATGTATATATAAATAGAACGATGTTCCCTGCCTATTTTCATCTTTTTATACACATTTCACACAATTTTAAAACCTACAACATCGCATGGGCACCTTTTTCTAGTGCATTCCTAATAAAGATAGGAAGCAAGTTTTATATTTAGTGTAAAACTTGATTCAATGAATGATTAAGATGAAATTAAAATGAACTTCGAATAGATACGTAATTAATAAAGCAACCATGTGATAAATGATCTATGAACGTTCTTAATTTCTTAGGTAAAAAATTTGTGTCATTTTTTTTTCTTTTGAAAAACCTGTGTCATTGAGAGCATGAACTATTGCATATTTTACTTTTTCAGTGCAATGGCTTCTCTTGGGTTGGTAGTCTTTATGGTGGGGGCTCCTAGTGCTGACTTTTGATATGCCTTACCTCATCATCACATTGGGTGACCTAATATTCATTTAGGTTGCTTATTGGGTCGTGCTTTGTGCTATTCTTGTATGTTTCTTCTTTATCCTTCTCTATGTCATCGCATGTCATTTTACTGGTATTTTGATCTTTAGACTAGTGTTCAAAGAGAATTGGAACGATACCACAATGGTGAATGCATTGTTTGCGGATGGTAGATGGGTTGGATACCCTTTTATGTGTTTTTTTTTATTGGGATTTAAAGATGATGGTGTTGTTAAAAGGATTAAGAACATGTTGTTATTGTTGTGATATTGTATATTTGTATAGTTTATGCATGCAAAGTTTGAGAAAATATTATTATTATGTTTTCTACATGTGGAAAATTTGGTTAATGTTCTAATTACAAGGGAGACTATTGAATTTTCGGCATCAGTGAAACATTTAGGCCTCGTTTGTTAGGGAGGATTAGACTAGACTAGCAAAGTGGCTACAATTCATGTGCAATCAAGGCATAATATGGATATTGTTGTCTAAGTTGGAGGATAAAAGAGGACTATTTATAAGAGTTTGATCTAAAACTTATCCCTTCTAATCCCACAACAACCTCTTGCAGATAGTCCCCATTTTCCCTCCAAGTTAGGCAACATATCCATGTTATGTTTTGAATATATGCACTTGAAATTATAGGCATTTTGCTAGTCTAGTCTAGTCTAATCCTTCCTATCAAACAAGCCCTTAATCTTCTAGTAAGGGTAGTTTAGTAAGTGGGCCGGACATTTGACGGATGTCGGACATGCATAGGACCTCTCCCAAGTTCAGAGGGGGAATTTGAGGGCGGGTCATGTGGTTTTTGCTAAAATATTTAAGATGGGTTTGGGAAGGTGCATAGGAAGTGGATGTGAATGTATGTGAAAAAAGTGGGTGGATTAAGACTTGCACAAATGATGAGTTTGAGGTTTGGTTGGGAGTGTCCATGAATGGAAATTGGGAGGTATGTTTTGCTTCTTTGTATTTCGATTGTGAGAGAGAGAGAGAGAGAGAGAGAGAGAGAGAGAGAGAGAGAGAGAGAGAGAGAGAGAGAGAGTGAGTGAGTGGTTGGTAGGTTGGCCTTGGTGGTATAAGCAGTGGATTAGTGGCTTGTGAGGGCTAGCTAGTGTCGAGGATGGGGTATAAGAAGGGAATGGGATTTCTACTTTTTATGATTTTGTTTGTTTTTATAGCTAGGACTTTCTAAGAGTTGTTGCATAGGTTAATTTGGGTGGTAATGACTTGTTTCTTCAAAAGCTCGACGATCATTTTCCCATTGCGGGAAACTTGTCTTTCAATTCAGAAGGCTCTGATTGCATTTCCTTAAACTAGACAACCATTTCTAGATACATGTGTTACCGTACTCTTCACTTAAAGGCAAGATCCCTGGTCAATTTATTCATCCCAAAATGCCTCAAGTGTGAAAGTTTCGAGAGCTCTAAGAGCATCCACAATGGTAAGGTGTACATAGAGGTGTATGTCAAATATACATATTTGGTTGTCGGAATGTCCTGTAATGGGGAGGCGTATACAGCTATAAATGTACATCATAGCCGTGAGATGGGAAAAAAGATGCAAATGTACATCTAATTTTACACCCAGCCAAGTGGGTCTTGTAATAGAAAATCCAAGAGAGATGAGAGAGGAAAGCTGCCTAAATGATAGGGAAGTTATTAAAATGGTCGGCCCAGGGCTTGGATGAGATTTATTAAAATGAGGAAGTTATTAAAATGATGCAAATGTACAAAATTCTTCTCCAACAACTCTCTAATGTATGGCCATATTTCATTCAAATTGAAATATGAAAGTAACAATTACACTGATTAATGGTGAAAAACAAATCCATATCAAAGCCGATGGTTTAGATTAATTTTATTTACATCATATTGAATAAAATTATATCTTATCGGAATTTGAAAATTTTTACGTCAAGAAAAATAATTAAACCTAACACACAAAAGTATTAACATAAAAAAAAATAACACAAAAAATGAATTAATACAAGAAAATCGAATTTACATCTTTGAATTTGCATCAAACTCATTGGAGCAAAAATAATATTTACATCTCCCAAAGGTTAAAGGAAATGTAAAAATGGCTTTACACATCCGAATTTACACTTCCCCACTATAAATGCTCTAAGATTAAAAAGATGGTGAACCTTTCAAATTACACTAACAAAATCATAGTTTTGCTAAATATTGTTAATTTTGCTGAATATTGCTAAATAGTTTTGCTAACAAAATCAAATTACACTCAAGGAAATACAATAAATTTTGTTAATTTATAAAAACAAGAATATAACTTAATTGTTGTGGTATTCTTACTAAATAGAAAATGTTTGCCATATCAAAACAATCCAATTAAAGAATTACATATGCTCAAATTTGTAAAATAGATCATTGTTTAACTAACACTGTTCCGGAGTAAGAATTATAGAATAAAATTAATTTTCCATGTCAACAGATAATTCATAATATAATTTCAAAATCTTTTTTCTCGAAAAAGTGATATTATAAAGAAGCTAATCCACGTCTTTTATTTTAAAATTATTTTTATGGTTTACGTATATAATGAAATGTACACTTTTTAACTCAGTTTCAGTGGTTCCATCTCTCTCTCTCTCTCTCTCTCTCTCTCTCTCTCTCTCTCTCCCTACTGCAGGCGGGAAACTGATAATTGGGATCAAAACCCTCCCTCCAAAAACCGCAGAGACAGACTGACAGATCCGTCCCCCTTCTTTCTTTCTTTCTGTCCTCTTTCTTTAAAACCCCAACCCTAACCTAACCACGCAAACAGAGTCACAGAGACGCACAAACACATACAGAGAGAGAGCAAAAGCGAGAAAGCCCCCCTTCTTTTGCTCTCTCTCCCTTCTTCATGGCATTTCCCCAAAAGCACCAAAACGACGACGCCTCAATCGACATCCACACCTCCACGCCCCTCCGCTACCTCTCCCTGGACCACGTGTATTCGGCCACGTCGCCTTGCGTCAGCGCCAGCGGGTCCTCCAACGTCATGTCCAAGAAGGTCAAGGCTCGCAAGCTCAATCACTTCGACGATGGCGATCAGAATCACCAGAAGCCCTCCCCGAAACCCTCAATTGTCAATGTCTACTCGCGCCGCGCCAAGAGGCCCCGCCATTACGAACGGAGCTCCTCGTTCTTCGATGCTTTGGTGGCCCGGAATGAGTCCCCAGCGGCGGCGGTGAAGATTGAGGAGGCTGATGGAGATGACGAATTTGAGAGGGGTTTGGACAAGAAGAAGAGGAAGCTCGGGATTAACGAGTTACTGAAATTGGGGGTTGATTCTAGCATTCTGTGTAATTTGGACGGGCCTCGATTGAGAGATTCTCGCAGCAATCATAAACTCGATAGGAGTAAAAATGGAGAGAAATTGCGGCTGAAGACGCGGAATTCTTCTGTTAGCTGCGAGAAAATTCTTTCGGATCCTTCTTCTGTGAAGAAATGGGTCGGGTATGTATTTAGTTTAGGGTTTCAATTTTTTCTTTCTTCTTTTTTTTTGGTCGAAAGGGTTTCAATTCTTAAACAATTGGTTCTTGAGAAAGTGTTAATGGTTGATTTTCAACAGGTTGAGTTTCAGCGACGTTGATCCTAAAACTTTTATTGGATTACAATGCAAGGCAAGCACTCTGTAAGCTGTTTTTGACATTTTTTAAAGTTGTTTTTGAGGATGTGAGCATAGCATTGCTGTGCTTGTAGGAAATTCTGAAACTTTGCTTGTTGTTAAGTACAGGTCTATTGGCCATTGGATGCTAATTCGTATTCTGGTCGCATTGTGGGTTACAACTCTGACACTAATAGACATCAAGTATGATTCATTTCCATGCTCTCTTCTTTGTTTGATCGTTCTTATGTTGTTGAGAGCGCTCGAGTATGCAAAAGTTAGAGCATTGCTTACGAACTTGTTGGAGCCATTACTTATGAACTTTGCAATGTAGGTTGAATATGAAGATGGTGATGAGGAAGATTTGATTCTATCAAATGAGAGAATCAAATTTTATATTTCTCGGGAAGAAATGGAGAGTTTGAATTTGAGTTACAGTCTGAAGAGTATGGATAATGATGTCTATGATTATAATGAGATGGTTGTGTTGGCTGCGAGTTTGGATGACTGCCAAGAACTAGAGCCTGGGGATATCATATGGGCCAAGCTTACAGGTGTGTGCTTAATCTACTGTTTTGATTTTGTTTTCACTTGTTTTTAATTTTCTTATGGCCTGAGCAAGAGTATGTCCAAATATAATAAACCAATTAGATGAAGGTGTAAATGTTTTCACATTGTAAACCCCTTGCTTGCGTTGGAAAAAAAAACCTTTTTCTATGATTGTATCTTGGACCTAACAGGCTAGTTTTCTGCCTGTAATTTTCCTTATCCATGCAAAAGTGCTGTAATTTTCTGCCATTTCATAATGGTGTAAGAACAGGCCAAAATCTCCGTAGGAGCAATTCAGCACAGAGAGGGACCTTTTTATGATTTATGCACTAATAGGATGTACACTTACATAATCTCGCTGCAAATGATTGGTTTTCTTTGTGTTTTATGTATGTATATATTGTTTTTGCGGATAAGAATCAGAAACCTTTACTGAAAGAAAGAAAAAAAAGCTACAAAAAGAATCAATAGTGCTCATCAAAATCAGTCCTAGAAACATGAAGCAAATAACATACTTATTTTATTTTTTAAATTGAAATTGTCATACTTTGGGTATGGGATCATTTCATCTTCCCTGATTGTTACTTGGCTTTATTTAAAAGACGTATTAGGTTCTGGTGATCATAGAGATAAGTTTTCAGTTACATGAGTTATAAGTTTCTTCCACTGTTATACATCTATTTTTCATTTCTTTGATTTTGCACCAACTGGTGATTTCAAATATTCGATTTCACACAAACTACTTTCAACTGCTGTAGTGCAGGTTATGCTATGTGGCCAGCAATAGTTGTGGATGAATCCCTTATTGGTGATCGTAAAGGCTTAACCAAAAGTTTGGGAGGACGATCAGTTCCAGTGCAGTTTTTTGGTACCCACGACTTTGCAAGGTTTGGGATTCTTTGACATTTTGAGGAGATTTTATGTATCTTAGTGCACTTACCATACCTGAATTCCTCTTTTTCTTTTAATCTGACCTCACCGTTTTTCTGTTGTGATTTATACAGGATTAAAGTGAAACAGGCAATCTCATTTCTCAAAGGACTTCTTTCTTCATTCCATTTGAAGTGCAAGAAGCCTGGATTCATCAAAAGCTTGGAAGAAGCAAAAATGTAATCTTATATCATTTTTGACATGACCTTTTAGTTTTTTCATGGTGTTGAACTCAAAATTTATAATCATACATCTGATTTCATTTCTTAATATGATCATGCATACATCATAATTTATATTTTTTAACATGGCCATGCGTCCATCACAAATCAAGCATCTTTGGAGTATCTCTGCATGCTTTCATATGATGTGCAAATATATAATCACCTAGGTGGCATAGTTTTCATGAGACAATTTTGTACTTAACTCTAATAAATGTTAATGTGTAAGTAGTGTATGTTTTTGAGACATTATCATGTGTACCTATGAACTTGGAGGCTATGAGATTTAAATGGATAATATTTGAATATCCGCACTTACTACATTTTGTAACTTTCACTGGATATGACTGCCTCAATCAGATTTGCTCCAAACATTTGTAAGATTCGGGTATTTTGTTTAACAATGCAATATGAAGACCTTAATTATTGCATAACTGAGTACCAACTAGTCAAATCTTTTGGTTATCATCAGGTATCTCAATGAACAAAAGCTTCCAAGAAGAATGCTACGGCTGCAAAATGGAATTAACATTGATGAATGTGAAAGTGTAAGTGGAGAAGATGAAGTGAGTGCAGATTCTGGTGAAGGATGTTTGGATGATGTAGGGATTCTGAGGACACTGGATCGCCTTGGAACTTCTCCATACGTGATCGGGGATTTGCAGATAACAAACCTAGGTACTTCTTTGTAGTCTTGTACTTCTTCGTTGACATTGCATAATGTAAACTTGACGGTTCCCATGTATTGTCTACATTTTGATGTTATAATTGATGAACGCATTTTCATTCTTCAAAGCTAGATTTTTCTGGATCCCAACCCTGTGAGGAAACACCATGAATGGAAATGTAGCCAAAGTTGTACTCTCCCCCTAGCAAGGGGAAGGTCTTTGGTTCAATCTATGTGAGGGGGAGGGGGGTTGGGAGAGGGAAGGTTAATTTCCATTTTGTAGCCCACACCTCTCTCTCTTGAAAAAAAAATTGAGGAAAGGATTCCGTTGCCGGCTATTTTTTGTCTTTCTGTTTTTAGTATTCAATTTACTTGGAGATCTTCAGACAAGAAATTTTGATTTATTTCGATCCTTCCTATGAAATTTTCCTTTAAGATCTGGTAGTTTATTTATTATTAATAATTCCGTATAAAGAGTTTATCCAGTTGGTTTTTTGAGACTTCCATTCTATTCATCACCATATGGAGTTTCTTGCAGGAAAGTTTGTCAGGGACTCAGAATATTTTCGTGATGAGAAAGACATTTGGCCTGAAGGTTATACTGCCTTGAGGAAGTTTACTTCAATTACAGGTGGGACACACGCACACTCTCTCTCCCTCTCTCTCTATTTTATATATATATATTAGCCTTTCATATTAGATTATTCTTTCTTTTATGTTAAGTTTCAAAGGCTATATTTTATTGCAATGGTATCATTCCAATAACAATCTCTCTTTCTCATAAATATTTTGGTCAGATCCAACTGTACGTACATTATATAAGATGGAGGTGTTGAGAGATACCGAATCAAAGATTCGACCTCTGTTCAAAGTGACATTAGATACAGGAGAGCAGGTTCGGTTTTCTCCAGTTTCCATTTTGAGTGCATTTGGTAGTTTGTGCTTGTTTCTTTAACATCCTTCATAAGTTCATCAACTTGGACCTCAAAGTATACTTTTGTTATATTCATGCATTGTAATTTTAATTATAGTTTACTTTCTTAGCAGTGGTTGTGTTCTTTGCAGTCCATGTACTTGTTTCATTTTATGTTTATGTGGATCTTGTCTCTAGAGTTCCCAACGAATTCTTTTTTGTTTATAATGTCATCACCTGTCAAGCTGTAATGATACCTCCATCTACTACTTTAGGGGTGGTCTTGCTCATATTCTTGAATTATAGTAAACACTTATATTCTCCTCCGTTTAATCCTATTGTATGTAAACTGGTTAGGCATCTGATTAAGGGATAAGGGACTTATCATTGCTTAGTTTAAATTTTCATAAATTATGGTCTACAATTATAATCCAGAATACATATTTACTGTTTATTTTTCCCCATAAATTTTGATATAAGTAATCTAGAAAGTAATATCCATTTGAGAGAATGGATGTGTAAGCTTTCTTACTTATGGAGCACTGCCTTTTCATTTTGTAATAAAAGGACAAATATATTTGTCTTGTTATATGTTTTGCCTTCTATTTTGTGATTCCTTTATTGAGCACAGGAGTAGGATGTACAGTACTAGAGTATCTGGAATGAAGATGTGCTGATATTGTTCTGTTATGTATCTTCATTTCCCCTCTTTTTTCCAGTTTAAGGGATCTACACCATCAGCTTGTTGGAATAAAATATACAAGAGGATAAGGAAAACACAAAACACATCATTGGTTGGTTCTAATGCTAATGCTGACAGTGGATTGGAAGGGACCTATAAATCTGGTTCTCATATGTTTGGTTTCTCTATACCTGAAGTTGCAAAACTTATTCAGGTACCTAAGCTCAGCTGTGCATTAGACCTACTAGGTTTCTTTTACTGTTATACATTTGTGGATACAGCCTTGTATTTTCATGTTTTCTTGGGCTATGATGTCAATTTTATTTATTTGTTCAGTCAAATATTAATTTTATGTTTTATGGTTGTCTTGCTGAATTGATTATCAAGGCTGATCCACCATCTTACAAACACTTGAATGACATTCCTCAATTTGTTAATTATTTTTGGTGTCAATGTAGACAATCACAGACATGAACTTCTTAATGGGTTTACTTAAAGCAAAAGTTGACATTTTGTTGATAAAATGATGATAATAATATCATCTCATAGCCTTTTAAGGTTGTTGGTGATGTTTTAGAGTTCTCTTGTTCTTTGCTCCTGTGGACATCTTGTCCATTGATCTGTTATTTTTCTCTTAATGAAATTTGTTTCCTATCAAAGAGAGAAAAATCATCTAATAGTTTTCTTAATAATGATTGTTATAATTTGTAATCTTCAAGCATGTTCATCAGTTTGTACTGCTCGTCTCTCTGATGAACAGAATTAAGTGTCAAATAAGGATTTGGAAAATCTTTCTGTTGCTGAGTTAATGGTTCTTTACTCATTTGGTATTGGCTGCCGTCTTGTTAATTGTTGAAGCCCATGCCATTCTAAAATGCTCCATAAACTGTTCCTTCTTCCCATGTTCCTTGATTTCTAGCCTAATATAAACACCTGGCGTTTTTGCAGGGGTTAGTAAAATCCAAGCTTTCTTCAAAATTACCCAAGTGCAAGTTAGCCTCTAGAAGATATCGAGATGTTCCTGTTGGTTACAGACCTGTTCGTGTGGACTGGAAGGACCTCGATAAATGTAGTGTCTGCCACATGGATGAGGTGGATGCGAATGTTTTTTCCCATCATATTGTATCATTGACTGTTTAAACTATAGACTATATGTATTTTTCTTTTTTCTTTTTCTGCAAGTTTCTGTGTTTTCTTTTTTGGGTGGGAGTTCGTTTAAACTTAGTTCCCTATTGGTTTTGCTAATTGGTGTTTTGTTTATAGGAGTACGAAAACAACCTGTTCCTGCAGTGTGACAAATGCAGAATGATGGTAAGTGTTTTTCTGATGCTGGGGATCACATTACTGTGGTCTTGGTTAAACTATCAAATTCAAGTTTGATTTTGTCATATATGATTTAGTCAACCAAGTTTCTTTTTCTACGCTGTTTGAAACACTTCTTTCTCTACTTTGTTACGTGTTTACCTTTCCTGGTTGGTTATTGGTTTCACCAGAAGAAATAATGTTTTCCTAGGTCCATGCAAGATGCTATGGAGAACTGGAACCTGTTGGTGGCGTCTTATGGTTATGCAACTTATGTCGGCCTGGGGCTCCTGAACCTGCACCGCCTTGCTGCCTTTGTCCTGTAATAGGTAGTTAGAAATCATTAAGAGTCTACCTTTTTAATGCCATGGATTTCACGTTATTAATTTATTGAACTGATTTTCCTCTAGGGGGGGCAATGAAGCCTACAACTGATGGGCGCTGGGCCCATCTGGCTTGTGCCATATGGATACCAGGTTCATGAAAACACAGTTTTAATTTCTGATCATTCAATTATTTATCTATTTTTTCTAATGCTCTGAAAATATTCCAGAAACCTGCCTATCTGATGTTAAGAGAATGGAGCCAATTGATGGCCTTAGTAGAATCAACAAGGTATTTCCTTTTTCACTTTTTATGTTTCCACACCATTATGGCCTCCTTCCTTTGTTCCCCTTCACCCTCATTTTTCCTTGACATGTCACTTTTTTATCTTTATCTTGAGAGGATTTGTTTATGGCAGTGGTCTCATATATATTTTTATCCTTTGGAATGAAAATTGCCAAAACCTTTAAGTCAAGATTTTCCTGCTTCCACTAATCTCCTGTTTTGTTACAGGACCGTTGGAAGCTATTATGTATTATCTGTGGAGTTTCTTATGGAGCCTGTATTCAAGTAAGTTCGTTTAGAACCTAATCATAGTCAAATGCTTGTAAATTTGTTTTATTTATAACGTGGCCAAATTATATTTAACTTTCTTAAGTGGTTGGAAGTGGTCATACAAACAATGAAATTGTTTCAGGCTACTATTATGATGCTGAAACAGTTTTCAAGGGGAAATGCTTATTCTGCTTTATTGGTTCTGAACCACTCTTTTGTTTTAAAGAGAAGTATAAAAAATAGAAACATGATGAAAAAAAAAGGCAAAAAGAGAAAGCTAATGGATGGAAGAACTATATCAGTATAGTTATGACAAAGTCAGTTCAACTTCAATATAACCAAGTTTGAACATTTTGGTGTTTGCTACAAAAATATATTAGGCATTACCAATATGCAAGTACATATCCGTTGTGTTCTTTACATGTGAAGATTGTTTATATTGCCATGAAGTGAGAATTGATGCTGCTCTTTAGAGATTGGAGAATTTTTTTGCAATTAGATCTGGAGTGTACACTGTGCCTGTAGATTTTGTTGCAACATGCCGGGAGTCAAAAGTTGAACATTTTTTCATTGCCTATTTGGAAACGAACTTAATGAATGATTCATATTGAGGGCTTTCTTGAACCTTTTACTCATATGGTGGTCATCAGTCTGCTTTATTTAGTTTTACATTTTTGAAGAAAACAGGGTACCTGGTCCTGGTAAAAGAATTAACTTAATGAATGCTCCAAAATTGAGCATTTGGTAGAATCTTTACACTTAGTCTGTCTTAGAAGAAAAAAAACATTTATTTCTAATCCATTTTAGAATATTATGGGAAAAGCTTAAAAATGTATCAATGTCATTGTTCGTTTCCGATATACGACTGCAGCATCTAAGCTAGAAATTTCTTGATGTTCTTCTATGATTATCTACTTACATGTATACATCTTGGTATCTTCCTGATTTATTTTTCATTCTTAAATGTATACAGTTTGGTATGAAAATTCCTTGATAACTGTTTCTTATTTTATTGTTTCCTTTTCTTTTTCTTTCCAGTGTTCAAACAATACCTGTTGTGCGGCATACCATCCACTTTGTGCACGAGCTGCTGGTCTTTGTGTTGAGGTAGTTTTTGTTTTCCTCATTTTCACATGACATTATTGTTTTTATATTAAACTCTGTACTGTTTCAATAGCTTGCTGGATGTCTTCATGTATTGGTTTTATATTACTTTGTATTCTTAAATGTATTAATTAATGCTATGGCTAGAATTGTTTGCCCAAATTGTCCTGAATTTCTTTCTATATTTTATTTTTATTACTACGAAGCTTGAGGATGAGGACCGGCTGCATCTACTTTCTGTAGAAGATGATGAAGAAGATCAGTGTATCCGCCTTCTTTCCTTTTGCAAGAAGCATAGGCAGCCAACTAATGATCGTTCAGCTGCTGATGACCGTATTGGCCGAACAGTGCGTCGATGCTCAGACTACACTCCACCATCCAATCCATCTGGATGTGCTCGTACTGGTATGTAAATGTATACTGAGTATACTCCTGGGGTGTATTTTTAGTAATCCTGCTGTAAATTACCTCACAAGTTTGTATACATCTCTACGTTGCTTTTAGTACACTTAACGATATGGTGTTATGAATTATAATGTTTCTCCACCTTTTGTTGTGTACTTTGTGTGTGTATTGGTTCCAGTCTCTATGTTGTGGGGAAGATTTGTCTTGCTTAAATTATTTATAGTTTTTGCACCAAGGGAGATCATACTATGTAGCCATGAGCTGGGGCATAATTGTTTATTTATTCTTTCAGACTTTACGACATAGTGTGTGATGCCTATTTGGGGTTGCCACCCTCAATTTATTGGAAATATTTGTTTCCTCTTAGAATAAAAAACCCCCTCAATTTATTGAAAATCTTTGTTTCCTGTTAGAAAAAACAAAATAAAAAATCATTATCAGGAGTCAGAGTTGATTATGACTGGTTCTGCTTGTTTGTCTTGTCAAATATGTTCCATGAATGCTCATTTAGTTTATTGGCTATCATTGATATAGATACTCAACTAAGGAATTTCAAAATAAATTCAATAAACTTTGTATTTTACTCTCTCATCATTCCAACGCTTGGGCAGAGCCATACAACTACTTCTGTAGAAGAGGGAGAAAAGAACCTGAAGCCATAGCTGCTGCATCCTTAAAGCGTTTGTTTGTTGAGAACCAGCCTTACTTAGTTGGTGGTTACAGCCAACACCAACTGTCAAGTAATTCACGGCCTCCCAATGGTGTCGTTGGTTCTAAGTTCTGCTCTAACCTTCAAAGGCTGAAAGCCTCTCAACTTGATGCTCCTAACGACATACTTTCTATGGCGGAGAAGTATAAATACATGAGGGACACCTTTCGGAAACGACTAGCATTTGGTAAGATATAGTTTTTCTGTTTTTTTACTCGTGAATCCGAATTTCCTTAAAGAAACCTCCAAGAAGGTTGTATGTAAATATAGTTTGTCCTATTTATGTTCAATTCTGATTATCTTCACCAATCTCCCATCTGGTTCTTTGGTTCACTCTTTGGTATTCATAATAGAATTTTGTTTCTTCTTTGAAGCTAGAAGTAGATAATTAGGTCTTTTGGGGATCATGTTGTAACGTTTTTAACATTTAATAAATGTACATACAATTTAGAAAATTGCTGTACGTTAAAACTCATGTGGCTATTTGTAGACGCCTGTTATTTTACCAATCATTTTTTAAAAAAATAGATAGCATGCATTCTTATGTGCTGAAATTTTAGAGTTTTAGCTTTATCTTACATGTGTTCATGACCTTGCTTGTATAGTGTCTGCCATTTCATTCAGTGTTATATGTTACCCTAACTATTGTTATTCTGAATTCAGTCTTTTCGAACTTGTTTTACTTTTAACTGCAGGAAAATCGGGAATTCATGGTTTTGGTATCTTTGCTAAGCACCCACATAGAGCAGGGGACATGGTAAAGTAATTTTCTTTGTATGTTTTGAACCTGTAGAAGAGAATTTTGAATGTTGATCATATCTCTTCATATCTGTTGCAGGTGATTGAATACACGGGTGAACTTGTTAGACCTCCTGTAGCTGACAGGAGAGAGCACTTCATATATAATTCATTGGTGGTAAGTTACGTAACTAAGCCATTGCTGTGCTCATTGCAATTTATGCTTTATTATGCTTGCATGCATTTTATGTTGGTCCTAACAAATCACATCAGAAATAGATTTCAAATTGTTCATGGTAGTGACTAGGCTTTATATGATTTTATCTTAAGCCAAATTGTACATTTGGCCTTAATTCTATAGGAAGTCAATGTGCTATGTCTTCTCTTGATTTTTCTGTTCTCTTGCTTGAGTAGTCTTTCTCTTGGACTCCTAGTGTAAGCCATTAAAAGCGTAACCGTGTGAGCAAATACTTCTCTTTTATCTAGGGCTCCATCACAAAGACCATAGAGGATCATCTTTAATGCTCGGGATTGTGCTTGCTAGAATGGCACTGGTATTTCTTAATATTGGACAACACCTTCATGTAGAAGATGACTTATCCTCTGACTTGTGCCGCATGTCCTTGTGGATGAATGCTCCTTGTATGCTCCACACATGGCTACACTGAATGAGATTCTAAAATAGGCTTCTTGATGCTTCTAGAGTGACCTTCTGTTCACTCTTATTCCTCAAAGAATACCCAAAGGATGAAGGTGGGATCAATAGGAATGAAAATAGTTCTTTTCCTTCACAAAGAGTATGCATATGTGTATATACTTGTTTGAAAATGCATCAAGCTTGTGGAAAATGCATCCACCTCCTTCATTGCTCTTTCTCTCTAAAGTTGTGGGAGATGTTACTGAAGGAAGTTAACACTGTGTGGGTAATACTGAAAGGCTGTTTCGAGCTTTATTCTGTTAAATTACCCGCACACTAGATCTTGTTCTTTAATGTAACCGACGGCAATAAACTAAACTAGCAAATATTAGAAAACTTAGAAACACACAAGAATTATACTGGTTCAGCAGAACTTTTGCCTATGCCTAGTTGTGATTTCTCTAGGTAGAGAAATCACCGCTCCTTTGATTAATAATAGAGATTACAGAACTTTTGCAACCCTAGAACTAATCTCAAAACTCTCAGCTGTCTTTGGCCGTTTTTCTTGCTGTAAAAAGAAGCCTTGCCGCACCCTATTTATAGATATAGAGTTGGCTTACATGTCCCAATGCTGATTGAATTCCTATTCCTAAGTGGATTAGGAAATTACACTTATCCAAATCCTAATAGACTTCTAGAAATCCAAACCTGAATTGAATAAGGAAAACTAAAATTCTTTCCTAATCCCTCTAGGACAAGAATTGGTATACCTTTAATTTTCCTAAAACAATCCTAAACCAACTAGGACATATTTGACGAGCCAAAATCCTAACATATTCCATCAAATTTGATGCTTTAGGAAGGGGAAAGAAAGCTAAAATTCTTTGGGCCAGTTTGATGCAGGCAGTGATCTGGAACCTTTGGCTGGAACGTAAAAGGAGAATCTTTGAGGATTATAAGGGAGTGGGAGTGGTAGAGTTATGGGATAGAGTGAAGTTCTGGGCTGCCCCTTGGGCATCAACTTCCCCTGCTTTTAAGGATATATCCTATCCTACATTTATGCGCATTCTGCTGGCTGTAATGTCTTAAGGGGTTGTCTTTTTGATTGGCTGTTATGTTTTCTGTGTTGCGTGGCCTTGCGTTTGTTTCACTGGCTATTGCTTCTTTCTTTTTGTCTGTGTTCTAATTGTCCTCTCTTTCTTCTGCTCCTTCACTTTCCTTTCTTTTTAATTATAAAAAATACATTTTTTTTTTTTTTTTTTTTTTTTTATAAATAAAAAAAAAAAAAAAAAAAAAAAAAAAAAAAAAAAAAAAAAGCTTGCTTGGGCCTTCTCAAGTGGTGTTAAGGATTAGTACCTTCAGTTTCAGGCGAAACCTGAATGAGGCTGAGGTGGCTGAGTTCTCATCTCCATTGCATCTGCTTTACAATGTCTGAATTTATCCCTCCTGGATTGATTCTAGGAAGTGGATTGCTTGTACCCTAGGATTGTCTAGTCTCTATACTTCTAACAATTCTTTCAGACCATTCTCCTATCTTGTTGAGTGGGACTAAGACATTTGGTCAGGTGAGTCATTCTTTAATCACTATTTCCAGAACTGTACAGATCCCCATTGAATCATAGTGCCACCATTTCATCCTTGCCTTCTCCTCCTTTTAGGGTTGTTTCTTGGAACCTAACTTTTAGAAGAAATCTCAGTGATAGGGAGTTTGACGAAGTTTCTGATCTATTATCTTGTATTAGTAACCTCACTTTGCTTCCCACCCCTTCTCACAAGAGAGTTTGGGTTGGTTAGGGATCTGGGTTATTCTCTTGCAAGACCTTTTCTATTTTGTTGTGAGATAACGTGAATCATGCTGCCTTTGGTCTTTGTAAGTTTATTCAGATGTCAGAGTTGCCAACCAAAGTTCAAGAGAGTTGAAATAATCAGGCATCTCTATTAGATGCATTTTTGTTACATTTACAAATTTTGATTTTCTAGCATTTGTATGCATCTTATAAACAACTTATGTAACTGCCGTTTAGGAATTTTTACATATATTGATGCTTGCATATGAACTGAGAAAGAAATGGCTGTGGAAAAATCTACTTGTTCTCATGCAGGGGGCTGGGACTTATATGTTCCGGATTGATGATGAACGGGTCATTGATGCCACAAGAGCTGGAAGCATTGCTCACCTGATTAATCACTCTTGTGAAGTGAGCATTATCTGACCCTTGTCTGTTTATTTAGTTTTAGTCATATGAAGTATTTCAAATTGCCTTTGTGCTACTCATAATCTAGCATAGATTGACATGATACCATTGACATTTTAGCAGCAAGCTAAATGCGTGAACAATGGCATTTTAGCAACTACCTATCTTATTGGATGTAACCTAATGAAAGAGTTTGGAGATTAGAAGTTTTCTTTTTCCTATTTGCATATCACTTTGCAATCCTGAAGGTGAACGTTCACCGTAATGAAGCTTTAGCAAAGTAAATATGTTTTAAAAAAGGAAAAAAGAAAAAAAGAAGAAACAAATGGTGGATGTCGCTGTCATTTGTAAAACATTTGAATTGGGAAATAAAAAAGCATTCCTCCATTCAATGCATTTGACCTTCTTCGAGAAGACATTTCAAGAAATAATCGCTTTTTGGGTGGCATAAAAGGTCTTTTGAAATATGGAGACAAACAACCCTAAACTGTTGTGTAAGATGTTTTGGCATGCAAATCTTTTGGCCTTCAAGGATTGCCATATGCATTATTTTTGCCATTGTTAATTTTCTTTTATTTTGTATTTCACTTGTATTTGGATCATCATCTTCAATGTCAAAGCATAATGTCTGCTGTAGTCTATTGTTTTGGTGAAAAACTCGCCTTTAGTTTTGGCTGCATGTTGGCAAGTAAAATAGTGGTTGTCAAGGCTTCTATACTGTGATCCGTTCTCATATAACCTTTTTAATTAATTATGATCTTTCAATTATCTTCTTCATCACATTTTTCTTCTCCAAATTGTTAAACCCATCTATTTATTGGGGGAACTTAATTTTAGATCCTGGGAATTGTACTCATAGGTTTATGTTGCCATTTTATATTGGTGGAAATCATTAGTTTTTATTATTAAAATTGCTTACGCTATTGTGATTACTGATTTTATATTGGATGGCTTCCCCAAAAGTTATTTATTTAACTTTGTTAATTCCTGACCGGCTTTACTTTTCTTGTGTGCAGCCAAATTGCTATTCAAGAGTCATAAGTGTTAATAATGATGAGCATATAATTATATTTGCAAAGAGAGACATCAAACGATGGGAAGAACTTACATACGATTATAGGTTATCCTCAATTCTGGCTGTGTATGCAGTTTTTCTTTATCATTTCAGGTGCTAACTTTCTCCTTAATATCACAGATTTTTTTCAATTGATGAACAACTAGCATGTTATTGTGGTTTTCCGAGATGCCGTGGGGGTGGTTAATGATGTTGAAGCAGAAGAGCGAGCAACAAAGCATTATGCACCACGCAGTGAGTTAATAAATTGGAGTGGTGAATGATAAAAGGTAGGTGAACTGTAAGGTCTTTCCTGTGCCCTAATATTAACTCCCTTCAAAGCTTGATTTCCTAGCATTTCGCTGATTCAAATTGCATTTTTATGCCAGAAATAATGTTTGCTTTTTTTTTTATTAAAAACTGTATCTGAAAATGTTTGAATAATAAGAACAAGATAGGTCCACTTTCCTCATATTTAACTAACCCTTCACCTTGATTTAAATGGAGGATGATGTGTCACTAGCTCCACGGACCATTGGCATGCCATAAGTAAGAATCTGAGACATTAGAAACTTCCATTTTTCTGAATTGTGAAGTACTTATTGGTTGTGAGTTGATACTATGTAGCTCTGTGTGTATCTGGTTAACATTTTGTTATGCCCTTAGGCCTTGGCTCATAGACAAAGATTGGATATGTTTGTTTAAAATCTTATGAATTAAGAAAATTTAGCCTTATTGTCAAATCGAAATCCTCTCTTTCAAATCATCCATCCAACTGGAGCCTTGGTGTAATGTTCAACATATATATAGTACAGCCAATCTCCCATAAAACAGTATAAACAAATACATTGAAAGGTGCATAATTTTGTTAATGAGGTTAAGATGGGAGAATAGAAAATAAATAAAAGAAAGGTATCAGGGGGAAGAAAAGGATTAGAGCAGAAAATAATAACAAAACAAAAGGGGGATCCATAGTCTTTTTATGTTTAAAAGTGAAAGGACGATGTATTGTCTTAAGCCACTGATTTGAACTTGACGTACTTAATTTCTAAGGGGGAGCAGTACCCAAAGTGGTATGTAATATGTGTAGAAAACCTGAGGATGTTTTCTGTTGATGAGGTACTTGCTCATTGACAAAGCTACTGATTAAAGAGCTTCGCTGGTGTCGCAATAGAAGTCAAAGTGCAATCATACTTTGTTCGTTGAAAAATTACCAGATTATAGCACTCAGCAAGGTGTTTTTCCTTTTTTTTGTTTTTGTTTTTTGGGGGTTGATGTTCCATGCCATTTGCTTTGAGAGTGCTTTCCTTGTACTGATCATTTCCTCCTTGTTTGCAGAAATTTATTGTTGTAAAATATGTTCACGTGAGATACTTCGGAGACTGATTGTTTACTCCCAACAATCTGTTACAACTTGCTATTATCTCAAGGAAGACAGGGTTGTAGAGCTCCGGTTTTCCTCTTGTTTTGACATGACAAAAAATCAAGTGATTCAGCTTTTCTTTTTTGCTCAAGCTGCTTCCTCTTGGTCCACGCATGTAAATTTGAAGACGTCATTGAGGTTCATAACAAAATTCAATTTCACTTACTGATAAAGTAAGGTACTCTGGATAATCCTTCCTCATTTGTCTTGATGCTATAAGGTTAGGGACCCAATTGTTCATATAATTACATTAACCTTTGTGAAAAACAAGTACAAAAGTTATGAATGAAAAGTGATTTGTTGGTATCTCAGGATGGTTTCTTAGCTCTTGGTGGTGCCTTTTTTTTTGTTGGGAGATTTATTATTATACCCAATGTACATGCCCAAATTATGAAAAAAAATTATAAAAAAAAACCCCCCTATGGACTTTAAAAATATACTCAAAGTCCATTTACAACATAACAAAAAGGTTTTGAACTTCCAATAAATTATAAAACTGCCATTGATTTCTTAAAACAAGTCCAATTCCAAAATCTCATAAATAAATAAACAAAAACTCAAAATACTTAATAGGGTATCAAAGTAATTTAATAATCAAAATTAAATTCAATAGGGCTATTTGTTATTTTTTGGGTTTGTTTATAGAAATTAAATGGTGTATGGTTTATTTATATCACTAGTGCTAAGAATTGGTATATAACTAAATATCTCTTCTTTTTGCTTACCTTAGGGTCCATTTTCGTTAATTGAAAATTTCTCGTTTCATTCCTAGTGCTTTTCATTAAACAAGTTTAGCTGCTTAAAAAGTGTGCTGTTTTGTTAACATGAACAGGAAAATGTTGGAATTTTTGCAGAAACAAAGAGCGGTATGGGGGATTTCTAGGACATAACTCTCTTGTTTTCCCCCAATCTTTCAGGCTTTCATATTTCATTTCTTTTTCTTTTCCTTCAAAACCCGTTCTTCCTAGTTCCTTCTACACTTTTTATTTATTTATTTCTATTTGTTTATAATTGTGTTTCTGATTTTAGGCTGATGCAATTGTAACTGCACTTAGGGACAGTTCTGACTCTTGTAGAGAGGGTTGTTCCCTTTTTGGTAATGGTTAGGGTATCTTAGTAACAGAAGTATGTAGTGTGTCAATTCTGTGAGATGACGCAAATCTGAGTTAAGTCAGTTGCCATGGAAATTTGCCCTCCCCATTGCACTCAAGTTTGAACCCCCTTCTTACATTAAAGTATTTTAGAATAGCGCTTTTGTAAAATATATAAATAAATAAACTCTGAGATAACACCATTAGAATCTAAAAGTTAAGCTACGAAAATTCATGGTATTGCATTATAACTTATCAATAGATGAAAAGCTAATATCTAGGGATTTAAATTACCCGAGCCAAGCCAAATGCCAAGTTTCTCAAGGTCGGTTCATATGAGACATTAGCTTTACGAAACAAACTCGAACAAGCTTGAATTGTATTGAGTCGACTTACAGCCCTACATTCTCAAACACATTTGAATTACAGAAGTGTAGTCTTATAAAGACACTAGTAAAATAAAAACTTTCTTACATTAACCAAAGAAATTTGGTTGGTTAATTTGAGTTTTTGCCATTTTCCTATTTCTTCTACGTTTTTTACCAAGCCTATTCCTTAAAGAAGATCGGTGGTTGCCATGCCAACGGGGTCCGAGTGGAAAATAACCTTGACTTGCGGACTAGTAGTTTCAGGATAAAAATCTCGCTCCCCCTTGTAGTTTAGAGTTAGACTATCGTTTGTATTAAAAAAGAAAATCAGTGGTTTGGTTGCTTCACTTTCGAAGCACAGAGGAGAGGGCGAGCTGTTGTTTGATTTGATCGAACACTGAGACTTTACACTGAGATGCTTTTAGTAAAGTAATGGAATATTATTCATTGGGTCACGTGAAGGAGAAAGGAGGATGGATTCCCTTGATCCAGTCCACTGTCCAGAGCGGGGTGATATCACGGATTCAATGTCTCTTGAAGTGGATTTTGTGTTCGATGTAGGATAAAGAGGGAATCAATTCAAAGTACTGAAACGTGAAGAAAATAAAATTCAAAATTGTTCAGAGGTATTACGAAACAAAAGCATTTGGGATTTACAGGAATTTCAAGTGAACATCAAGGGGATTGATTACATATGTTGTTATTATTATTATTATTTTTGTTTTAATACAATTTCGAATCCAATTGGATTCTGAATTTAGTTAGGATTATTTTGGAACCTTATAGGTTTTTACAGGCTTTTAGGGTTGTGTGGCCATTGCTTGTTAAACTCAAGTGTTGGTATCGCATGGCAGTATAACTCAAAAGTAGAATATCATATACACAGAGAGCGATGTAAATGTGCACAAAATTCTAACAGTAACTATAACAAAAGCAAGATTTAAGCAAGATCCCGTGTTAATAAAAACCTAATGATTGAATCTGTCATTGCTGGGTGGCAAGGATGCGATATGCAGATAGGTTGACGCAGATGAACCCGTGTTATACTGTAGTGTAGTGTAAATAAGCAGAACATGTGATTGGTCTGAGAGAGAGAGAGAGAGAGAGAGAGAGAGAGAGTTGCTGCATTTCAGTGGAATTGCTGTCAGTCTTTTGGGGTCTGAATCTGACATTGGTCATGTGAAGCTGGTTGTTTGGTAGGGAGGCAATGCCATGTACAATATCTCCAAACCCTCCTCTCCCTTCTCTTCACTCCCTCCCTTTTTTAACTTTTCAAGTCCTCTCTTATTAGTTATTCCTAATGCCCTTTTTCTCTTCCAGTTGCATGTGACTCTGTCTCCACTCTTCACTCTTCACTCTCCACAACAAGACTCACAACAACAACCACATAAAATCTTGCAAGTCACTCAACCCCATCCACTCCTTCTCATTGTCTCTATATAACCCAACCAACCAACCAGTTCAATCCACCCCTTCAAACTTCTTGTTACATAATAATCCTCACTTCAACTCACAATGCATTGCCAACCACTTTCAAGCTTCTTCTCTGGACTTCTCTTACATTTGCATCTCTTATCCCCCATGGTCTCTCTCTCTCTCCAAAAAGAAAAGGTTAAGTAGCAATTTTGGCACTTCCAATTTAGTCTCTGGCCCTTCAAATTGAATACTTATAAACGTTTTTTTATACCTCTGGTATCGAGAGTGCCAGAAACTAAACTCGTAGAGTCAAAATCGCTACAAAGAAAAAGCATTAATTTAGTTTTGGTTTTCATACACAACTTATATCAAGTCTTAATTTAAATGTGACGTATGCAGGGTGGGGAGAAAAATGTACTAACAATGGTCAAGCTCCAACAGTTCAACAGACCCAAGTGGGGTTTGGAAGCTCTCCAAAGTTCATGGTGGTGGTGGATAACAAGTGCCCTATGTGCCCAATCATCGACATTCATTTGAAGTGTGGAAGCTTTCCTCAGGCTCTGGTCAACCCGAGGCTGCTCAAGGTGATAGGCGTCGATGATTGTGTTATTAACAGCGGGTTGCCATTGGCACCTCTGCAGACATTTTCCTTCAATTATTCTCACCAAAAGTATCTCATGTATCCAAAAATCTGGTCTTTTCAATGTGAGTGATTAGAATAATTAGGCCTACCAGGTAATTAAGCAGTTAATTAGTTTCCTTTGTCTTGCATCTTTTGGGTCCATGTGATGAATTATTCTTAATCTCGTCTTAATTAACAATATTAAGTACATAAACATCAGAACATATGGAAAACATCTCTGGACCCAAAGAAATTAAATTGATGGACAGAAAGTAACCACCAGGGAAGCTTTAAACATGGCACTAACCCTAAAATTCAACTAAAAAATGCAGAAAATGAGACTACTAAAATGAGAATTAGGCTATGTGAACATGACCACAGCCACTATGGCTGCTTAACACAATGCTTGGCAAGCAGAGTGTTTCTTTTATGCGGATCCAAACTATGTCTTACAATCTAAATGGAGGATTTTCCTTGCATACAATTGTAATTATAGCATTCTTCCTTAAGAGCACTTCCAGCAACAAAGGTTGGAGGGGTTTAGGCCCAAAAACAGTTTCCAGTAGCAAGGGCTGGCCAGGGCAGCTGCTGGGGCCCATGAAACCAGGCCAGCCCTCAGGCAAGATGAGTCCGAGTTTAAGCCCGGGATTGCTGACGTCAGCAACAAATTTTTTTTTTAAAAAAAATCTATAAAAAATACAAAAAAAACATTTAGATTTTAAAATAAATAAATAAACATTTAGTCATAGTTTTCACTTCTCACACCAAACTCTATACAAATTTCTATCATCATATCTCATGTGAATAGTTGTTGTCATGGCAATTGGTAGAAACACCACAACCTTTTGCAAGGGAGGCCACTATTCATGTGAATAGTACCTGCCCTAGCCTCCCCCTTGCCATGGCAAAAGACAAACTCCTGGAAGTGCTCTAAGTGCATACATAGTTGGAGATTTGCATTTTATAAGCACGGGGGAGAATGATACATATCAGTGTACTTTACACGTCTATTTAGCAGTAACAACAGCCAAATTAGCAACTGTAGCTACCTGAAAAATTAAGGGCTGTTTGATACTAACCATTTCATTTTTTTTTCTTTGTGCTAGAGTATAGAGGAAAAAAAGGGAAAATAGAAGTGAGAATGAGAATAAAGATAGGATCGCGAGGAAAGAAGAGAGAGGAAGATGGGAGGAAAGAGTAAAAAAAGTGAAAACAAAAACAAAAAATTAAAATCTATTTTTTCACTTTTGTTACTTTTTCCCATCCTCTATCAATCTCATCCGCACTCCCATTTTCACTCTCATTTTCCTCTATACTCTAGATCAAAAAATAAAAAATGAAATGGTTATCAAATGAGCTATAAGCTTCCAAAAAGCAATTTTGTTTATTTACTTTCCATTTTCGTACATGTTAACAAAATAGTTTTAAGGATATTTTAGTAATGATCTCTCCTTTTGATAAAAAAAATAGCCCTCCGTCTCCTCAAGTGTATATGCAGTTAGAAAAAAGCCCTTACACCAGAGGAGCTGCAAAAGGAAATATACCAAGGATATTATGTACAAATCTCTTTCAGGACCTAAGCCAACACAATTCACGACTTGAAATCATATACAATATTCTCAAGCATTTTGAAGTAAGTAAGCTCTCATAAATCTCCACAAATTCACAATGGGCATAAAAAAACTATAACCCAGAGTGAGTGAAGATTCAAGACCACAAGTTCTATCCTAGCTTAAGTTTTTCACCTTGGGTGTAAATACAGAAATCACCAACTCTCTATACACCATATCTGAACAAGAATTTTCATTATATTTTCTCTATCTTTTAATTTTCTTTATCTTGAATCTGGCTGTCAGTATTTTGTTTTAGTTGTTGCTCTTCACTAAACTAGACTGTGCAGCAGCATGGTTAGCAACAAGAAGATTATAGCCCGTCCGGTATTCAAATGGCAAGCAGAAGAAGAAATATAGTGAGAACCTACTAAATGTACTGTTCCACTCTGTTCATCCTGTACTTTAATACTTGACGAGCCTGAAATTGACCATATACTAAAGTTAGCAAAGAGATTGACAGCAGTTCGGTAAGTATGAAACTAAAAGAGTAGTCTGAGATAACAGAAATTCATACTGAAGTTTAGAGCCAATAATAGTATAAAGTAATTAGGGTTTACTATAGGAAGTAATTAACCATAATATTTTCCCTTCAAATATTTTGAGTACGACACAGTTAATATAACAATCTCCCCTTACTCTCTTTCTACATCGAAATTAATAATAGATCCAGTCGAGATAATGGCCTAAAACTAGTTAAGGCTACAAAAAGGTCTACTTTCCCAAGTAGCAAATATCCTAATTCTCAATTGTTATCAAGCACTAAAATGTTTTTTTATTTTTAAATATAGTAGTAAGGGTTTCTACTAACCTAGTATTGAAAGAAAGTTGTCATTACAAATAGTGGATTTTGGGTACTCAAGCATGCAAGAACCCTTGAAATTAAGAAGTTAAACAGATGCATAAAGAATGAAAAATAAAATGATCACTCACAGTTATACTCAGTCCATCCAATGGTCTGATTTTCAAGATCGTACAGGACTAGCTTATTCGAAAGTACCAAATCTGCAAGGTACACTTAAAGTGATCAAAATGTCCATGAATTTCATGCAACTCTCATGTCTTGCTTATAGCAAAACCATCATATATCATGCCAATTAAACCCTACAGAACTTTAATTACCCAAGAATCCAATCAGTCATTACTTGTGTTTGAAGATTAATTCCAAGTGACTATAATAGCTTATAATGAAGACCTTTATCATAATCACTTATTATACTAAATATAAACACAAGTGTAAATTTTAAAAATAATAATAATAATAAACATAAGTGTGGGAAAGTTGGATACATATATGACATATGGAACCGTACTACTATGCTAAACCCAAACACTATTCTCTATTATCCCAAATTTCACAAGAAATAAAAGAAAGTTAAGAGCATAAGGTCTAATTAGTAAATTTTGTTCAATTGTTTCATTAGAATGAACATTGACATCTCAGCAGAGCATCTATAATTTCCTGCATCTATAATGTCAATGAATAAATTCAACTGAAAAGGGGGTATATTTGATTCCCAAGGCAAAGGGCTAAAAATTTGAAAACTTTTCCAAAATTCCAGTTTATTGGGCGAGGGGCAGGAGAAAAAAGAAAAAGGCTCCACCACCAATTTATTTCCTTAGTTTCTGAAATATTAGAAAATTTTCATTTCCGAGACATAAATTATTAGGGTTTACCTCCCAAAAGGGTCAAGTTCTTCCTATCGCTTGATTGCATCCCACTGTTTTGCCAACCGATACACCAAAAGGCTTCCTGCATATCCACAATCATAGATTGTAGTAAAAGTAATAGCAATCATGAAAATGGGAAATGCAACATAAGCAGAGAAATAGATGCCAACATGAGAAGAAAGAGTAGGTAACGGAAAACAGATTTTTGGAGTCTATGGGCTTCTAATGCCTAACAATTTTAGGAATATCCGTTTATTTTTATCTATATTGATTGGAGGAGTTATGGGTTGACTGTTCTGCTTCATTAGTTTTGATAAATTTTTTGTCGGACTCTTCTATGGGCAATTTGTCTTCCTCTCTCTCTCTCTCTCTCTCTCTCTATATATATATATATATATTTTTTTTTCAATCTCTTTTCTTTTACAGAATTATTATTTCTTATAAAAAAAACAATAACAATAATAAAGTTGATAATTGGTATCAGAGGTATACTGTATAAGTATGCTAGCTGGGGCCCGTAAACTATATAGACAGAAAACTAAAATGCAAAGCCACTTTGTTGGAAAATAAATTAATATAAAAACAAGCTGGAAACCTGTATAAAAAAATGAATGGACAAAGCCTCTAAAAAGTTTCAGTTCAATATACTTACATAAGGGAACAAATAGTCATGTGGATACACCTTCAAAGAAAGTGAATTTTCAAAATATAAGGTGACTGGAGGAAATCCATCATCAACACTGCAATAAAAACAAAAGGTACAAATATCATGAAAACATCCTGTACTACACAATCATTCTTCTCTATTCTTGGATAAGAAACACAAACATAAAGGATCAGCAGTGTCAAAAACTAAAAACTACCAGTAATTAGCAAATATATTAGTATATTATGTATATATCTGTTACAAAGGAACAAGTAGAAGATAAAGAATACATTGATGACAGAACAAATTTACTTCTATGCTTTTTAACATTTACAGCTGAAGTATCCTTTCCGGATTTGTAATCAGTGCTTATCTTATCTGATTCCAGATAGCATTTAAGCACCTCATATAGATATACATCAGATATTTTGCTCTAGAAGGATGTATCATGCGGAAAAAAAAATCCTAACCTAACTACTCAAACATTCAAGATGTGATAAATAAAAAAATTTCAACATATAAAATCTTCTCTTCTGCTATTATCACATAATATAAAAATCATGATGGCATGCACCATACCTTCCTGAGTACTGAAAGCATGTATACTCTCCGTGAACAGTTTGAACATTCAAATCCTTCTGCTGAGAGATAATCTAATAATAAAATATTTCTGTTAATATTGATGACACATACAAAAAAAAAAAAAAAAAAAAAAAAATTTGAATGGGAAATATTAATGACACTCTCTAGAAGGAAAGTCTTATACATCACATACCTTACTTACTAAGGGCTCATAAACCACATCTGGAAGATAAGCCAAGGTTGTACCACTGTCAATTATTGTCCCTTTGCTATCTCCCGCTTCAAACACATCTGTTGGAAGATTTAGAAAAGTGTGGCCAACTTGAACTGCTTTCATGTTGACATTGTAGTGCGGCCTAAATTTTTTATAATGAATTTTCAAAACAAAAATGGAAAATCCAAATTTTATGTAAAACATAAAATACTAATCAAATTGGCTTTTAATCTAATTCATATGACGATCCCTCTCTATGGTTATGCATCCTAACAAGCAAAAAAAAAAGTTAAATCGCAAAATAGAACTTAATTATGAGAAAACAAATATAAAAATAAAACACCAGTTTTGTCTAGTAAACATACAAGCAAAAATACCACTTAGATGACAATAAATAAAATGAATGAAAACAGTACCCTATCAAAATGAAAGAATGAACACATACTGGTTTGGTACCAAAGGAGTCGTATTAACTTTTGGCTGCACAACTCGCCCAATAGCAAAGATACCACCTCCATTCTTCCCATCTAAGCAGTGAGCAAACATCTTCTTCACTTTTCCAGATGAAGCTAGCTGTGAAATAATTGAAGAATTTGATTTTCCAAAGCCAAGTATTCCATCAAGTGCTCCTTCACCGGATGAGCCTAGATCACCAGATTGTGTAGCACCACACCTATTGCACAAAAGTCAAAACAACCACATGAATACCAACAACATACTCATGCACACGTATGTGGGCACACAGAGCAAGATCACACATGTAAGAGAAAGAGAGAGAGAGAGAGATTGTTCCTCCAATCAATTACATAACAGTTTGTGCACTTTCTCTTCCTTTAGTACAAAACAAAGACTTTTGTGAAAATAAAATCAAAAGGTAGAATATCATTGTCCAGAAGGGGACAAGTAGTCCACCCAAAAAAAAAACTTCTCAAAATCACAGATGTTTGTTCACTTTGGTCACTATTGGTAAGGATACAAGTAATAACTTTTGCATACAGAGTTTTACTCAGCATAAGAGTTACACAAACTTCAGTCCATTTAGATGTGGGGAAATAGAACACAAAAGAAAAAGAGTTCATGTACTTTACCCAACTTCCTCTTTATGGGAAAAGGACTTAGTTGAGTCAAAAGCAATTTTTTTATTTTTTATTTTTTTTTTAAGATTTTGGAAGGACATATTATTGGTTTATCCACTAAGAGCTTATTTCTTAATTTTGTTACTCTAATAAACAAATCAAAAGCCTTCTATCTAACAATTCTTTTGTATCTTGGACCACTACCAAATTTTCCTCTGGAAGAAAAGCATTTTATTAATAAGAACAAATAAGTACTACCAGCATTAACAAGTTGTCTGCCACAGCAACACATCAATGAAAATTAAACTACCTAGCAGTCACACACCCTTTCCTAACAACGAACAGAAATCTATACACACACAGACACAAAAAGACTCTTAAGAAACTGTGTGTTAAATCTGCCAAAAAATATCCCAAAACTTTGTAGACACTGAAGCCCAGAGTGAAAACCAAAATCTGACTTTATCCCATAAAGACTCCTCCCCTTCCCATTGTGACTGAAAAATCCTCTTACCCCTATCCATCAAATTACCTAAAGCACTTCTTTGCAACTCCATAAGACTTGGGACTTCTTTCTCCTGCCAAAGGCCTTGTACCTCTCATGAAAAAGAGGGGGGAAATACAGCTTGAATAACCCAACTCAAATTAACTTCCCTAAACTGCCTCCACCACAACTTTAAGGCTATAGGACAATGAAGAAACAAATGATTCACACTTCCACTCCCTTCTTTACACATTTATGCACCAATTGGGAGAAAGACAAACATTTGTTCTTCACCTTTAAATCAAACTCCAGGTATTAGCCCTACCATAGAAACTATCCAAGTAAGAATTTGTACCTTAGGAAGGAGTTTAGCCTTCCAAATCAAAGAAGACGGTAGCAATCTAGAAAGAGTGGCTATCACATTACTCTCTAAATGTAAGAACTACATGGAAAAAACAAAGAAGATTCTCATCTCTACCTTCTACTATCCACATATCCAATTTTTAGATTACAGCTGAACATAGCATATCTTTCTCCTTTAAGCACGGCTAAGTTTGCTATCACTAATTTGACCACTTATATTCCAAAGATGGATGAACTAGTAATTGATTTGAGATTTTTTTTCAATAAGTTATATCTTAAACTTACCACACAGAAGCCTCATTAAATAATGATTTCAAATCAAGTAGAAAATAGCATACCAAGTAGAAAGAAATTACCCAAAAATGACGCTCCCATTGGCAGAGGTAGTTTGGAGGTCACCAGACACTCGATCATAAAACACAACATCTTTGACAAAATAACCAGCAGTGGAGCTGCCATCTCCGTATATTTGTAGATAGGGACATGACATATTACCCGCACATCCAGACAGTGGACCATCATTCACCTCTAAGCAAAATTCTTGATTACAAGTAACCAATTTACCGGAGGAAGACTGCTTAACATCATATAGTGTAAGATCAATCTGTCAGAGAAAAATAACCCAAATAAGCAAAACAATACTAATTCACCACCAATTCAGAAGCAAAACAAAAACAAAAACCATAAAGAAACAAAGGGAGAGGTCTCAATCTCATACACCAAGTGAGCTTTTTTGTGGGCAATCTTTGCATTGAATACAGTTGACCCACATAATATCACTTCCAGTGTCAACTTGCACATAGTAGTCCTTCGTAGGTGTTCCAATGCCAATTTTAGCGTAGTACAGACTACAAAACAAGAGAAACAATAATTACCCCATTCAAAATAACAAGAAATACACACAGAGGTATATGAAGAATAGGGAAAGGAAGAGATGCTCACCCGACGGCATCAGGGCGGCCAGAGCCACCCAAAGGGAGATCAACGCCGGCGAGAATCCGAAGGGTCCGCTGGGTATCGTGAGCTTTAAGGGCACTCAAGGAAGGCTCGCGGCCTGCGTACTTGTACTTGACGCTCAAAAAGGCGTTGTTTAGAGCGACGCTGGTCGTGACTTTGGTCGAAATCAAGAGCACGAACAACAGAGCAAAGCTGCCAAAGGAGCTTCTCAGAGTGAGCGTCGCTATATCCATGATCGCCATGGTCATCGTGGTTGAAGCCATGTTTGTGGGCTTCTGGCTGGCAATGGCATAGAGAGAGAGACTCAGAAGAAGAAGAGAGCGAGAAATTTGTAAAGTCTTTCCTTTCTTTCTTTCTTTTTCCTTTTTTTTCCCTTTCCTTTTTTTTTGGGCTGAAGAAGAACTCACAAGTTGGTGGGAGAGGCTTTACTGTGGCAGCAGTGGGGCCCACAGCCCAACACACAGAGTTTCCGTACTGTAAAAGTCCCTCAACCGCTGATTCAACCCTTTCTTTCCCTTGTTAGTGATTTGCTTTCTTTTCTTTTTCTTTACTATAATTTTTTTGCAGCCAGTGAGTGAATGATGGGTTAGTTTTTGCCCTTTTTGGTCTACGGGTTTACGACTTTTAGGCACCAGTTGTTTTGATTTTGAAGGTTTGTGGGCATGGATTTGGATTATAAAACAACAACCAGTCTTCTTTTTTACTTGCTTTACGACTCGGTCACAATCCATAACTATATTCAATTGTTTTTTTTTATGAAGATGGTTTGAATTGAATTTTGTAAATTATCATAATCTTTATGCCTCTAAGAAAGATCGTGTAAATCCGTCTCCTCGCATTCAAGTTCGAATTTATAGTCTTGGGTCCTAATCTTGTGTTGAAGTTGAAGTCTCAGAATTGTGGGTCCATATCCAAGTAGGATCTTGGGGCCTAGGTCTTGTGTCTTGTTGTGTGCGTCGGAGCCCATTCCCTACTCTTTGAATAGATTTTGTTTCAAAACACCCAACTCTCTCAATAGATTTTGTTTGAAAAACTATACGAAACTTTTTTCAGCTTTCTTTTGAATTTGGAAAATAAATCAATTTCCAACGAAGTTTCTTGTTTTCCCCTTTTTAAAAATGAAATTAAAACTAATTTATGTTTTCAATGTCTTGTAAGTTGAAATTATGCCCCTTCTTTTGGTGCATAGTATTAGATTGTTTAAGATAACTCTCTATATTTAAAGCATGTTAAAGGAAGAAATGAACATTTATTGTCCAAGTAGAAGGTAGAAGATGGATTACTTACGAATAAAAGTTATCCCATCTAATCCTCACCAAATGATAGGATAATGACAACTTATAACTTATCTCTCATAATCCTCTAAAATGAAAAATCATTCTATCTCTACCTTAATTTCCTCCTTCAACATACCTCTTAGATTTAGTGGCTTATCAAATAAAATCCAAGCATAAGCACCAGCCAGTCCTTGTCACTAGCTTGTGTTATATAAGAGTACTTCCATTGGTGCTCTTTGTCAAGGCAAAAGGGAGCTTGGGCAAAATTGGGCCCCATTTACCCAGGTTAGCCCAAAGGCAAGAATTGCCTAAGCTTCTGCCCAGGTTTGCTCTTATGCTGACGTCAACGACCAATTTAAATACAAGAAATATAAAAGGAAAAAAAATCAAAAAAATTCATACTTTTTTTTCTTCTAAAAATACCTAGCCATGTCACACTTCCACATCAAAACTCCATACAAATTTATCTCCTCATATCTCATATGAATAGTGCTTGCCTTTACTTGTCCATGGGTGGAAGTGCTTTAAATCAATTTATTTGATTGTCTAAAAACTAAAAATAAATCATTTATTTGATTACAATGTTTTGCAGAAGAAAAAAAACCTTCCTTTGATTTAGTAATATTTTCAGACAAGAGAAAAATATTTTGGATTACTTAAATATTTCAAACAAGGTGTCTTTTGTTTATATGTGACAGTTGAATATTATGCAACTTTGTCAAGTTATTTTGGTATTTTAAGAGATTGGGTCAAGTTTGTTTATGATTAACAGGTTTTAGGAAATCATGTTAAAAAATCATGGTTTATTTGAAAAATTGACAAATCTCAGGTGGTATAATTAACCTTCACCTAATTTTACCCGGGTTATGTGAAACAAAACCCGAGGTTAATAAAAGAGCCATGATAATTGATATTGCTGCCTGTGCAGGTTCTTTACTTGCATTTCTTGGGAGTTTCATACAACATGCTTATGGCTATGATGAACTTTTAGCATCTTGAGGAACCTAAATTTTCTCTCATACACAATTTATATACAGTTTCGAGCTTCATGTTCATTATCCAGTACGAATCATATGTATCTTAATCCTACCAATGGAGCCGAAAACTGGCTGCCTGCATGAGGGGGTGCGCAAAGTATGCACCTAAGGTCAATGCAGTGATAGAGAGATACGGCAACCGAATAAATTCCTTGTAGTAATCTTTCGGCAACTTTTGCCGGCCATCAAGAATGGCTGCGAATGGTATGATACTTGTTCGCCTCTTCACAACTTCAAAGGCCTCGCCATGTCGCACTGCCAATCTCCTGTCACCATTCCAAGCACCAAATAGGTGGTGCCCGATTAGACCAACAGAAGCTGCCACTGCCACGGAGTTCCCTATCCAAATCGTGTGAGCCAGGCACCATATCACTTGCCCAACCAGCTGAAAAGACACATCCATTCCCAAATTGTCTTAGTACATGAGTGAGTGAGTGAGAGAAAAAAATTCAAACCCAAACTTGAACATGTTGGTAATATAATAATTTGTATAATTGATGGTATAAGAAGATTTAAGGTTAATTCTGGCCACCTAGATGATCAGAACACACACCAGCATTCATCCCAAGGCCCAAAATGCTAAGTAAATGACTTGAAAATGTATAGATGATCATTCATAACAAGACTACGAATTAGTTACCTGTGGATGCCTGGTGATTCTCATAATCCCAGTTTCCCAAAGATGCATTTTGGGCTTGTCAACAGCTGCTACCTCTAGTAGATTGAAAGTGGACGGATAGAGGAACAAGAACGAGATAAAATTAGAGAGCCATACAAATTCATGGACGCCAAATGCATTCTTGAGCTCCCATAACTGTACTCCATCGTATCTGTGATTGATAAAATACACCTGAACCACAAACCCTTCGAAGTCAATTCCCTCCACACGAACGACAAAAGAATTCAAAACAGAAAAAGTGGCAAGGAATGAAGTTAGATATAAAAAAAAGGATAGTCCTCCTTATTGAGAGTAAGGAACTCACAACAGTACTAACAGCCAGTGGTAAAGATGTCCCCGCAAACAAAACACGGTAAGCACGCTCTCCAATAAGTTTCTCACCAGTGTCTCGTAGACTAGCCAAGCCACTATGGAAAATGGCAAATATTAGAATTAGGATCAACATCACAACCTGCAGAATACCATTGCAAACCTCAGACTTCGTAACTAAAACCATTATCACAGCTTACAGCTCAATAGAGCAAATAATCATAAAAAGGGAGGCATTTGCACACACCAGGAAACCAGAATGGAATTTGCATGCTCTTGTTACAAAATTCAACCAAATGAATATTCTATCCCATTTCCAGGAAACAAGTTTTAAACCAGATTACCATACAACTGCTCTGTATGGACATCGTCACCCCCATTATCCTCGTCATTATAGGCAACGTAATTCACACGATAGCACAGGAACTGTTTCCCTAATCCGAATTCAACATTTAAAGTTTATACAACAGACCTTTTATCATGATTCCAACTGAACATTCGTAACTTTTTCCATCCACATCCACATCCTCATCACACACCCTCTTCTCCTCACTTCCACTCTATGGTTCAAATCTAAGGTTCAAAAGTTGTAGTCTAAGAATTCTGTATCATCCCCGCTCGCATCTACCATGGAGATTGTTCTAATATAAAGACTAAAACACACTAAAATTTAGCGTACCAAAAAAATCAATCCAAGATTAAGTTTTTCTGATTTCCCAATAACACTCATTTAGTAAAAACCCATTAAGATTTATGATGTTATAGATAGCTGCAATTAATTTCCTCAACATACAAACAACCTGACACCAATTTCTAACAATACAGTTCAGGTCAATTAAGATTGAGAAACAAACACACTAACCTCTTTGCTATCAGAAAGCTCCGAGACTGCATCAACGAAGGGCTTCCCAAATCCGGTGGAATTATCGATCCAAGCCACATTGAGTATAAAAAGAACCGAACCCAGAATTGCAGTGAAGTAAACCCACGAAGATATCTTCTGCTTTGACAAAATGAACTCAGCTGAGTCCTCGCCCACCACTGGTTGCTCATTTCCATCGCCATCACCACCACCACCATCATCAGCACCATCTCTGACGGTGATGTAGGTACGAAATTGGCGGGACAATCGAATTTGATGATTATGAGGGATGTGAAACGGAGGGGGTTGTTTAGGTTTGACAAAGGTTGAAACTTTAAGGGCGAGGGATGAGAAGGGTCTCTTTGTATGCGATGAGAAGGGGTTATTGTTCTTGTTGGGGTTTAGGGTTTGGTGAGGATGGGAAGAGAAAAGGGTTGAGAGCACAAGAGTGGAGGAGGAAGAGGCCATTGTTGAATTTTTGGGATTGGGATTGAGAGTGAGGTAGTGAGTGAGCTGAGAAATCACAATCGCTTTGTACTTAATTATTAAATAAATAAATAAATAAATGCAAGAAACATGAAGGTTGTTGGGTGGGAGGAGTTGTAAAGAGCATCTGGATGAAGTTATGCTTTCTTGTGGAGGTTTTGGACTGTTGGTGGTGGTAACTTGCCTGCCTACTTGGAGGAGTTTTTTTTAAATCATATCTGCTTACTCCTCACTCATTCCTTGTACTTGGTTAGTGGCGGACGGCATAACAGACACACAGATACGCACTCCAGATATTTTGCCTTGGTTTTATTAAGCTTTTAAAAGAGAGAACGTACCATTTTAATTTACTTTTTTTGGCTTTTTTAGGATTATGTATCTATATTTCTCTACGAGTATGTAGTCGTGCTATTCTGGAAAAGGAAGAATGAAATTTCTAAGAGCATTCACAGTGGGAGGTGTATTTTCGGAGGTGTAAAGCCACTTTTACATCCCCTTTACACCTCCGGGGGTGTAAATATGTTTTTTGCTCCAATAGGAAACGATGTAAATCTAAAGATGTATAATTGATTTGATTGTCTTAATTCGTTTTTGTGCTAAATTTATATTTTGTGTTTACTTTATCAAATTAATTTTTTTTTTATTAGGTTAATTTTATTTTTTCAAACAAATAGACTTAAAAATATTTAAATTCGGAGAAAATATGATTTCATCCAAAAATTCCCAAAATTGCTCCGCATGTGAATTTTTTTCCAGTGATTACTGTAGCAACGGGTCCCACTCTTTTATGATGACTTTTCTCCACTTTTCCTCTTCTTTTCTCAGGTGGGTTCCACGTGCAAGAGATGTAAAAATAAATGTAAATATACATTTTATTTTACATCCTCATGGTGGTGATGTATATTTACATCCATTTACATCTCCCCATTAGAGACGATTCCGGTGACTCGGAGTGTATATTTAACATACACCCTCATATACACCCCCCCACTATGGATGCTCTAAGGGCAACCCAAGTGGGTAGAGCGCCTTTTACTTTTAGAGCTCAATGGGGTAAGCTATATATTTAGGCTCTAAACTTTTTTTATAATGAAATTTGATTTATGTCCTTATTTATTTTTTGTTCATGTATATATATATATATATATATATATATTTTGTTAATTTTTTTCTTATGAACATTTCAACTAAAAAAAATAATATTAGGACGAAATTTTGAAACTACATTTTGATTTATAGACATTGTTTGCATACGCGTTTATAGGGGAAAAAAAAGAGTTTAAATTTGAGTGAAATAAACTGGGTTTTAATGAAAAAAATGGAAAATTAGGGGAAAAAAAACAAGAAAAGAAGAGACGTTGATTTGCAAAACCAAACAAACAATAAAAAAGAATAAAAGTGATTAGAACAGCCAGTTATTTGCAAAATAATAAATTTAAATAAGAAAAAGTTTTTATTTAGCGAGTAATGGAGCAGTCGCAAGTCTTGCGCGATTGAGGATTAGCTTTTTATGTTCACGCGTGCCTATAGTACAAAAATGAGTGGGTTCCGCAGGTTTCAGTGGCTTCAACCAAGAACCTATATACATGGGTGTGTGTGTGGTTGCAACCCTCCGGTGGGCCGAGTCATTTAGAGCCTACTATTCATCATCATTAGTGTTGCTTTTTTGAGTTGGTGTTGTACCATCAGCAGCCTTGCGGCGGATAGAGCCCTCCATTAGGCTTGCTTTAAGGATATTCCTAATGGTTGGGGCTCTAAAAGGAGTTGATAGAGCACCATTTAGAGCTCTAATGTAATCTTTGGGGCTTTAAAGGCATCTCTCCCACAATAGGAAGCCCATATTCATGGCGGGCTCTATATTTTTTTATGACGTAATTTGATTTACGTGGTTTTTTTTGTTAACTATTTTACTTTAATGTTTGCTCATGTTATTGTTTTTTTGAATTTCAACCAAAAAAAAATTCAAAATTTGGACAAGATATGGAAATTAACATGTTATTTCATAGATACGATACAACAACATGGTTAAATTAAAACAAGATGCACGACATTAATTTGGTGGTCCTCCCAAAGTTGGATATAGGTCCCTTACATTATGGCTTTCCAACCCTCTCTTATCTACATTGTCATATAATAATTGTGGTAGCATGGTGACAAATAGATATGGGTCCCCTTCGTTATGGCTTTCCATCCTTATGCCATTTACATTTGTTAGATAATAATAGTGGTAGATGGATATGGGTCTCATTTATTATGGCTTCAAATAAAAAAATCTTTTCTCTTCATATTACATCTTACAATAACTGTTGGATCCAATTACCTCATATGAATTTCATCCACATATTTGTTATCTTTTAAACTATCATATCCTCTATAAATGAACAACCATCTTATTTTCATAACACACCATCTCCCAACTCTTGTATTCTCAATATTCCTTCTTCTACCACCGCACTAGAATGGCCAACCATGGATATGATAGCTCTTCTAGTGATGAGACAGGTGCTAACATAATGTTTTTAGAAATGTTCGAAAGCTACCAAAAGAAAAAAGCAGCAAAGAAGAAGGAGAAGGCCTTGATGGTTGTCCACGGGGGTACATTGTCACGATGATGTACTATACCAAAAGATCGAGTAAGTGCCCATGAAAACCTTTTTCAAAATTACTTCTCTAACCATCCATTGTATCCCTCTTCAGATTTTCGTAATAGGTTTCGTATGAGGCGTGAGTTGTGTAATCGAATAAATAGAACAAATTGTCCCTTTCAATGATTACTTCAAACAAAAACCTGATGCCATTGAAAAGCTTAATTTCTCACCACAAGTGAAGATGACAGCCGCCTTGCGTATGCTTACATATGGAACAGCAACTGACCTCAATGATGATTACTTGAAGATAGCAGAGACCACATCATTTGAAGCTTGCAAGAGATTTTTGTCATGCAGTCAACCACTTATAAGGAGTTGAATATCTTCATAAACCAACAAGAGCGGACCTACAAAAACTACTCTAAAAAGCTGAGGAACGAGGGTTTCTTGGCATGCTAGGAAGCCTTGACAACATGCATTGGGTGTGGAAAAACTGCCCAATGTCACACCATGGGGCATACATGGGCTACCATGGTCATCCAACCATAATCCTTAAAGCAGTTGCTTCTTACGACACATGGATCTAGCACCCAACTTCATAATACCGAGAGTATTTAATTACTTCAACTTACTATACAAGTCACCCTTTTTTGATGATGTCATTCAAGGACGTGCTCCGCAGGTCCGATATTATCTGAATGGCAAACAATACAAGCAAGGGTACTATCTTGTAGATGGAATATATCCAAAGTGAAACACAATTGTCCAGTCATTTTTGGATCCTCAAGGACGACAACATCAATTATTCTCTAGGACGCAATAGGTGTATTGTAAGGATGTGGAGAGAGCTTTTGGAACTCTTCAAGCTCGTTTTGCATTTGTCGCGAGGCCTGCCCTTCAATGGTACCGAGAAGACATTTGGGAGGTACTGAAGACTTGCATAATTCTTCACAAAATGATTATTGAAGATGAGCGTGACCAAGATGACATAACTCCTGCTGAGGACACACCATATCATGTGGAGGAGGCTCTGGTGTAGCATGAACGTGGATCACGCAATATACAACTAGAATATATTAATCGAAGCATAATAAATAATCCAATTGCCCATTACAACCTCCGATTTGATATCATTCAACACTTGTAGGAGCAATATGGAACAGAACTCTAATTGTTGTCTTTTTAAATTTAGTGTTGTGTGTTTATAATTCAATAACTAAATTGCAATGCCCTTGCAATTTAGAGTTGTGTGTTTAGAATTCAATAACTAAATTGCAATTTTCTTGAATTCAATCATTTCATTAAGTTAAACAAACTAGAACATGTTGGAATTTTAAAAAAGGTTTTAAAAATTTAACCATTTTGATTGATTTAATTATTTTGGCTGTTTTATTTTATTTATTGCAGGGGTTATAAATATTTAATATTTAGGTTTTATTTCTATATTGAATGCCTTAATTTTTTGGTTGGTGAAGGTTACATATTCTTGAATGCCTATAAAAGGCCACTCCTTCACATTTGTAACAACCACAATACACCATTAGAATATCACATACCACAATCACCACCACAAACTAATTCTCTCATTTTCTACTTATATATATATATTCTCTACTTTATATTATTATTTTGGCAATGGTTCTGTGACTTGGATACTTATATCTGTTTATGAACGTCCTCATAGCGGATCTTGAGTTTGTGTACAAGGGGTTGTATCTTGGAGTCTTGTAGACCATCAGTACCTGCACGTAGGGAGGCTACAAAGGTTTTAGGACAACGTTTTTGACATGCTTCACCGTACCAAACTCACCTTCTTACTTATTATTTATTGTGCTTTTACTTACCTATTATTTTGTTTTCTTCAATTTCATTGTACCTTAAAAGCTTTCCAATTTTTTTTTATAAGTTATTTATAATATAAATGTAATTGTATTTGGCTTTACGGAAAAGGAAAACTATATTTTTTTATAACAGAACATTTTTATAATAATAAAACAAAGTACAATGGAATTTAAATAAAACAAATTACAACATTCTTTAAATAAAATAAACTACTAAACTATTCTAGAAATCATCATTTTCTGGGGGTTGGGGACGATAGACTTTATCCTCAAAGTTTAGCGAACAGGAAAAACTCTTTGTGAAAATATCGGCTTGTTTCTTTTGGACCCATCGCCTTCTCGCTAGAGTTTGGATTGTGGCGGTTTCCTTCAACATAACCTTCAACTCTTTGTTCTCAATCATACACTCTTTGTAACACCTCATAATTTCTTTGAGCTCTTTATCATCTTGAGATGACTCTTCCACAATAACCTTTCTTTTTAGTTCCTTAGCTTTTTTGTGAGCCAGTTGCTTTGATGATTTTTGGCTCCTTGCTCATCAATGCTCCTGAATGGCTCCTGATCATTCCTTTTGCAGAACACTGGATTGAAGTGAACAATAATACCTAGATTCTTCCAACGTTGGTTCCATAAATACAAATATCCTAGTAGTAGTAGAAATCCGGTGATCTTACAATAAATAGCCGTGATTTCCCACTAAAGCAAGTCTGACTCCACTTTCTAGCTTTCATGGTCATCAAATTTATTTGGAGTCTAGCTACCAATGGTGAGGAGTCACTGTGACATACCTTAATAGTTAAGAAATTTGTGAGATGGAGATAAACTAATTCAAATAATTTGATTCTTGGATTAAATTACCATTAGTGAACTTATTTCTCAATTATCAAAAGTGATCAAATAATTAATTTAATCCCCCTTTGTTAAATAGTATAGGTCATTCATCATTTTTGGTAAACAAAGTCCATTACCATTTTGGAAAGTGAATCCAATGGTCATTTTAGGCTAGCGCGTAGATTTCAGGCCCAAACAAGCGGGTAATAGAAGAACATGATGTTTGATGTGTGTGGGTGGCTGTAGAGATAAAATCTTAGAGTTGCAGTAGGCTAATTTCAACTAGGGGTGGCATTTTAAATCGAAAAAACCGAAAAAACCGCAAAAACCAACCGACAATTTACCGCAATGAAACAGCAATCGCGGTAAACCGAACCGCATTTGCGGTATTAAAAACCGAACCGCATTTGCGGTTGCGGTTGCGGTATTTGATTTTCAAAACTTGCGGTTACCGCAAACCGCAAAGTATAGCCGCACGGATGATGAGGTTGAATTCTATAAGGAAATGGAACATATGACAACTTGTAAGTAATTAGTTTATTTATGCTAATGTTATTTATCTTCTTCTTATAATAAAATGTACTAAACTATGTTGTTTTGTTTGTAGATAACATTGGTGCTCAAACAACACAACGGGGTTCTTCAAATCCACTCACCACCAACACTTGAGTTTGTAACTTTAGTTTGTAACATTGGTGCATTGCATTTTCCTTTTAGTTTGTAACTTTAATTAACTTTGAATTGGATTTTTCTTTTTGGTTGTAACTTTAATTCATTTTGCTTTGCATTTTCCTTTTGGTATGTAACTTTAAAGGATTTGGAATTGGAATGCTTGGAATTGTAACTTTAATTTTCTTAGATTGTGAATGCTTGAGAAGTTGAGGAGATTGTGAATTTATATATGCTTGAGAAATTGAGGTTGTGTATTTATTTATTTAGGTTGTGAATTTATATTTTTGTGAATGCTTGAGAATTTGCAGTTTTAAACCGCTAATTCGGGGTAACCGACCGCAACCGCAAATAGTCGGTCGGTTTGCGGTTTGAGTAAAAATTCGCGGTTACCGAACCGCAACCACCCCTAATTTCAACCATGAGGGGTGGGCTATTTTTAATTAACCTAATTTTGACTAATAAAATTAACACTAATTTTTTTCATCTCCAAATTTAGCACTAGGCTAGATCCCACTCTAGCCCAAACATAGGTCAGTACTTGGTGAAAAAGGACATTGACTTGCAAATCAGTGGTCTCATGTTCAAACCAACATGACATCTTGATAATATGTGTGTGTGTGTGAAATCCCCTATATCTAAAGTAAGAGATTTATACATAGGTGTAAGAATAGATCGACTTATTTTAAAGGAGAATATGTGGTTAAATATTCGTTCAACAAAGCTACCGTTTATTAAAATTTCGGTGTTTTGGAAACAAAAATGTTATTGTTTATTAATTTGTAAGTAAGCGACGCAAGTGTTCAATGTGATTAAACAACCTGTAACAATAGCAATTATTAGTAACATACCAAAAAAAGATTAACAATTAGTATTTCCTCTACAAACAAAAAATCAGCAATTAGAAATCAAGGTAAGGCGACCCGAGAAGAAAAGATACATTGGAATTACAAGAAAAAACCAAAACACCAAAGAAGTTAAATGCAGAAATATAATAACTCATGGATAAAATTTCCAACCACCCACCAACGTATAAAATCAGGGTAGCCTTTGTAATGAAGAACAACAAGGCTTCAAGACATGTATTTACAAAAACTCCAATCGACACTGCTAAAGAGAGACAAGGAAATAACACGTCTCTCTTCCAACCAATCTAAATGAAACTCTCAAACCTTTTTCCAGGATTTTATAAAAAAAAATAAAAATCAATAAAATGGTGATAAGAAGGAAAAGAAATATAGACAATGATAACAAAACTAATGACCCTACAATCAAGAAGGCTCAGGAGCAGGCAAGTCATAAAAGTATATGCCACTGCTTCTGATGTTTCTTAATACTAACTCCCATCCTGATATTGGGAAGAATTTCCAGAGCTCATTTCCTCTCCGGTTGGTGAGAAATCGGAACTAATGTCAGATGTACTGGCGGTGAGGAAGAGGCAAACCACAGCACAATCATCAACCTTGACATACGGGTATTTTGACCTCCAAGCTCGAGTTGCTGACTCTACCAGGGCTCGAGCAGCAGAGGCTCGTGGAGCTAATGCTACTATTTTTACCACTTCTTCATTTGAGAGGACATCCCATATCTGCCAGAAAGTAAATTTATATAAGCCAATGCTAAACAATCTGTCCCATGATAATCTTTCATGTGCATTATGTGAAGCTGAATACTCTAAATCTATGACGTCAATTTGGATTCATATGGTCTTTCTAGTTAATCCATTCTCACAATCCACAAGAGATCTTTACATCCAATTGAATTTTGAATAAGGCTTGGTAACAATTATCAAGAAATCTCCAGAAGTGGATAAATAAACTGCACTTCTGTCCTCAAACTCACATGAAGTACATTAACAACATCAAGGCCTTTCAAAGTTTTGGATTATCATGTTTACCAGACCAGGACCATGATACTTTCATTCAAAGAGAAACACATAAAAAGGCATAGAAAAGTGGAAGATTAACTACTCAAACGATACAATTTAAGACAGATCAGGACTGCAATAGATGAGGTTAAGCAGGAGCATTACAGAGATTATGTACACATACAAAGGTCATAATTTTCTTAATTTGCAAGGAAAAAAGTGGGAAACAAAAGATAAATGTATAAAAATAAATTTTTTTACAATTCCATTTTCTTCACAGAATTGACAGCTTGACACAATACATCCGTACGGAAGATGAGTAACGAATACACTCGGCAACAAAGAAACAACCATAGTTCCTTTCCGCATACTTAGATCCTGCACAAATATCCGTGCATATTCTCATAAACAAACAAACAAACCATAGTTCCTTTCTGTTTCTCTCTAGTGCGCTCCCTGTTCCCGACTCGATATTAGGTCAAGATAAAGCCTTTTCTCCTCTGTCATGTTTTTCCTCATTCAAAATTTTCCTAACCTTTATTAACTCACACAAGGAACCTTTCCTCTTTCAAATAATTTTTTTTACTCGGGAATTTTCTTAATCCTCTTGATTACACATAAAGAACCACACACTTTTCAGACTAGTGATATAAAAGACTCAATTCAAGCCTAAACCATGTCCATGGTGCTTCCACCGCATTTGGAAACTCATAAACAATCTTCTATTTGGATTTCAGACACATGATCCTGTCTTCTTATGGGCATCATTGCCACCACTCTTGCTCCCAAAGCCCCTATGTGCATGACTTGCACATGTCAAACACCTCTCTCCTATTCAGTAACATTGTTACCTAATTGCTAAGTTCATTGTTAATAGAGTGAAGCAGATGCTCTTCAACTTTATCAGCCCTAATCAAAATGCCTTTGTTGTTGGGAGATGGATAGGTTGATCTGATGAAGGCCAGATGGAATGGCAGATTGAGTATCATTTTTTAAACTTTTACAGCTTTCAAGTCTCTTGCTGCTTATGGTTAATTGACGAGAGTTTGCATCTCTATCCAAACATTCTCCGTCTTTGTAAATGGAGAGTTGTGGGCTTTTTCCTCAAGGATGCAAGAACTAGGAGAAGTAGGGGAGCTAAGATTGCTTGGTTGATGTTTGATGTCCTAAAAAGGAAAACTAAGGGTATTTAGGGATCAAATATCTTCATCTCTGGAACAAGGCTTTTTTTATGCTTAGGCACTCATGGAAGCCAGTCAAAGATGATGATATATCTTGGCTGGTGGATTAAGGAGTACCATCTGAACGGTAGGAGAGTACTCCTCAGGTTTAGAGGAAGTTGCTAAAGCTAAGAACCCTGCCATGACTCCTTAGCACAGCACATCATTGGCATACCCGAGGTGGTGAGATCGCATTACACTCAACTGAAATCCTAGAGTGATCATGACTCCGAACTGTCTACAGATGCCAAGGTCCGCACAATTGCGCAAAGAGACTGTTGGCTATGATGTATGATCCCCTGCTAACTCAAGGGGCCAAATGGATATCAGTTACTCTATGCCAACTCAACTTGAAGGGACATTATTAAGTGGCTCCCAACCACTACAGGAACTTAGTTAGCTACCTCTATTTCGGAAAAAAAAATAGGGCTTTAGGTGGCTGCCGGCCTTGGCTCATTGAGTAACGACTCTTTCTATACTGCCCCCGAGACAAAAGAAAAATGCAGGAAAATTTGCATCATAACAAGAAGCTGTAAATCATATTATATAAACAAGTAGATTTCTTACCCCATCAGTAGCCAATACTACAAATTCATCCTTCTCAGTGAGGCGACGATAAGAAATATCGGGGACAGAGATTAAACCAAAGTCCTTTAGGCAGAAATCTCCAAAAGCCCGTGCCATGGCAAGGCCAGGTGAATTACTGTTGGGCAACCAAACTCGAGCGACCTCAGGCTCGTTTTGGAGAGCAAATACTCGTCCTTTACACCGCATAATCCTCTCTGTTTCCCCTAGATGCATAAAATAATTGTGTTAAAAAATAAGATTAATCATCCCGTATTATTCAACCAAGATTCCTAACTGCATAATAAAGAACAATCCGTATTCTCAACTACTATAACACCAGATTAAAATGCGTATGCATCAACACGTGCGTGTAGATGGGTGCTGCAAGCGTGCATGTCTGCTTGTGAACTTACTTTCAGATCAATTTAAACAAAAAAGCATCAATGTATCCATGCACCCAATGTTAAAACAAACTTGCAATCCAAGATCAAGAAATAGAGAAAACATGCTATGTTATTGAGATTATACAACATCTACTAGGACATATTGCATCAATTATACAAATAATGAGAAGATCTCCATTTGAACCTAGTCCATTGCAGAGAAAAAACTTTTTAAAGCACTATGCAGCTGAGGATTTCTTTACCTCACTAACCATCACATTAATCAAATCCTATTTACAGAAGTTTTCACAGCACTACTATTTGGTCTTAAATCCTAAATGACGTAAATTTCATAGTATTAGTAGCGACAGCTATTTTGTTTAGTGTGCCAGCTGTAACAATAAATTATCCTAAGGAACATAAGCTATCAATGGGGCACTGCTCCTGATTTCTAGATACTATCAAAGATAGAAATCCTCAGCTGGATTCTATTGTAAAAATTTAAAAAGTTTATTATCAATATAAAAAAGAATGAGATTGATATTAAGTCTGAACTATGCATTTGTTTCTAAGACAAGTAGTAACCAAATGCTGTGTATTTTCTGTAAAGTTGGAATCTTCATATCTTTGAACTTTAACCATGGATTAGAAAGAGTGGGAGAAAGAAAGCTACTTGGAAGATTTGGTTTGAGGTCTACAGTCAACTGAACAGCAACGAGGGAGCCATCTTCATCTCTGGTGCCTAGTAGAGCTCTAGAGTCCCCAACATTTGCAATAACAAGATCCTGGCCCTGTAAACAGCATATATGTATTTAAGACAAATTTACAGGTGCAATCTCGATGTACCAAAACTTAACTAATAGCATCTCAGCTCTTGCATCAGATATTGACCCATTGTAAATCTCAAGTGTCCATATTTCATACAAGTACTGCAACTTTATTAGATTAAGACTCTTTGTAAGTGTTCACCAAGAACAATGAATTTGTGATGCAAATGAACTACCTGCTTGACCAAGGTAACAGCAGTTGTCCCACTGCAATAGCAATCAATACGAGGATGCAATTTGAGCTCCTTGTCCATGACCTTAAAAGCCTTCAGAAAAGAATCTTTCAATGTCATAAAAAGCTCACAGTGCTCGTTATCCTTGTGGTCTTGATATGAAGCAGCCTCGTTGGTATCATCAGCAGTCCCTTTCTTGGCGTTATTAGTCAATACCCATTGTGAAGTCAACTTCAAAGGTAGAGCATCCCTCACCTTCTTTGCAACCACATGGCCAAAAGGGCCATGCCCATCAAAAACACCACAAAATATGGTATCCGGGGAACCAAAATTCTGTAAAACACCACAAATTCTTTAGTATTGTACTACTCAATAATCCAGATTCAATTTCCATATATATATATATATAGAGAGAGAGAGAGAGAGAGAGAGAGAGAGAAAGAGAGAGAGAAAACTGAGTTAAAGTTGAAGTTGCAGAGAGAAAGCAAAGTACCTCCCAAGCAATCATGGCGTCCTGATTGACCCCTTTCTTGCCTTGCTTGCAGAACAAGGAAGCAAAATCAGAGGAACCATTCAGGAACTGCCTGCCAGGGATTCTGTGCAGCCACATCTCCAGATTATTGGAAGGCGGCGCTACCGCCGTGGCAGAGGAGTTCCCAGTCACCCTCCTCTTCCTCCTCTTGTTGCCCGGCCCTGGGGAGGAAGGGAGTGGGCCGTAGGCTGATCCGCCTTCCAGGGAGAGGCAGGAGCCCATGCCGAGTGCCCTGACGACGTCCAGAAAGCACTCCAACCCCACCATACAGTCGGGGCCCTTCCTTGGCTCCACCGGCGGATCCGTCTTGCTTTCTGTTTCGGATAATTTGGATTGATTTCGAGAATAACGGATAATTTCTGTCAGTTCTGTCACTAAGTCACATAAAAAGCATTTCAATCTCAATCCCAATTTCCCAAATCACATCAAATTTCATATTCATAAGGATAATTCAATTCATTTTACCTCGACAAAAAAAAAAAAAAAAAAAAAAAAAAAATAACCCATTAATCCATTGATTGATAAAAAAATTACCAATTTGACATTGACGACGGAAAGGGGCAGAGGAGAGAGTTGATCAGACACACAACCTAAGCGCTCCTTAGATTCTGGTTTCTGATTGCAGAGAGAGACGACCTTTCTATCTGAAGACAAGAAAATTATATATAGATATTTTTTTCCTCTAGGCTCAAACTGAGGGTAGGTGATGGATGTTGAAGAAAGAAGACTAACTTCACAAGCCTGTTTCGATGCTCTCTCTCACTGCACTGCCCGTTAAATAATTGGATTTGTTACTAATACCTAATACTTAGCAGTAGTTGTATTAGTTTATCTGTTTTAACAGATTGTTCTATTTGTTTGCCGGAGCAACAAAATCCAAAATTAGTTGACGTATTTGATGAACCCCATAAAAAAAGAAGAAAAAAAGGTAGTTGATGTAATGTGGTCGCCAGCGCTATATATATTATACATGAAGAAGTGACTTAGTCTTATCCCTTCTCTCTAACCCGTCACTTACTCCAACCTAATCACGTAGTGTGATTATCACATTATGACTTGATTCACGTGTTATATTTGGGTTGAATTTACAATATAGTATGACGGTTGTTTGTTTATTTACTTTAAATGAGGAAGTTATAAATGGTGGGAGAGGAAATGAATTGGAATTCCATCGACTGAATCTTCTAATTAATTTAATTCATGATTGTTCAGGCATTGAATTATATATTGTGATGTGAAACTTATATATATATATATATATATATATTTTTTTTAAAACATATGAGAAATTATTAATGGAAATAATTTTAATACTCATCCTACCTCATTCTGTGTAAGTAAATATACCATTAATAAAACACTAGCCTTTTCACATGCGATGTCGCACTTACGAGAGGTTTTTTTTAAAAAAAAATTAAAATTTATTTTAGAATTAAAAAAGATAATGGGTAGTTGTGTTCCATAAAAATAGGATTCATTATCTGATTTTTCTTTTAATTTTAGTTTTTTTTAATATGAAAAAGTGTGAATTTATCATATTATCTTCATTAAATTAATATTTTTAATTTTTAATATTTGAACCAATGACATTTTCTAATATTTTGAATATTTCATCATTCTGTCTTTTACTTTTTATATATAGATATATGAATTTAGTCACATTGGCTAGAACGGATTCATTCCCCATTTTGTATCTAAATTCAAATTCCTCTTTTGATAATTTAGATTAAATTAAAACAGAATATCATTGGCATCTAAAATATACCACTAATAAATAAAACATGTGTTATAAAATAAATAAATAAATAATATCACATGACAGTATTACGGTTGAACTTGAGAATTTCTCGCATTTATCCTCTTCTGACAAAACTAAGTCAAAAGGATTATTGTTGATTTTTCTTGGCTGAGGCTAGTCAGTTTGGTAACTTTAGCATGGGTGGGTGGCTATAAGACGAGGCACGTTCTGACCTGACGGATCTGAGCAGCGACCAAAATGCGAATCCATGAATGAAGAACATGCGTTGGGCACAGACAAGTGGGTGCTGGATTTGGTGGGGTGGTGGTGGTGACGCCTTTAAACTATGTACAATTTCATTATTTTTATTTTTTATTTTTTCGGTTTAGAAAATGGAAAAATATTATGCTATTGGAACGTCGGCCCAAATGGCATATGCAAATTGCAAGACCAATCAATCGCATTACAGTTACACACACAGTTCCTTTTATCCATAAGATCAGGGTCTGCACAAGGCTGACGCTGCAGGACTTATCCACTTTTTATGTTCAATAATTGTGTTACAGATTAGATTTTGACCAAAAAAACAAAAGATTAATAGAGACGTAAACGTTATTGAGAAATGTGGAATCGAATCTAAGACTTTGGATGTAATCGCTTAAGCTACAAGCCCCCGCGAGACACAAATAATTTTTAATTTGAACGTACCAGCCCCAACAAAAAAAAAAAAAAAAAAAAAAAAAAAAAATTTGGAGATAAGTTCAAAACATTTCAAATTTTAGGATAGGCCTTTAAAGAAATTGGTGTCCATAGACAAATTTTGGGTGTGAAGGAATGCTCTTACATTCCTCGGTCTAGTAAGCCCAAAGCTGTTTCTCCAAACAAGACCTTCATGCAAGGTAAAGTTTATAATATCCCAAGTCCAAATTCTCTCTTCATCTTTGACTAGGCCAAATTCTCTTCCAAAACTACTTAACCCAATGCCACGTGGCTATAAGTGTTTGGAAGGATTGTCCGACCTCGATGTCGATACGTGTTGAACCAATTTTAGGCATCAACAATTTTGACTATACTATTGATGTAGAAAATTAAAAATTCCGAAATTCGATTAAGTAATTTTTACACTAAAAACTCATAATCAAATCCATAATCTTGTATCCTTACATCCGAATCAACCCTTGGGCTTTCTTAATTTCTGCAAAAACAATCCTAACACCTTGTTGTGCGGGTTGCCAATTTAATATAGCAAAGACTGCGAAAATGATTCAGTATGAATATTCTAAGCTCCACTAATGTCACTCCACGCACCCTAATCAATTTCCATCAATAAAAATTCATCATGAACTGATCTTGACATGATCATCACTCCACCCCACCCCCTCAGAAATTCAAAAGTCCAAACCATGCATGCTTAATCTGTAATTAATTAGTTGACGTGGAGAGGCATTAACATGATGATTAAGATAATCACAACACGTCACAGCATGCTCTAGCTTCAATTAATTAAAATTAGTTAACATCTGTGGGCGTGTTTAGATCATCAACAAGGAGCGGCTGAGGCTGGTGGGTGGTCTGTGCAGCCATGGCGAACTCGAACTGCTTTAAAGAAATTGAAGGGAAAGAGAGTATCTCTGGAGCATTGTTGAAGTTTTCCCAGCTGCCTTTTATGGGTCCGTTTGTATTGGTAGTTGTTGACCCATCCAATCCTATGTGTGTCACATGCTTCACATCTGTAGGCAACCCAATTTCCATCTCTCTCTCCTCTTCTTCCTCAATATCTTCCTTGTAAACTGAACAACCATATATATATATATATATATATAATATAGATATTAAACAACTAATTAGAAATAAAATAACATTATTTTCATATGGATATTCTTCATTGCATAAATTTCTTAGGATGAGACCAAAACAAAAAAGTTTCTTGGTACACCTAATTTCTGTTTTTGTTTTTTAAAATTAATTGGTACGTACAGCTAATGGCTCGACTATCTCATGGTTTAGTTAAGGATTTAAAACGGCTGAATGTATATGTGTGGTGTATTTGAGTACAACCATGTGGTATAACTCATCCACATATTATAATATAAGTGATTAACTATATCGTACACCCATATTATAAGACGTGAGCGACTTATACCACTTTATCGTATTCCAGTACCATATATATATGCGAGCACTTTAAAGTCAACATCCACTTTTTAAGAACATGATGGACAAAGCAACATTTTTTGAACTTGCAATGCACTCCATAATGTGATTACGGAATGTTCATTAACTCTAAAGCCTTTCTTTTTACGAATCATCTAAGGAAAAAGTAATAAAACATGTTTGGCCTTTTGATTAAACATGCATTTTGAATAAGTAGACAATATTTGAGCATGCACATATATATCTATAATTAGGCATTCAATTAATCATCGGCTTACCAAATATTTGAGACAAACTTTTGATGCTTCTGATCAATCTTTCAAATCCACTGGAAATGTGACTCTTCCTAAGATTCAGAAAACGATAAGTGTTCTTCGCTTTTGCTCCTTGTGCGTTTCCATCGTCTTCCTTATCAAAACACCATATAGTCTCAAATTAGCACCAATATCAACTTAAGAGAGAGAGAGAGGAGAGAGAGAGAGAGAGGAGAGAGAGAGAGAGGAGAGAGAGAGAGAGAGAGAACATACTTGTTACATGTGGAGGTGGGTTTCGTGTTTCTGCTTTTGATTTTCTTGTTTGATCATCACTTGTGCCAATGGCAACGCTGGACTGAGAAGTGCAGCCAATGCCAAAAGGAAGAACAGCAAATCTTTCCATGCGATCCTTCATGCCTTCATAGACAAAACTACAAAGCCTAAGCCTTGTTTTGTTGGACTTAGAAGCCATGGAAACACAATGTGGTGTATTATATTAGTTCGAAATCGGGGATGGCTTTAGGAACAAGTTAAGCAAGAATGATTCAAATGTGGAAATGTTTGATCCAATACTGTTGTTCTAGTTTGGTACGTGGGGAGAAATTTATACGAAAAGAATGATTATGAATATGATGGAGTGGGTGTTAGAGTTGGTTAAACTGAAACTCAACCTACTTTTTGCTGATTGCAAGTCTAATTTGGAGGATTAAGCATTGAACAGCTGGTCCACAGACCAACCTTTGTTTTCATTCAAGTGTTCCTATTTGATCATTTTATGGTGGGCTCCCACTCACTTGCCTCTCTTTGAGACCAAGCCACCTCTCTCCTTATTGTCATTCCTTTTATAGGCTTTATGCTTTGATTTTTTGTTTTGTTTTTTGTTTTTAGTCATTTTTGTATTTTATGGGGAGGGTTGTTTGTTGGTTCAAATGTTTCTAGAAAAAATTAAAGTTAAAAATATGGGTAGAATAAGGAAGTACATTGAAGAAAAATATTGAATTTTTTAAAGGTTTATTTACTGTAGTATCCCTAAAATTATGGTCAAATCTCACTTTACCCTCTAAAAGTTAAAGTGACTCAAAGTGTCCCCTTACTATGTTTTGGTGGTTCACTTTGCCCCCCACTATAACTCTGTTAAAATTGTTGACGTGGAATGAATAGGTTTCACTAGTTTGCTGAAATTTATGCCACGAAAGTGCCATGTGTGAAAATTTTATTTTAAAAAAAAAAATGACAAATAGGATATTTTTCCCTCCCTCTCTCTCAGACCCAAGAACCTGTAAAACAATAGATGCTCAAGAGAATGTTGGTGAGCTTTGCATACCATCTAACACGATGAAGTAGCCATATTTATATTGATATGTTCAACTAAAACTAATACATAGATTACATCAAATCCTTATTTACAAGGAAACCAATCTATACATTTGAAAATCAAAAGACTACCTATCTCAACACAATTCAAAGAAGTCCCAATGGACTACGACTTCTTATCCACATCAAGTAAACATTTGGAATTTGAATGCTCATAGAACATCTGTCTAACATCCCCTGCAAGCTAACATGCCGTTGAAGAACTGGAAGCTTGGAGACCAAGTAATTAAAACGCATCGTGGACAACCCTTTGGTAAACATATAAGCAATCTGATCTTGAGAACACACACAATGAACAAGCAGTTCACCACGAGTGACTTTTTCACGAACATAGTGATAATCAACCTCCAAATGTTTGGTTCTAGAATGGAAGACAGGATTAGAAGCCATGGCAAGCGATGACACATTTAGTCCTATTGTAATAGAGATTTATTTCCTATTGTAATTTAGATATATTTCCTATTTTATTTAGGGTTAACACATCTTTATACTTATATAAATACCTCTATGTTGGAGAAGAATAGAGCGTATTTGAGTATAACTGAATATTTGCCCTACTTTGTTTGACATGGTATCAGAGCCAGGTTCCGATCCTGTGATAACCTCTGCCAAATTGAGAGTCGTTGGCACTCCTCATTCCTAACCCATCATGGGTCTTCATCTTGTATAGTCATCTTATTTTGTTCAATCCTCTCATATGTATAGTCACCATCTTTTGTTCATCCTCTCATATGTGTTTTCACCGCACCTAGCCTTCACATGCTTCTTTGCTACTGTTCCAAAATTTTTATTTTTCATCTTTGTATTCCATATGGTCTTTCTTGACGTTTCAACTTCTCTATCTTTGAAACTTCATAACAAGTCTCTTTACTTTGCGAGCCTCATCATCGCTCATCGAGCCTTTGCTTTCCTCCGCGAGCCTCGTCACTGCTCGCCGAGCCTTTCCTTTGACTGTTTTGCCGGTCTCTGTCTTCTTCGGCTGCCCTCTTGAGTTGCCTTTCCGCTTCTCAGTTTTGAGCACCCTTTCTTTGTTTCTTTGTTTGCTCTATTTAGCTCTCTTTTATTTATGTTTATCTCTTTTGTTTGTCTATGCCCAATGGCTGGTGTTTGTTGTGTTCTTTCCCCATGCCATCACTCCATCTCTGTCACTCTAGCCTTTCCCGTTGGGTGTTTATTATTTATTTTTCTATCTCCTTCCCTTTTACCCTTATGCTTATTTATTTCTACCTTTGGCCTCTTTCCAATATTCATCCCTTTCTCTGTCTATCTATTTCCTCATAGATACCTTCCTTTGTCATTATTTTCCTTCAATCACAGCATTATTCTCTCATTTTTTTCGATTCTAGCACCTCACTTTCTTCCACTAGTTTCTTTTTAAAAATTGTCACATGCAATTTCCCATGCTTTACTTTTTAATATCTTTAGTTTCTTCCTCTTTGATCTACCGATGTGGTTTCCCCTGCTATGCAGCCGAACTCTTTTCATGTCCTCTCTATTTCTCATCTTTCTTTTACCAACCTTTTCCATTTTGTTGTTCTCTCACTGCATTATCTCTTGCTTTCACAGCTCCCTTATATAATATTGCTTCCTTTTAATGGGCATTCTATCTATTCCTATTCCACACATGAAGGGTTTCCTTTTTTCGGTGTCCTTTGCTCTAATTCCCATTTGAGCACCTTATCTTTGTGTCTGTCTCTGTTCATGATTGCTGGGTTTCCTCCCTTACTATTCTCATTTTATGAAGTTTTTTCTTCATGGCACAACCGTATACTACCACCTTCCCCTCTTGCACTTGTTTCTGCCATGAGATTGGCATGTTTGAGTCTCTTTACTATTATTTCAATTTCTCTTCTTCCAAATCTCAATCCTTTACAAGTGTCGGATTTGATGGGGAGATAGATGCAACTTTATTTGGGTGCTGCACCTTTATTTTTCGGTGTTGCTTTCTTCAAATCTCAACTCTCATACGTCGTCGGATTTGAGGGGGAGTGACATCGCTGCTCATCTATTCCGTTGCAATTCAGCTACTTATCTGCCATGGCTGATTCTTATACATTTGAGCGTTAGTCAACTTCTGTTTCTTAAGTGACACTTTTCTTATGGTTCCAACGACCCCTTCTCTTTAGGGGGAGATGGGGAATGAAGAGAAGTTGTCTCTGCGATAATGGAAGTATTTGTCATTGTTATTGCTGCTGACTACAATGTCCTTTGCTGGTGCCAGTACCGTTGCTCATACCTGTTGGGTCTCTTGCTGGGGACAATGTTATTGCTCCTGCCTATTATGACTCTTGCTAGGGACAGTGTTGATTACTGTTGATGGTGCATGTTATGTCCCTGCCTTGTTGCTCTTGCTGGTGCCAGTGCCTTGTAATGCTGTTGTTGGTACCAGTATTGTTGCTCATGCCTTTGTTGGTGTGTTTCCGTTGTGGTCACGCCCGTTGACCTTGCCTTTGCTCTTGACTTTCTTTGCCTTACCTTACCTTATTTTTTTGAGGTTTGGCTTTACCTTGCCTTACCCTATTTTTTAGGGTTTGGTTTCTGCCATACCTATTCCCGTGCTCACAGGGTTTCTGTGTTCTTGTCACACCCCAACCCTCGGATTTCCAAAACCTTGGGTTAAGACGTGATTCACACCTTAATTATAGAATTTTTTTTTAAAAAAACTATAACTAAAATGTGAAGAAAATATTTAAATAAATAAATATTTCACATAAAATATTCAGTAGAAACGCGGAAACGATAACATCTGAAACCATAAAAAAATTTACATTATTTTACAAGTCAGAACTACTTGAGAGTTCATTAAAAGAGTAGCTCATTATTCATCCACAAACTATAATACACTCTATAGACATGCCAAAATCATCACAAGCTCTAGATTTCAAGTTCAGTACCTGCAAAATCTATTAGGAGGTGAGCAAAACCACAGCTCAGTAGGGACATAAACCTTTTCACGGTAAATTGACATAATTAAATTAAGTGACAAATAATCAAGCAACCAAATTTCACATTATTAGTAACAATGCATGAATGCTCTTCATCTAATCCCGTTAATTCATATAACTGGACAAGTAGACCTGCACGGCCCATACCATGCTTATACCACTTGGTCCCGAATGCCCATTTATATGAACTAACACCCATTTTAATCATCCATAATTCCCCCTTTTGTTAGTCATCTTGTCTAACTCCCTTTCGCCAGTCTCGAATCACCCAATAAAAACCATGTGCATTGTGGGATCCCTGAGACCTAGTACCTGCCAAGAGTTAGACTCAACTACACAAAAGACCATTCCCATTACCCTCTTTTTCCACCATTATTTTCTTAACCCAAGAACTCCAAATAATTTCCATGACATTATATAGTTCACATATCTCATAAAAACAATGTAATCATTTAAATATCACCAATTTACATATAATCATGCCCACATTGTTCAAACAGTTAAGAGTACGTAAATCAAACAGTACCATGTATAATATAATGCTCACGAAATTTAATTAAATCAAACGTATATATTTATTAGTGATAATATTTATGAAAGTATCGCACGTAATATTTTATATGTACATATATATATATATATATATATATATATGATAGAATAATAATAATGCATGAAACTCTAGATAGCTAAGGACAAAAATCCTACTACCATTAAATAAAATTAATATTAAAAGCATGTTTTAAGAATATCATCAAAATTATTGAATTTGCATTAAATAAAACATAGACTTTCATAAAATAATTATAATTATAATTTAATACTTACCAAAATAAAGTATTAACATTTTTAACAATAAGGATTCTCACAGTTCTGCCTTATCTACTACATTGCTAACAAGGTTTCTGTGTTCTGCCTTATCTGCTGCCGTGCTCACAGGGTTTCTGTGTTTTTCCTTACCTATTGCCATGCTCACAAGGTTTCTGTGTTTTGCTATGTGCCCTATTTTTTAGGGTTTGCTCTTGTGTTTCCGTTACGAACTTTTCTTTAGTTTGTCACTCGTTCTCTACAATTGGTGCTTCTCAAGTATGGTGTTCTGTGACTCGCTTGTCAAGTTGGGCGTGCGAAATATCTTTGCCCAACTTGAGGGGGAGTGTTGGCGAGTCCTTACTTAGTTAGGATTTTGGTTCCTTATTTAGTTAGAATTTTGGTTACTTACCAATTATTATTGTAATAGAGATTTATTTCCTATTGTAATTTAGATATATTTCCTATTTTATTTAGGTTTAACACATCTTTGTACTTATATAAATACCTCAATGTTGGAGAAGAATAGAAATATGAGCGTATCTGAGCATAACTGAATATTTGCCCTACTTTGCTTGACAGTATGCACAAGTTGCCTATACTCAGCCTCTATGCTCGATTGAGACACAATTTTTTTGCTTTTTAGAACTCCACGAGATTATATTCTTGCCCAAATAAATGCAGAAACCACCAGTTGAGTGTCGCGAATCTGGATTGTTGGAATAATTCGCATCAGAAAAGGCATTAAGTTGCAAGTCACCATGACGATAAACCAATCCATGATCATATGTACTCTTCAAGTAACACAGAATCCTCTTCACAGTGTACCAGTGAGTGGAAGAAGGATGCTGCATGAATTGACAGACCTGGTTTACAAGATATGCAAGATCAGGCCTGGTGATGGTGAGGTATTGCAGAGCACCTACAACTCTTCTATAGGTTCCGGAATTGAGCTTATGACCTGTCGGTGTAGGTGTAGAAATCGGCTTGGCATCAGTGAACTTTGTATGAGACAACAAATCCAATGCATACTTAGATTGAGTTAAGTACATGGAATCACCACTTCTATGCCCAAAAAATAGTGTAGTCGTCCCAAATCTTTCATGGAAAAGGAAGTACGAAGCTACTGAATAAGAAGAGAAATTTGAGATTGATCATTACCTGTTACGAGGATGTCATCAACGTAGATCAGTAAGACTAAACAAACACCTTTCTAATTATATACAAAAAGAGAGTAGTCACATTTGGATTCTTGGAAACCAAGCTCCAGCAAATAATCAGAAAAATGTTGAAACCAAGCCTTGGGCACCTACTTAATCCATAGAGACTTCACTGCAATTTACACACATGGTGTGGGAATTGAAAATCAACAAAACTTACCAGTTGACACAAGTATACTTCCTCGGCAAGATAGCCATGCAAGAAAGCATTTTGAACATCTAATTGGCGCACATGCCATCGATTGGAAACAACCAAACTCAAAACCAACCAAATAATGTTGTGTTTAACGACAGGAATAAAGGTCTGGGTGTAATCAATACCTTCATTTTAGTGAAAACCATTGGCAATCAATCTTGCTTTATACCGTTTGATTGAATCATCGAACTTCGTTTTAATCTTAAATACCCACTTGTTGGGCAACAAATTCATACTGGATTAACACGAGATAAGAGTCCAAGTCCAATTTGTTTGCAAGGCACTGAATTCTTGGCTCATAGTCTGTGAGCTTTTGAAAATATTTGTATTTTTAGTTGGAGCCATCTGCATAAAGAAAAAAAAAATTGGACTCAAAATGGTGAGGATTGGAATTTTTGGAAAAATATTCTGATTGATTTTGGAGGAGAGATTGTTACGTAAGAATCATAGAGGTGATGTTGAGCGCATAGCATTTTTGGGCAAATTTTTCGGACCTCAGATAAGTTTTTGGAGTTGTTTCACTTAGGTTATGACACATTTCAGCCTCTAGTTTTCCCACATGTGCTGGTGTGGCAAGGATGAAGACAAGGAAAAAGAGACACTTGCCTCTTTGATCTCCCACATATGATCATGTCATATTTCGGGATCGGCTCCGCCGTAGCACGATATTGTCCGCTTTGAACCCCCCTTTCTGCCCTCACGGTTTTGTTTATGGGAACTCACGAGCAACTTCCCAGTGAGTCATTCATCCTGTGATTGCTCTAGCCCCAACTCACTTAACTTTGAAGTTCCCATGACTTCGAAGCCAGTGAGCTCCCAAAAGGCCTTGTGCTAGATGGAGGCGGGCATGTACATATAAGTCACATCACCCCCTCTCCGTTGGTCAATGTGGGATGTTACAATTTACACATTCTCTTCCATTTTCCAAAGAAAACTCTCTCAAACTCCTCACAACCTTCCAAACCCGTCAATTTTGTTGCATGCTTCGAAACCCATTTCTCCTGAGCTCAAAACGAAATGCGTCATTCTTTAGACTTGTTCATCTTCTTGTCTTATAGAACATATAAAAAATATAGCCCAATCGAAGAATTGTAGCTACCTCAAAAGCATGTTTATTTTCCACTATTTGTCACAGCCTGGTACTCTGTGTAAGGCTCGGGTTTGGCCTTGCGTGTCTATTTTCCACTGCTCTTATGGTGAAGTAGTCTTCATAAAATTTGTTCGTTGGTTTAATAGCCATGACATACCCAAAATTCAAGGGAATTGGAGATGTCTAGTTACCTGAGATCGTTTTCAAGGTGCTAGTCTTCTCTTTCTTTTTGTCGGCTGGTTTCACTATAATGTTGACTTAATCACTCTTGAATATAGCTTCCTGTGCTCTAATGACATCTTGCCCCTCATGAAAGTTGTTTATATTTGTCTTGACTATAACCTATCAACATTTGAGCTAAATCTAAGAAGTGTCGTCATTTCAAATTGTGTTGAAGTGTCACCTACTCATTCATGTCTGTTGTATTGATGTAGGCTCGAATTCTTTCTTGCATGTCAATTTGTATTGTTTAGCGTGGTATCAGAGTGACAATCTTGGAATTGTTGATTCTAGTTTCAAACCCTCGTCGCCTCTATGGGGGTTGATGATTTTGTCAAACCTCATGGAAGTAGCATCACTGACTCCTTCTCTCCTTCTCAACCAACCATAGCCGAGTTGAGTGCCCGGTGGCTTAGTTCCTAAGATGCAGACTTTGACCCCTAACCTAATCTTGAATGAAGATCCTATTTTGATGCTAGATCCTGAATCAGGATCTCATTTTGACGACCCTGATAACGACCCCCACCCTGACTCCGATGACAACCCCGACCCCGAATTTGTCTATGATTCAGACCTAGATCTTGACTTCGACTCTGACTCCGACCTCGACTCAAGTTCATATCCCGATTTGGATTCATACTAAACCTGTATCCTATGCATCTTCTACTGCACATATTCTTATTATGCTGGGAAGTTATGTTGTCGTTTCATTGTAAACTCTGATGTTTTATTGTAAATTGTTGGGGTTGTGATTTAAATTAAAGTTGTGCTTTACATATTTATTTTAGGTTACTACCAAACTTCTTGCCACTAATTGGCACTTGTTTATTGGAAATTGAAAACCTAACAACTGAACTTGCTAGATGACTAAGATGAAAATGCCACTAGTTTGCAGAGACTTTTGTGCTTACAAATGTTGAAAAGGGTTTATTGGAGACGCCACTGCCACTATGAAATGGATACAATCCATTCTCACATCTCTTTTGGAAAAACATCTTCCGAGTCTTGAGGTCCTTCACAACAAAACGATCGGGAAAAATGAGAATGTAACAATGGTTGTCAGAAGTAAACCGATGGATATAAATTTGGTTGGTAGAAGTTGTGGGATAATGTAAGATATCATTGAGAGAAAATTTGCAGGAATCAATGTTAACAGTAGTTGAACCAAAATGAGAAATTTGTAAAGTAGAAGCATTACCTACACCTCTAACATTTTCATTACCATTGTATTTCTTTGGATTCAAAATATTCTTCAAATCTGGAGTGATGTGCGCATTTGCACTTGTGTTAAGAAGCTAGGATCCATTTGGTTGATGGGTTGTAGTGCTAGGAGATAAGGCCACGGAAGTGAGGTGCTGAGCCGGAATTCTGCTTCGTAAGCCATATTCATGATTTGTAAACAGTCCACAGCAGGATGGCCATCTTTTCCACATATTTGATAAATAATTCTTGGGGTAGTCGAAGCAGAAGACTCCCTAAAAAGACCCATAACACGTCATCGAGCAGCCATACACCCCACAAGTCCATTGTTAGGCATAAGGACCACTTGTTCTAGCATTTGTCGCTTAGTTGTCAAAAGAAGAGCCTCAAAAGTATCATATGTGATAAGTGTATCGGGAGCTTGGACTGCACTAACTATCATATCATAGGATGGGCCAAGTTTATTCATGAAAATATGGACTAGTTCATCATCATTCATTGTCTGTCCAGAGGTTATCAATAATAGCGTTCATATGATCAAGGTAGTCATTGACAGAAAAATCACCTGTGGTTGTGCGCAGTAGTTCATTGGGAAGATGCAAAATTATGTTATGAGAGGTGGAAGCATAACGCCTCTCCAAAGCTAACCAAGTTGTGCGAGCATTCTGATTTGTCAACACAATTGACAAAACAAAGTGTGTAAGCGAGTTGTTGATCCAACAGAGTGTGCTTCCAGCAATAGTTGATGGTGGACAAGCACGGGTGCCGTCCACAAACCCCATAAGGTCTCGACTCTTCAAAATGGGAACAATCTGAGCTAGCCAAAGTGGATAGTTCAATCAATCAAACGTGATATTGATGACGGTGGGCATGGTAGTATTGATTGCAGAGGGGTTAATGATAGTGGAAGCAGGTGGGGCATTGTTTGGAGTGGGAGAATCAGGGTTGGCCATGGAAGATAGTTGTGTGTTTGAGAAAAGGAAAATAAAAAATTGGATCAAATCGTTAGACAAGAAGGCCTGATACATGTAAAACAATATATGCTCAAGAGAATGTTGATGAGCTTTGTTAGACAAAATCCCATTGATTAGTTGTATATTCCCTAATTATAGCATAGGAATATTGTACATTATTTCTTTCCTGTAATAGCTTTCCTTTATCGCCATATAATGGCTGTATGATGCTGTAAATATTCATTCAAGGAATATAAAAAACTTTCCCATATTCTTTGTCTCTCTAAACTTAATATGGTATCAGAGCAACCCTAGCTCTTGAACCTTCTCATCCTCCATAGCCGTCATACAACCTATTAATCAAAATTCCATATTTTCAACATCTCCATGGTAACTCCAGATTCTTCAACCTCATTAGATACCAACAATCGCTATTACATTCATCATGGAGAAAATCCCAATCAATCATTAGTCATCGAATTGCTCAACGGTGAAAACTATGCCACTTGGAGTCGATCTATACAGATGGCTCTCTCTGCCAAAAACAAACTTGGCTTCAGCAACGGCAAATTCGAGGCTTCATTGTCAACCAAGCAGCTCGACGAATATGAGTTGTGGGAGCATTGTAACAATATGATTCTTTTATGGCTCACGCATTCGGTAGCACCCGATCTTGCATCTAGCGTTGTCTTTGCATCAACAACCCATGAAGTGTGGGAAGATTTCCGTGAGTGTTTCGCTCAAGGTAACGCACCCAAAATCTATCAAATTCAGAAGGCAATTGCTTCATATACGCAAGGTACATCTACCGTCGCTGCTTACTTCACTAAATTAAAATATTATTGGGATGAGCTTTCAATTTATCGTCCTCCTCCAACTAGTAAACGCACTGAAGTTCAAGCCATAGAAAAACAAAAGGAACAAGATCGGTTAATGCAGTTTCTCATGGGACTTAATGACTCCTATAATGCCGTCCGAGGATAGCTCCTCCTTATGAAGTCTCTTCCAAATGTGCGGGAAGCATACAATTTTGTCACTCAAGAGGAGAAACAACGAGAAATTGGAAACAATTCAATTGTAGAAAATTTTTCAGTAGCAGCGGTTGTCCAAAATTTCAAGAATTCCGACAACAAATTTTCTAGTAACTCATTTTCTCATTCTTCCTCTAATTACAACAGTGAGGGATTATTTTGTAGATATTGCAAGAATGACACACATAAAATTGAGACATGTCCTGAACTCCATGGATGCCCACATGGGCACCCACACCATGACCCCAATTTCAAGTCCAAAGCTCGCCAGCCAAACCAAGGCAATAGTCATAAACAAGGACAACACATGGACCAGTCTTCACACAATGTTTTTCATGCCATCCATGCAACAGCAAATGCAGCAGAAAATGACGCTGGGTCCCAGTCCATCAATGGCTATAATCCTCACGGCTCCACTTTTATTTTGTCTTCCCATGGGTCCATCAACACCTCTGACAACCATCTTTTTCAGGCCATTATCCCAGGACTTTCCACCGAGCAATATAATCAGTTGACCATTGCCATGGCCAATATGGCCCACTTGCCTAAGGGTAATATTGATGCATATGCAAATGCAGTAGCTTTGTATAATTATCCCTCTGTTCATTTAATTTTTTCAGACTGTTGGATTTTAGATAGTGGTGCTACAAACCATATTACTTCAGACTCCTCTTTATTTGTTCAATCACATCCTTCTACCATACCTTCTGTTCATTTACCTACTAGTTCTTCCATCCCCATTGATTCTACTGGCACGATACTTTTTAACAAAGATATTATTTTAAAAGATGTTCTTCATGTGCCTTCCTTTCGCTTAAATCTTTTATTTGCCAGTAAAATCATTCAGTCTTTGCATTGTTGTGTGATCTTGTTTCCTGATTTTTGTGTTTTGCAGGACTTGGCTATGGGGAAGATGATTGGATGGGGTAAGCAAAGTGGTGGCCTCTACTTCATGTCACTAGTTCGCAAGTCCTTTGCAGTCTGTCATACCACCGCTTCCAGTACCATTTGGCACCACCGCCTTGGCCATCCTTCTCTTGCATGTCTGCGTCTAGTGTCTAAGTCTGTTTCCTCTATTCATCCCTCATTTGAAAATAATTGTGATATTTGTCCCTTAGCAAAACAGACTCATTTTCCTTTTCCATCTAGTATTATTTCTTCTAAATTTCCTTTTCACTTAATACATTGTGATATTTGGGGACCCCATAAACACCCCACACATTCGGGTGCACGGTATTTTTTAACCATAGTTAATGATTTTTCTCGTTGCACATGGTTATTTCTTAGGAATCATAAATCTAATGCTCCTCAGTTGCTTATGTCTTTTTTTACTTTTATTTCCATTCAATTTAATTCCCACATTAAAATCATTCGCAGTGATAATGGTGCCGAATTTCTTTCATTGCATTCTTGTTTTCTTACTCATGGTGTTGAATTTCAACGTTCTTGTGTTTACACCTCACAACAAAATGACGTTGTCGAAAGAAAGCATCACCACATTTTACAAGTTGCTCGTGCTTTATTATTTCAATTTAATGTACTTATGCGCTTTTGGGGTGAGTGTGTGTTAACTGCAGTCTATTTAATTAACTGTTTGCCTACCCCAGTTCTCTCTAACATCACACCTTTTGAACGTTTATATAATCACACACCCTCATATGATCATCTTCGTACTTTTGGTTGTTTGTGTTATGCTACTACATTCCATCCCATTTCCAAATTTGCTTCACGTGCTCGTCGTTGTATTTTGTTGGGTATCCTTCTGGGCAAAAGGGTTACAAATTATTTGATTTGGATTCTAGGCAATTTTTTGTTAGTAGGGATGCTCGATTCCATGAAACTACTTTTCCTTTTAAACCCATCACCTCATCTGATCCTACCACAGTTTTTCCTCCAACTTTTCCATTGGACCCCATGCCTACTTCACATCCTCTCCCTCTTGCACCATTTTTTGACTCGTCTGTTGACTTTTCCGTTCCGGCCCCTGCCACTTCTCCTACCTCTGGCACCACCAGTCTACCTACTTCCCCAATCACGCCCCCTAAACCAGCTCTTTTACCTACCTCCCCAGTTTCCCACTCTGATACTCACTTGGTCCTACCTATTGAACCTCCAGCTCCTCCCATCCCTCCCACTCCACCCCCCCCCCCCCCCCCCCCCCCCCCCCCCCCCCCCCCTACACCCCTACTTACCACACCCACCTGGCAAACAGAATTACTACATGAACTTTGCTCATTGTGGACCCCATCAATCGTTGACTCCGTTGTCCAGTTCTAAACAAGGTACAAGGCACCCTCTCTCTAATTTTTTTATCTTATTCTCGTACTTCTCCTTCCCATTTTTCTTTTCTTGCTAATATTTCTGGTCTTCATGAGCCCACTCACTATAATCAGGCAGTCCAAGATCCCAAATGGTGGGATGCTATGCAAGTTGAGCTTGATGCCCTCATGCACAACGATACTTGGACTCTCGTTCCTTTACCCGCCAGTCATAAGCCTATTGGTTGCAAATGGGTCTACAAGATAAAATACCATTATGATGGTTTTGTCGAATGCTACAAAGCCCGTCTTGTTGCTAAAGGTTATACCCAGCTTGAAGGGATTGATTATGAGGAGACTTTTTCTTCCACTGCCAAACTTACTACTGTGCGGTGTCTTTTAGCAATTGCTGCTTCTCGCAATTGGTTCCTCCATCAACTGGATGTTCAAAATGCCTTCCTTCATGGTGATCTTGATGAGATCGTCTACATGGACGTTCCCTTTGGTCTTCGCCGATAGGGGGAGAATATGGTATGTCGGCTCAACAAGTCCTTGTATGGTTTAAAGCATGCCTCCCACAAATTGGTTTGCGAAATTCTATCATGCTATCCAATAGGCAGGTTTCATTCAATCAAAGGCCGATTATTCCTTGTTTACCAAATCTGAAGGCAACTCCTTTACTACAGTGCTCATTTACGTAGACGATATTATTGTAACAGGCAATAATGAACACACCATTAAGTCCCTCAAAGATACTCTCTTGCAACAATTCCGCATCAAAGATCTTATAAATCTAAAGTATTTTCTTGGCATTGAAGTCTCTCGGTCCCGAAAAGGGATTTTTGTTTCACAACAAAAATATGCATTAGATATTTTGAAGGATGCAGGATTATTGGGATCTCGTCCTAATTCCTTCCCAATGGAGGAGCATTTAAAATTAAATCATGAAGATGGCGATTTGTTTCATGATCCCACCAAATATAGGAGATTGGTTGGGAGATTAATTTACCTCACAGTGACAAGGCCTGATATAGTATACTTTGTGCAAATCCTGAGTCAATTTATGCAGAATCCTCGTACACCTCATTGGGAAGCTGCTTTGAGAGTTTTATGGTTCATTAAAGGCAATCCTGGTTAAGGATTATTTTTTCCTTCCTTTAATGATCTAATTTTAAAAGCTTATTGTGACTCAGATTGGGCACGATGTACGACGACTCGGTGATCTGTTTCGGGATTTTGTGTCTTCTTAGGAAACTCTTTAATTTCCTAGAAGTCAAAGAAACAAGCCAATGTGGCCCGTTCTTCCATTGAAGCAGAATATTGAGCTATGGCCGCAACCTGTTTGGAAATTACATGGATGCGATATATTTTGCAAGATCTCAAGGTTCCACAAACTCAGCTGGTAGATTTATTTTGTGACAACCAAGCAGCTATTCACATAGCCAAAAATCTGTTTTTCATGAACGCACGAAACATATTGAGATTGATTGTCACATTGTGCGAGAAAAATTACAAGCTGGCATTATTACACCATCCTATGTACCATCCCGTTCTCAACTTGCGGACATCTTCACCAAACCATTGGGAAATGAACAATTTCATCACTTAAGTAGCAAGTTGGGACTTCATGACATTCACTCGCCAACTTGAGGGGGAGTGTTAGACAAAATCCCATTGATTAGTTGTATATTCCCTAATTATAGCATAGGAATATTGTACATTATTTCTTTCCTGTAATAGCTCTCCTTTATCGCCATATAATGGTTGTATGATGCTGTAAATATTCATTCAAGGAATATCAAATACTTTCCCATATTCTTTGTCTCTCTAAACTTAATAAGCTTTGCAATATGTGAATGTACTCTTCCCTTGTTCCTCAATTAAGAAATGTATTGGGCTAAATTTGGACGTTGGAAACAGAAGAATATTTTGTGTGTGTGAGTTTGTGGGTATGGGTGTGTCTCGTGGGTGGGTTGTTGTTTGGGTGGCAAGGGGTGGGTACACAGAGAGAGAGAGAGAGAGAGAGAGGAAGAGGGAGAAGAGAGAACAAAGTAATTTTTTAAATAATTTTTTTTTCTATTTATTAAAATTTTTTAAAATAAAATATTTATTGTTTTTTCACTAGTGGCTTACATTTCAGTCAAAGGGTGTGATAAATTCGTGCCATGTCAACATTTTTAACATAATTTTTAACATAGTTAATGGTGGGGGGCAAAGTGAACGACCAAACTTTGGTCGAAGGGGCATTCTAGGTCACTTTAATTTTCAGGAAGTAAAGTGAAATTTGACCATTGTTTCAAGGAGCACTACAGTAAATAAGTCTTTTTAAAATAAAGGCATCCAACTAAATAAACGGAATTTTGAAAAGTCAAAAATCATTATTGAAGATGACGAATTAATAATGATGAATGTCAAAAAATTGGTGGTCATATGAAGAGAACTACAATTGGTGGTAGAAGTTCACGGTAAAACTATGGAAAGGAATGGAAGTAATAATATGGTCCTTGTAACAAGAGCTTTGCATGAGTAAACTGGAATTGGGTCTCGCACAGCTCTTGCGAATGAGAGGCTGAGATATCATAGATGGGCAAGTCAGCCCCCTCCTACCTGGTCAATGTTTGATGCGGTTGCGTATTTGTACAAGTAGTTTTCTGCTGCTTTTCTTTTACTAAGGTGATCCTTGTATTGTTCCTTGTTTTGCTCTTGTCTGGCTTTCAATGAAAGCATCATTTGACCAGAAAAACACATAGAGTATCAAAAATAGGATGTTATCTTGGTAACTAGGACTTACTGTTATCGATCTGCTGATGGAATTATGATTCAAGGATATTTCCAAACTTTTTTGGCTTATCAAAATTAAACAAGGATTTCAGAATTAGTAAGTTTTTTTGGCTTATCAAAATAAACCAAAAAATGTTGGTATATATTTCTTGGTGAGAAATTTAATTCCTACACTTGTGTATTTTTTTTTTTCAGTTTGTTCAGGTTTATGCATTTGTTTTCATACAATTGCTTACCCCAATTGGGAAAACAATTTTTTCTTTTCCCATTTTCAGGAGTACTTATAGGAAACATCTTCTTTTGAGTGGAGAGGTGTTGAGCAACCATCAACCATATGAATATATAACCAATTACCATCTCTCATTCATTCAATCGGGCTGCTTTTTTCTATTGTCAACAGATTTTGCATGTTGTGTGGTGCGTTGGCGAGCAAAATTTGTGTGATATTCTGCGCAAGGCCACTGGCTTCATATATATTTATTATTTTGTTATAAAAAGTCTACCAGAAAACAAAAATTATATTGAAAAAAGAAAATTTTTTTTACTGTTTCTGAAAATATTATTCATATGATGACAACCGCAGATACATACATCACTGTAGAGTGTAATCTTCAAAAATACTACACTAAAAATAAAAAAGGTGAAAAAATTAAAACAAAATCAAAGGAGAACAGAGAAGCAACACTCATCCCAGAATGAAAAATGCAAGTCTATTTGCATATCATGGTTCATCTTTTCAGCCTGAGTGAGCTCTTTTGAGGTTTTTTATGAGCAACTTTGATGAGGAAATGGTTCCAACTACTCCCAGAAGTAAGCCAAATGCAATGAGAGTGAAGTTAAGGAGCAGGAGAGGCCTTGAAATCTGACCCCAATAGATCTTGAGGTAGAAGGCACAAGGGAAAATGACACAAATGCCAATACTTACAAGGGATCCTGTGAGGCTGAGAACATACTCAAAATAGGGGACAGAGAGAGCCAATGCTAGAATCACCAGAAGTAGCACTGAACCCACAGTACCCCTGATGATCAGCTTTGTTCTGGAGCTCATAGAATGAGGAAGGTTGTGCTCAAGCTGGATGGCCATTGGTGCAAATTCCAGAGCATATTTGGTCATTGGTGTCACCACAGTTGCCCACAATGCAATTTTTGTCACTATAAGATGTGGAGGCATGCTTAGAGTGATTTGAGGATTCACGTGGGGACCAAACAACTTGGCTCCCATGAAGGCTAGGGTCGCGTAAAGTATCGTCGCTAAAGTGAAGCTCACTATAGATACCTGCAGAAATTTTTAAACCAAAAAAACAAAGTTAGTAACACAGAAAACAAATTGGTTTTGTTTGGAGTACATGTTCATAAAATTCCATGGTCACTAATTGAAGAAAAAAATCCAATGATCAGCACTCACATGTTTCATTAGTTATTATAATTTGAGAGATGAAAAGTACCTTGGTGAACTTGGATGGATCTTTCATGGCCTTGTATAAATCGGGGAAAACAATATGTCCTGCATAGCTGAAGATATAAAGGCCAGATATTGCTGGAATATTATGAAGCCGGAGGGCTGGTATGGTGTGGTTAGCTTTCACCCCTCCGAAAATGCCGGTGCATGCCACTGATGTGAAAATGACAAGGGACATGAGAAGACCTCCGAAGGAAAGGAAAGATATAGAAGAGAGATCTCTCAACCACAGACTAGGCAGAGCTACCACGACCGCCATCAAGGTTAAGAGCTGAGATTTTGATAACTTGGCCCATGACACCTTAAATTGCGTCCCCGAGAACACTGTGTTTAGGTTGTCATGCAATGAGATGGTGTAGGATACAAGGGCCATGAAGATCTCCGTGTAAATCAAGGTTGCTGTTATAAGTTTTCCTTTGGTTCCAAATGCCTGCTGTCCAATATCTGTGTAGCTTCTTGACTTGGGATTTTTGTCAAGGCATTTTCCAAGTATATGAGAACAATATGCACATATTACCCCAAGTCCTATCATTAAGAATGCAGAAGACCACCCCCCAGTTTCCAAGGCATATGGAGTTGATAACTGCCCCAAACCTGCAGCATCATACATATGCAAAAATCAATTACTTACAGCATTTTCTGAGTCATGTAAACTCTAAATAGAGATCGATGTTTTTTCTGTGTATATCTATATATAGCCGGACTGTGAATCTATACTGCGTATTTAAACGTGGTTCTCAGATTCACAATCTGGCAACGCATGTGCGCACACATACATATACAAATGCACATGTAAACATACAAATGATAAAAACACTAAATATTTTTTTCAATCAAACAAACAAGCACTCAAGTGTCTGAAAAAAATTACCTATGAGCATCCCAGTCATGTTGATCACAGAATGAGTAAAAGAATTGTTGGCCTCTGCATGGTGCTCATCAACACCCGAGACTCTCTTGCAGCTCTCAAAGCTTTGATCACACTTACACGCTTTGTTTTCCTCCAGACAAGCATTGCAGCTCAGCTGCTGCAAAGCCAAGTTCCCACGATGCACCGAGTCACTAGCAACTTGATTTTGGTGGGAGAGGCAGTTTGATTTAAGCCATAATGATTTTCCAATGGTGTTCCACATGTTCTGGTACAAGATAGCTTAATATGGAAAAAGAGGATACTCTATAAGCCAAATAAAAGCTTCCTAAGAGATACTTGGTGAACCTTGCTTCAACAATATATTTATACCTAAACAAAGCCAATATTCCTATAGTGCTACTCACTACTATTTGAAAGAATTTTGTGTTAGATAAATTGATACTTTTGCAGTCTTGCAAATCTAGAAGAAAACGAGTGGGTATATTTATGACAAAATGAAATTTGTACACATATACTTAAGAGATAATTAGTCATATATCCATTCTTAGCACTAATGATATAGATAAATCATACACCATTTAATTTATATAAACAAACCCAAAAAAACTCAAAAAATGACAGTTGTCCTCATTGAATTTAATTTTGAATTAAATTACTTTGATACCCTATTGAGTGTTTTGGGTTTTTTTTATGAGGTTTCGGGGTTGGGCTTGTTTTAAGATATCGATGATAGTTTTGTAATTTAAAAAAAGTTAGAAGTCTCTTTGTTATATTGTAAATGAGCTTTGGGTGTGTTTCTAAAGTTCATTTCATATAAGGTTTTTTATAATTTGGACTCATATATTGAATATAATAGCTAATCATCTGGTGGATACTCAGTGGGAGTTTTGGTGTCCACCTGGTTGATACTTCTGGGAAATTTGCTTGGGAAAGTTGGCAAATGGAACAAGTTGTTTTCATTCTAGCTAACGCAGACAGGCCAATATTGGTGTGGACACTAGTGTTGGGCATTATGAGCCCAGTGACGAATAACCAACCTGACGTCATGAATATTCCCAATTCTTTTTGTTGTGTAACGGACACGCTGGGATTCACTAGTAAGTCAAAGATTGCACCGATATTATCTTAAACTTAATCACCTAAATAGACCCCGGTGCCATAGCAAACCACCTACTTTTAAGTTGTATATTATTGTAATACATCTCTGATGTGAGATTATATACTTATCCCCATCTATGACTTCTACCAAGCTATACACCCCCAACACTTACTCAATGCATATGCTCTTGGTATTTCTGTCATATATCAATTTTGAGAAGCTAGGAATTTTGTAGATCGAATACAATTTTTTCTCTAATATTTAGTTTATCAAGTGGAATATATATATTTTTCCATCGGGATTTTTTGAAATAAATATCAACATAAAACTTGTGGTGTTTAAATTGAAGACAATATCGACAATTTAACTGTTACAATTAAATAAGTTCAAAATATGACTTAAAACGCCAAAAGACATCCGCCACCAACGCCGAGCATATGGGAAAGAAGACGTGGTTAATTTCATGTTAGAAATGCATTGCATGGCTGCTACAAAAATGGGAAAGGAATTACACGAATTTTCTTATACCCTTTTAGTCTCACAATGTGTTATATTCTTTTGGTATCTTTAAGACATGGAATTCCCTAACTAGTGTTGGTAGGAAAATGATACCAAACCAATGAACGGCAGTTGAAAATGTGACATGACCTAATTGGCACATGTAGGGCAAAAATTTATGCCAAAAGAACCTGATGCAACTGCGCAAAAAACCATCATTCCCCTTGCAGCTGGATAAAGCGAAAAAAAAAACAAAAAAAAAAACAAAAAAAAAAAAAAAAAAAAAAAAAAAAATATATATGATACCTTTTATAAATGACCTAAAAAACATCGACATTCTATAAGATCTACTTTTTTGGATATGGGGGGACAAATGGGTGATGTCATTTCTTTATTCGATTTTTTTAAATACAAGTAATAGTTTAAACTACAAGGGGAGGAGAGTTTCTCACTTGCACACTACGGACCAAAGTGTCATGAGGATTTGAATATAAGATTACTGGTATGCATGCAAGTAAAGACTCTTTTTTATTGGGATAGACCCCGTTAACATTCCTTGTGCCTTTTATGCACTGTATATATATGATATTTAGAGCATCCACAATAGTTGTTCAATAGTTCAATTTATTGAAGTATTTTGGCATCTATTGAATTGAACTGCAGTTTTACTTGCAATGGTATAATTCAATAGCTTCATATCAATAATTATATGAGATATTTAGTCATATACCCATTCTTAGCACTAATAATATAGATAAATCATACACCATTTAATTTCTATAAACAAACCCAAAAAAATGGCAGCTGGCTCTATTGAATTTAATTTTGATTATTAAATTACTATGATGCCCTATTAAGTGTTTCGGGCTTTTTTATGAGGTTTTGGGATTGAGTTTGTTTTAAGAAATCAATGGAAGTTTTGTAATTTAAAAGAAGTTAAGCATTTTTGTTATATTGTAAATGGGCTTTGGGTGTGTTTCTAAAGTCCATTTCATATATGGTTTTTTTTATATATATATAATTTGAACTCCTATATTGGGTATAATAGTGAATCTCTCCAGTTATATTACTTAGATGTTTTTTTACATACTCAAATAAAATGAAAGGGATACATTTAATAATAGTAAAAAATTGTACCATTGAAATATTCTTAAAGAGATCTTTAAAAAAGAGATCAATTTTGAATATATTTGAAAAAAAAAAATTAATTGTTGTATTTTTTCAATTGCATTGAACTGTTAAATAACCATTGTAGATGCTCTTAACAACATAATGCATTAATTGCTATATTTTTTTATTGGCATATGGGTCCCCATAGTTAGCCGATTGCAATTGCAATAGAGGGTTCATCACACTATTGCAAGTGAAATTTTACTGTTCTAGTTCAATTTCATGCAATAAAATTGCATTGATCCTAACCATTGCAGATGCTCTTAATTAATTATTGCATATACTTTTGGACATTTATCGATCTAAATTCTAAATTCTAATGCATGTCAAGGCTGCTCAAGAAAAAAAGTATGGGGATCATCGGCAGCATCACGTAAGCGAATTCATTTGGTTCGAAATGTCAATTGCCATTTATGCTAAGTGATCCTGAAGAATGAGAATCCCCATTTGCTTCGAAATTGATTCTTAAATGTATTTGATATAATAATATTATATAATAAAAAGCTTAGATGCGATTCTTTAATTTGTACGCACTAGCTATTGTCTAAATTTTGACAATTTAAATATACCTAAATCAGAATTTTTAATTAAAAACAAAAAACAAAAAAAACATACACAAAAAGAATCACAACGAATCCCTAAGATCGTACACAATCTTACATTAACTCATTAAATTTGAAAATATAGAAAAGCAAATAGTTGGTAATGCTCCATGGCTGCATATGCTCCATGGAGAATATGTTGCGTAACGTGCACCTCATGGATTTACATTTTAATATATATCATCCACGATAAAGAAACGTTAAGGTGGAGTTCTATATCATCCATTATTCTTGTCATGTTCGCATACTAGGGAGCACCTTATGGGTTTCCCTAAATCACTTTTTTAGACAAATTTTTAGGGAGAAATTGGAAAAATATAACTCCAACCATGCTCCCTATTCACCTCCTAAAATAGAGAGGCCTCTAGGAGCTCCTAAATCTGAAAAGAGAGAAATAACTCCTAATAGCTCCCTATAATTTCATGTTGCATTGTTTTATGCATATTTTAAAGTTTTAATGAATGCTAACTATTTTTTTAATAGAAATGGACCAATTACATTGAAGGCAAAATTGTAGCAATGGTCCCTGGACTAATCACCAACTTTACTTTTCGTCCCTCACATTGCTAAGTTGTTACTGTGGTACTTTAATTATGCCTCTTGTTTTAGAAAGAGTCATTTCTGTAATCTCTGTTAAATTTTCCGTTTAATTTGATGACATGGCATGGACGAGTCCTACTTGGCATGGGCAAAAATGTCTTTTCCACATTAAAATGATTCAGCTGAATTAGAAAGCTTACACCATGGCATGGGCACAAATGTATTTTCACTGATGAAAAGTGTTTCGCGATTTTGAAACTAAAAGGTATCGAAGGTCAACATCAAATAGAGAAAAAAGCAAGGGAAAAGGGAAGAGGAAAAGGGGAAAAGGGGTAGGGTTTCTTGATTGCGATGTTTCAAAGTGCAATTTGTGATCGAAAGTGCTTTGTTTGAAAGGGAGACAGTGTTGATTGAAGTATTAGTGCATTATTAAAGATTCGAGGGTTCGATTTTGGGACAGTCGAAAGTGATAGTGTTTCGGTATTTACAGAGAGACTTCACATGGAGACATTGTTTAGGTGGTCTGGAGAGCATCCAAAGTATGATAAGTTACCACAACTTTAACTTAGTGTGTTGAATATTTTATAGGTTTAAGCTTTGTCTACATATGTATGGTCCTGTGTTGTTGTCCTTGTTTCGGCTATATGTGTGGTCCTGTGCTGTTGTCCTTAGTTTGAAACAAGAAAATGTGGTTTCAAAGCTTTCAAAATATTATTTTTCTGTTGTAACCTAAGTAATATTGTTTTTTCTGTCATATAAACCCGAGCTATGCACTTTAGAACTTCACCCATTTCGGTTTGTTGGAAAATGGTGTATATAAAGGTGGGAAGGTATGCTTTGCAGACAACTGTGTGGATGATTATTTGTCACTGTTGGATTTAAAGAAAATTGGGGTAAAGCTTGAGTATAAAGTGGATATAACCTAGAATGTGACTAGCCTAAAAGTGTTCTATAAAGTGCATGCAGAAGATGTTGTTAAGGAGATCTTAGATGATAGGTGCATTGCAAACTTAGTTGGTACCATCCCATCAAATAGAGTTGTTGTGCTGTATTTTCATGATCCAACTGACCAGAACACACTTGACAGTAAAAAAGAAGAGGTATGGCCATCATTGGATTCTGACGAGTATGCAAATGTAGCTAAAGAGGAACATGTACAAGTTGAATTTGATGGTAATGAAGCAGACAATGAAGAGGAAATGTGGAAGTTGAATCTGCTGGTAGTGAATCTGAAAATGAAGAGGAAAATGTGGAAGTTGAATATGGTGGTAGTGAATCTGAAAATGAAGAGGAAAATGTCGAAGTTGAATATGGTGGTAGTGAATATGAATTCAATAACCATATTAAAGACCCAAAAATATATTTTATTTCGCGGCTGCACCTAGATGAAACCCCAGACTACCTACGTACCCATTTTCTTAAGGGATCAAGCCACATATAGTTCTTTCTACCATAAAACGAAAAAGAAATCATCCAGACACATAGCTAAAACATCAATTGCTTTTGCTACCGTCAAATTATATACATACTTTCATATCACGAAACCTTACTAACTCATTCATTCAATCCCATTATAGTTTTAACTTTGTACCATCTCTAAGATCAAGCATTTTTACCTAAAATCCATTCTTTGGGAAATCCTGGGCGGACACTTGTAGAGAAACTTCAATACAGGTACATGCAATTCCTTCCTGGTCGGACACCTACAAAGCAACATCAATACAAGTACAGACAATTTTTTCCTAGGCGTACACTTGCAGAGCAACATCAATACAGGTACATGCAATTCTTTCCTCACCAAACACTTGCAGAGCAATATCAATACAGGTACAGGCAACCCACTAGTTGGACACCCGTATTTGTGATACGAGTACAAGCAATTTACTATCCCAACACCTACAACTATAGGTACATGCAAATGCTCCTAGCCGGACACCTGTATCCAAACTATAGGTACATGCAATATTCTGACACCCGTATTTGTGATACGAGTACAAGCAATTTACTATCCCAACACCTACAACTGTAGGTACATGCAAATGCTCCTAGCCGGACACCTGTATCCAAACTACAGGTACATGCAATATTCTTTCCCAAAGGAAACTTATAAAAATCTTTTTCCCAATCTTTTTCCAAATCCTTAACTAAATTCAGTTTTCCATAATCCACATTACAAAAATCATTTCCCATTTTCCACTTTCCAAACTATTCACCATTTATGAACATGCGTAAACATTTAAAATCATCCTAAGCCATATCTGAATAAGAAACATAAATATATCACACTTGAAAATTAAAGCGATAAAATAATTAATTCATAAACACTGAAAATCATCCTGTTATAAACGATAATTAAACAAGAAATCAAACTTGCCCAATTAACAAACGAGCTTTAAACTATCAAACAAATTCAATACAAACATCCTATTCTCAATCCATAAATTCTTACATGACCCTAGAGATCCAGGGAAAGACATATTCTAAAACAGGACCCATTCGACAGTTCGACAATAACTCAAAAATCACATAATAGGCGAAATTCTGAATCGCCAACCAAATGGTGGAATATTGCGTATCCGGGCACACCGTCGTGCTCAGGATGACACGAGAATAATTATGGGACCAAAATATAATTTCAACAGTGGCCCACAAGCCGCCACACTCCACCGGCAACGGCGATGAATTGAGGTGGTTTCTGACAATGGAAAATTTCCACATCAACGAGTAATAATTATACCAACACATTCAAACTAACTTGAGGACTAACTTTTATACTTGACTCGACGTCTCAAGGTGGCAGGTTTGGCCCCAAAACACTCTTTAATCGTCGACCCTAATGGGTGTCCACAACAAACCCTCAAACAGGAAAATCAAGCCTAAAAACCTATACCAATAGGTGGAGCATGAAAAGAGGATGAAGTTTCATACCTCAATTGACGAAAATGGTGGTCGGAACCGCCGGAAACCCCACCTGAAACTCCTGAAACCCTCAGCTCCTCTTCTAGCTTGCGCTGCCGCTGTGTGGCCTAGGGTGGCTACGTCTTTGCCCATCCATGATCGTCAGCCTGGGGTGGTCCTTTCCCAACCAACAGCCTGATGGCGGAGAATTTCTCTTTGATTTCTTTTCTCTCCTCTCACTCTCCTTTCTTTCTTCCTTCCTCTATGCCTGGGCTCTCATTTTCTTCATAATGGTGTTTTCTTTCCTCTCAATTGGTGTGTTATGCAAAGGCAGAATAATGCCTTATTTATAGGCTAAGTGCATTTTCACCATTCTCCCCCAACCCGGGCAAGAGGCCCCCTAGGCCTTCAATCCCGTTTCTAGCGCCCAAATCTTGCAGGGCAAGAGCTAGGCTCCACCAACTTGGGCAAGCTCGAAGGCAAAACTTTCCTGGGCTGCTGCTTAGGCAAGTTGACCTAATGTTGACATCATTGTGACGTCAGTAGCCAATTTAAATTTAAAAAAAAAGGAAAACAATACCAGAATTTTCAAAAAAAAATTTATTTATAAATACCTAGCCATATTTTTCACTTCTCATGCCAAAACTATATACAAATTCCTTTCCTCATATATCATGTGAATAGTGGTTGCTCTTGGGTTTCCATGGCAATGGATGGAAAACTAACAAAAAAATTGCTGGGGCAGATACTATTTATGTGAATAGTAACAACCCTTGTCTCCTCTTACCTTTTGCCATGACAGATGGGTGGAAATGCTCTAAGGAAATTACTATGGCAACGTTTGGGATTGCTTTTGTTAGTCAAAAACTTGCTTCACTTTAAAGTTAAGCAGTTTAAGGTGTTGGTAAAAATCAAATTTTCCGATTATTTTAAAAGCAATGGCCATTAGACAACAGTTATTAAAAGCAGGCTTTGAGTTGCTTTTCAAAGTTGCTTTAAAAAAAAAAGCATAGATGAGCGTTTAATGATTTTTTTTTAAATTCCCAAAATACCATCATTAATTTTTAAAAATGACACAACCTCCACATCCACATCCAACTCTACCACCGCTTTCCACTACCACCACCACCACGCCCCCATCCCTCCTCAACCTCCACCACCTCTACCTTCATCACCACCTCTTTCACCACCACTACCACCACATGTTTAGCGCATAACACTTTCAACATCATGTCTATTTTAGTCATTATTCATACTTACAACAGTTTCATATTAAAATTTAACAAATGGTTTTGACACTGCTTTTTGTATTAACAACACTTTAAAAATAGTATTTACCAAATATGAAGCTGCTTTACTTTACAGTTAATTATTTTCAAAGCGCAGCAAAAGCAACTTTTTTAAAAGGTGATAGCAATCCCAAAGTGGCCATATGTACAAGGGAGGATCCGTGAATGTGCAGTGAGCTCATACACCAAAGTCTTCAAACAAATAGTAAGTGGGCTCCACTACTTTATTCTTTACAACACCGTGCAGTAAATACAAGGGTATACTAGTGATTTGCCCCTGAACTTGTACCTAACTTTCGATTCACCCTCTATCATTTTTTTATATATAAGAAAATGAAGGATATGAACTTCTTTTTTTCGCCAATTTCCCCCATATAGTCTAAATTCTCAACATTTCATCTAATTTTCAGTTAAATCATCTTAAAAAATTATTTTTTTGAAAAATATTGAAGAAAAAGAGTAAACCTAATGCCAACCCCTTCCATCTCCTCCTTTCCTCCTCCCATTCCCCCATGACCACCATCTTTTACTCCCAGACCAATCCCCCACCCCCATAGACCCTTCCCCCCACCTCCTCCTTCTGTATTTTCATCCCCAAAACCCAACCCACCCCCCCTCTCCTCTTGATTTTTCTTTTCCTCCCATTCCCCCATGACCACCACCCTCCACTCCTAAACCAATCCCCTACCCCACAAACCCCTGCCCTCACCTCCTCCCTTCTGTTTTTTTTACCTCCTTCCCCCTGAGTATTCTTCGTCTACATTTGCAGAGAGAGAGAGAGAGAGAGAGAGTATTTTTTGAATTTTCTGGTTTTTATTTTATTTTTAATGTATAAAATGACAACTTTGCCCTCATATTTAATGGCAAATTGGATTAAATGCTCCAGATTTAGACAGCAGGGGGGAAATTGGTGAAAAAAAGAAGTTCGCATCCTTAATTTTCTATATAAAAAAGAGATATTTAGTGATATACCCATTCTTAGCACTAATATTATAAATAAACCCTCCATCATTGAATTTCTATAAACAAACCCAAAAAAAACCCCAAAAATGACAGCTGGCCTTATTGAATTTAATATTGATTATTAAATTACTTTAATACCCTATTGAGTGTTTTGGGTATTTTTATGAGATTTTGAGGTTGAGCTTGTTTTAAGAAATTTATGATAGTTTTGTAATTTATAAGAAGTTAAGGCCTCTTTGTTATGTTGTAAATGAATTTTGGGTGTGTTTATAAACTTCATTTCATATTGGGTATTTTTATAATTTGGGCCCCTATATTGGGTATATTAGTGAATCTCCCTATAAAAAAAGGATAGAGGGTCAATCGAAAGTTAGATATAAGTTCAGGGGGGCAAATCACTAGTATATCCTAAATACAAATAATTGTTTCCTTTTTCTTTTTGTTTTCCCTTTTTCTTTTGGTTTCCGAAAGCAGTTTGGACTTTGCGTGGCCCTTCATTTAGGCCCTACGAGTCTTTAAGGCCCAATTTTCCCGTCCTTCGACAACTAGGGTTTAGCTATCATCTTCACATTCACTATACAGAGGTTCCTCCGCGCCCGAGAGACAAAGCTTCCCATCTTATACTATTGCTGTGTCTCTCTTCTCTTCTTTTGCTCTCTCCGTGAAATTACAACATGGCAACCCGTTCGTACAATCCTCTATCTGTATTTTTATCTGTAAATTTGAATGCTTTTGTTTTTCTTCATTGTGAAAATTTGGTTTTGTTTTTTGATTGTACAGCGGTGGCAAGATCCTTTCTTCAGGTGGCAGCGACAGAAGAGGTTGCTTCCCCTCTCAGAGTTGTTCAGATCGAGGGATTGGTAACTCTCCATGATTCTCGACTTTTCTCTGTTTTGCTGCTTGTAAATTGCGAAAGAAAAAGGAAAACGAGCTCAATTTAATGTTACATTGTTTTAATGTCTCCCAAAATATCAGACTAGGCACATAATTAGTACCATTCTAGAATCTCATTCGTAAGCTTATGATTTTTGTTATACTGATTTTTTTTTCTCTCTTTTACGAAACCCCAATTGATTGCTTTTGGAACTGGGTTTGCCGAGTTACCTTATTGTTGGTATTAATATATATATATTTTTTGTGTTTTTACAAAAATAAAAATAAAAACAGGTTATTTTAAAGATAATCAAACATTGCAAGGAGTTTTCACCGGCTTTGGTCACAGGGCAGCTTCTGGGATTAGATGTTGGCAGTGTTCTCGAAGTTACTAATTGTTTCCCCTTCCCGGTATGATGATGTGTTAGCTTCTGTTTTGTGATACTTGAATGCATTTTCCCTCCTCTTTTGTTAAAATTCCACCTTGTGTGAAAAAATTCAGATTCGAGAGGAGGATGAAGAAATTGAAGCTGATGGCGCCAATTACCAGCTTGAGATGATGAGATGTTTGAGAGAGGTCAATGTTGACAATAACACTGTTGGATGGTAAGTTTTTTTTTCTTTTGAGTTAACATGCTTTCTTAGACAAACAAAGCATGTCAAAAGATTTCAAGTTGTGTGTTTAGTAATTTTTTATTGTTTTCCTTTTCTTTCCCTACGAATTAGTTGTTTCTTTCCCAAGTTATGTAGCTGGTAGCTTATATGCATATCCACATATTTATATTAATGAGTTCCCTAATATACACTATGATGAATGGACATCTTCGAATAGTGTGAGTCAAGATATTGATCCAAAGTTTACCGATTTTTTTCTTTTTTTCCAGTGTAATATATAACACTCCTTCCTAATATTCTTCAGGTACCAATCAACATTGTTAGGTTCTTTTCAAACCGTGGAGCTTATTGAGACATTCATGAACTACCAGGTAATGGTTTTAAAATTACTATTTTAGTTACGTGTAATTTCATGAAAAAGAAGATAAAATCCTTTGGTTTCTTTTTTTCATTTCTCTGATTTACCCTTTTACACACATTCTTTTATTCAGTCAAGAATATTGATGTGGTGGAACCATAATATTTGGACATGCCCACGTAAAATAGAGTTTTTACTTAAATCGAGTTCCTAAAATTTAAGAATTTGAACACATCTAGGTGACTTAGAAATCTGCCTACAAGTTTTTTTCGTGGTTCAATTTCAAGTCTAAGAACGTGTGCTTCAAGAATTTTAGGATTTGTAAGTTAATTGAGAGTGGGCAAGCGATAGGAATGTATGGCAAAAGAAAGGTGCCTTGGTTGCATCAGGTTAAGGATTTAAGCAGCAAAGTCAGTTTATTCTCATTTTCTGCCTTCTTATACGCTAGTGTATGCCTGAGAGTTGCCAAAAGGTGGCCTTCTAGGGTGTTAAATGTAGGAGAGTATAGGATTGGATAGGGACATGAAGAAACTTTCCGTTTAGTTTGTGAATAATGCAACTTGTCTTCTTTTGAAAAGAGGGGAATAGGAAGACTGCAGTAAAATAGGGTGAAGAGGTGGTTTATGAGGAGGTTTGGTGATAGAATGAAATTGAACTGGATAATATTCAGGTGGTTAATGCTATAAAAAGTACTTTTGTCTGCCTTAGTCCTGAAAAATTGGACTCCTTGAAGATTACAACTTCAGCTCATGAGTCTAGTCTCAAGTTTAGAAAAAGGGCTGTCCAAGGCATTGGAAATAAGGGTGATGGTGGTGTCAAGGAGGCAATATCATATTCAAGGGTGTTCGCATGAGGGACACAGGTGTTAGTGCAATTGTAGTGGGTAATGAGATGTGGCATGTATCATGTTACACACACACACATAGGCCAGTATAGGTGCAGACGTCCACAAGTCCCTTACATGTCTGCATCTATATGCTCATGCTTGAACAATTTTCATATATATATATATGTATATATATATACACACACACACATATAAATACTAATTGGTGAAGTTTCAGTATATAATGTGCTACCCAAAATTGAACCAAATTCTTTGGAAAATGTTGGTTTCAGTTTTTTTATATTTGGACTGTGAAGAGTTGTTAACGAGAATAAATCAAAATCTACTAGAAATCAATTGATTAGGTAAAAGCCAAACCCTACTCATCTTGTTTAAAGTTTTGTAGTTGCCAAAATGATACCGTACTCCATTGCATGAAAGTCAATTCAAGATGAGATAAAATATTGATATCGGAAAAACCCATGGTGGACACTTGCGTTTGGACCAAAAGTCTTATTTTTGCGTTGTAATGTACATTGCTGTAGCCTTGGGCTTCCAAAAAAGCAAAGCAGTTAAAGTAATACTGCATCCTTTAAGTGCTACTGCATTAGATTTCATACCTGATTACTTCAGTTCGGATATTTTTCCTTTTCATGTGGTTGTTGTTTTTCTTGTATATCTTTTGATAAGTATCTTTTTTGCAGGAAAAATATTAGGCGTTGTGTGTGTATAATCTATGATCCATTGAAATCCAATCAAGGCGTTTTAGCACTCAAGGCGTTGAAGCTTTCTGATTCATTCATGGAGCTTTACCGCACTAACAATTTTACAGGAGAGAAGTATGTTACCTTTTCGTTTCAATGCTTTTATGTTACCTATACTTTTGCATGAAAACTCATTTGTTTTTGTTTTTTTTTTTGTCATTAGGTTGAGGGAGAAAAATCTATCATGGGTGGATATATTTGAAGAAATACCGGTAAGCGCTTTGAGCTTGATTATTTCTTGTACTAGCATAATACAGTCTATGCTTGTGCCTGCTCATATCTTGGAATGCTCTTTTGTTTTATATCATGACTGTATGTTTTATTTCTTAATTATTTCTCTATATTATCACTCTTCAACTTGGAAATTAATGGTTACAGATAACCATTCTGTTATTCAGTATGTAGAATTTGAGTAACCAGAGTATTTATCAATGGTCATACCAATCAGCTGTACTAGAATTTAGCCACAGAATTCTAAGTGGTTCTTAAGTACGTTAGGCGTAGCATAATTTCCAATATGTTTTGAAAAGTAACATGATTTGTTATGGGGCCAAGAACTTTATCCTTTAAATATTGACAGAAGTTTAAAGGACCAAGGAAGACACACTACTCCAAAAAAACCATAATAAATATAAACATCCCAGATATGTTCATTGATTGATATGGAGTTATTTTCCTGTTAATGAAACTTTCAAACCCTCCATTTTTTCTAATAGCCGCTGGTGAAATTTTTTATGCCTTTTTTTCCTTTAATTTGTTTTGCCTGATCTTTGTCTGAGGGTTGCACATGGGTTTACCATTTTGTTTTGATGTTTATGCTGCTTGAACTTGACAGATCAAGGTTTCCAATTCTGCACTTATTAGTGCCTTTATGACAGAGCTGGAAGCTGATACACCTGTTGTCCAGGTCTGTATTACGATCTTTTTCATGGGAAATTCTATATGAGTTTTAAAATTATTTGAGGACTTATTTTATCCATGTTGCTGTTTTAGTGTGATTATGATCGTCTGCAATTGTCAACCAGTCCTTTTCTGGAGAGGAATATGGAATTTCTTATTGAATGCATGTACGATTTGTCAATGGAACAGCAGAAGGTTTGTCCTCTCTTTACCTGAAGGTTCTCAAGTTATGATTCCGCGTTTACATATCTTGATTTGTTTCTTGTCTTCCAGTTCCAATACTATTATAGAAACCTGTCACGTCAGCAAGGCCAACAGCAAGCATGGCTTCAAAAGAGAAGGTAATATAGTGAATTGAAAGGATTCTTTTAATCTCACTATTTGATAGATTTGTTATTCTTTGGGGGATTTTGCACGTTGATTGGTGTTCAGCTTTGCAATTTTCTTTTTTCAATACTGCTATTTATTGTTAGAGACATTGCGGCATATAGAAGATAAAGCTAGGTGGTCAATTTATGAACTGAGTTGGATTCTAAAATTGGAAGAAAGTCTAGTAGAAAAATGTGGTCTATCATACAATCTGTTGCTTAGTTTTTTCTCTTGCAACATTTGGAGCATGATTGATTTTGTCTACTCAGGGTTGTGTTATGTAGTTTGCCTGTGTTCATTGCCTTTACTTTTTTTGCATATTTAGTTTTCTGTTCTTTGTTTTGTAGAGCGGAGAATATGGCACGAAAGGCCACAGGAGAAGAACCTTTACCTGAGGAGGATCCTTCAAACCCTGTATTTAAGCCACTTCCTGAGCCATCACGTTTGGATAGCTTTCTCATAACAAATCAAATCTCAAACTACTGCAACCAAATTAATGGGTATGTTGCAAATTCTGTCGACGGCCGATCGTATCTTACCAAGTCATTTTCGTTTGTTTTACCTTGTAAAACTTAGTTGGTGTCTTTAGATATTGGTTGTAGGGGACTTGTATTTTCTTTTGTTATCCTCGATTCAAGGCAAGAAACTAATGGTAATATAGTATAACATATTCAATAGATATCTCTGTCCTACAAACACGTGTACATTAAGAGGTTGGTCAGGCTGTTTTCTGCCTGTAATGGGGGATAAAGGGTTTCATTTGCACTTCTAACAGTGTTATTGAAATTTTTGGGTTTACTAATTTCATTTTTATGTTTGTATTGTACCATCTACAGGGTTGCTGGCCAGAGCTTCAGCAGATTATACTTGACGAAGGCTTTGCATGAGAACTGATGGAATGCTGTATTCGATTGTTAGTCGTAAGGAGAACTATCTTTCCTTAGCAGTTGCTATCTGTATAAGATAATGAGTTTAGAGTTTTTGTTTTTGTTCATCTTAAATTCATTTTTCTGAATCTGTTAAGTTTGAGCAATATTTTTGTATGAAGTTTAATGGCAAGTTTGGATGTGAGATTATGATTCCAACATGGAATATGCCTAACCAAACAATTCCTCCTAGTCTGGTATCTCTTCATTTTCCCTCTTTTCTGGTGTTATCTTCTGGTGACTAGTCAAGTAAAACTATGTTACAAATGACTTGGATTGCATGGGACATTTCTTGATTGTGAAATAGTATTTTTGGTGTGTTTCGTTGGATATAAGATTCACATGCTCAAATTTGAGTTCTGAAAAAACAAAAAAAACAAAAAAAAATTTGGTCACAAGAAATTTAAAGGTTTATTTTTTGAAGGAACCTCAATGGTATGAGGAAATTAAAGGTTCATGTCAACATATACAAGAAATTTTATTTTATTTTCTGATGACCAATCCAGTCTAGTGACATTTAAATCCCTTTTCATTTGTTTTTGGTTTAGAATGATAGTTGCTTAGTTGTTTTTGACTTGTGCCACCATGTAACCGAATAGAGAAGAAATTTTTTATTTTTTCTTTGCAAAAAATTAAAATAAAGAATGTACCAGGGATTTGTTTTTCCACTCTGCCCGGTTTATGCTACCTTAAGTTATCAATTAATTAAGTTGCAGTTCTTGTTTGATCACCAAATAAGGTTTTCGAGTCTTATTTTTAAAGGGATTCTATTCTGAAGACCAAATCTTATTTTTAAAGGTTTCGATTGTATAGTGATAACTTTTTATATATACATTGATATAGATTTCTCCTATGCGATGTCTGGATGTTATTATCGTGTGGATGCTATGTATTTCTACTCTAACTCTATGCTTTTCTCCATGTTTACAATGGTGTCCGCAGAAAGAAGAATGATATATCGTATTGGCATAACATAATTGAACAACCTGTCGTTATATCTCGACATTTTTTATAAGAAAGAATGCTAAAAAATACTCACACTAGGACATAAGCAAATTGGCTGGTCCTGTTTCCTCTTTATATTCCTTCATATATATACAATTTGATGATGTCGTTTATATCACAATATCCCAAGTGAATTATAAGGAGACCCGTGAAACGTTCTGTCGTCTACCTCACACAGAATGGAAAGCATACCAACAAACAATGTTAAAGAAGTCACCTCTCGTGTGTAGGGTCCATTTACACATGCAATTCATATTATGCAAAATCACAATCAAATTGTGATTTTTTTAACTACTCGTCTTCAACCCCGTGAACTTTATTCCCAAGAAATTCATCTTCTTTATTTGCATTCCAACTGTAGTAGATAGAGATGCTTCATATGTGCACTGTTGACGAGTCTTTATTTAGTTAGGATTTTGGTTACTTACTCGTTTATATAGTTCTAATCCTTATTTAGTTAGGATTTTAGTTACTTACTCGTTTATATAGTTTATTATAATATTGAGATTTATTTCCTGTTTTATCTTTTAAAATAACACATCTTTGTACTTCTTTATAAATACCTCCATATTGAAGAACAATATATATCATAAAATTTTCATATGCTTTGTTTGGCATGATATCAGAACCAGGTTTCGATCCTAGGACCTGTAAGATGAAGAACAACAAATAAAACTAGCCTTGCTTAGTTATCTCACCGCACAACATAAGCTTGCATTAAACTCGTGTCTAGCCTTTCACCTTCACTCTAATTCCTCGTATGACATCTTCTACTTTCTGTTTAAGAATTGGCTTTCGTCTAGGTCTTTTTCAATATTTGTTGTTTAACAAATATTCAAAAGAAAGCAGCAAATACTGAAAAAGACCAAGACGAAAGCCAATCCCTAAAGAAGAAAGCGGAAGATGTCCTATAGGGAACCGGAGTAAAGGTGAAAAGCAAGACACTGGCTTAATGCAAGCTTAGCGAGAAGAGAGAACTGAGCATGACTAGTTTTAATTTGTTGTTCTCCATCTTACAGGTCTCACGATCGAAATTTGGCTCAAATTCATGCTAAACAAAGTATATGGAAAGTTTCTAAAATAAGACCAAGACAAAAGCTAATCCCTAAAGAAGAAAGCGGAAGATGTCCTATGGGGACCAGATGAAGGTGAAAAACAAGACATGCGTTTGCCCTTTATTTTTTTATTTTTTAAACAGATTTTTTTTTGGTAAGTTTACAAGAATAATGATTTTGGAGAAAAAAAAAATCCATTTGTGCTCTTTTTTTATAAACAGTTCAAATTGTTCAATACAATGTATTAAATAGAACCAGTTTGTACTTAACTACACTAGACTGCGTTTTACGTTGCTAAGACACGACTCATGATATGATGCTTAAGACATGCTTACATCATTCTAAAGAGTTTTTAAAAGTTTCTTATATCATGCTTAAGTCGTTCTAAAGAGTTTTTAAAAGCTTCGTATAGTACAATACGATCCAGTTTAATATAGCCTAATAGAGTGTACCAAACAATTCCTAAATCAGAACACAAAACTTGTAGTTCAAGTTATTATGAGCGGTTATTCGTTCAGACGAATGGATTTGAAAAGTTTCATTTTCATGACATTAATATTTGGGGCCAAGCGCACAGTAATTTTCTTTGTCCGGTACTAAATTTTCTTGAGGTGCAAGAATTCTAAACCAATTTTCTTGAATCACATACCTTCCCAAAAGTTTTCAAACCATTCACTTATCAGAACCACTCATCTGAAAACAAATCAAATCATTCAATTTGAAAGCATATGATAGTTCCATTACCACTTTGAAAATTAGAATGAATACAAAAGGAAAAAAAAACCACAAAGAAAAAGGGATATCACAATATATATGCTCATATTCAATTTAGCACGCAGGAAAATCTGGTAACTGTAGGTGAGAAAAAACCACAATTAACAATTGGAGCAGTTCCCTATCAATCCACATAGAAACTAGTAAGAAATTCCAACAAGTTGGAGGGCAAATCTCTTTGTTGTTGAAGTCAAGCAAACATTGAAATGATCTTAGAAATTAGAAAGCCTCCAATGTGTGTGGAATTGGGGTCTTGATAATTTGCATAATTTGAACCACTTCTGCCATGGTAGGCCTGCATGATGGTATCTGAGAGGTGCAAACCAAGGCCAACTTGAGCACTGGTAGGACTTCATCTTCTGGATACTCACCCATGCCTAAATCAATACACCCCAACACATTGCCTTGCTCAAGCAAAACCCTAACATGGTCAGTCAATATTACAACATTGTCCTCCCCATATTCCACAGGCCTTCTACCAGTCACAAGCTCAAGGATCAATACACCAAAACCATATACATCACATTTTTCATTGACCCTTAAGCTCTGGCATGCTAATTCTGGTGCCACATAACCCAGTGCACTCTGAAATCTGTTACTCACTACGTGCTGGTCGGTCTTTGTTAGAAGCCTTACCAGTGCAAAATCTGAAATCTTTGGGTTGTAATTCTCATCAAGCAAGATGTTACTTGGTTTTATGTTGTAGTGAATGATTGGCGGGCGGTACGAATGATGCAAGTGGGCAAGTCCCTTTGCTGCGCCAAGCAAAATTTTGAATCTATTAGCCCATGAAAGTGGCAGAGTCGAAGGAAGCCTTTCATGGAGTTTGGATTGTAGGCTGCCATTGGTGGCAAACTCTGTTACCAGAAGCTGCATCTGTGGAGTCCAATAGTATCCTTTCAGGGCTATTAGATTTGGATGCCTTGCTTTTCCCAGAATTCTAACCTCTCTGTCAAAATCTTCAAGGCATTGAATTATATTTGATGTAACCAGCTTTTTGATTGCTACTACTCTTCCCTGAACTCCAAGTGGGATTTTGTAAACTGTTCCAAAGACTCCCTCACCGATCTCCGAGGCCTTGTTAAGCAGTGATTCCGGACTGCTAATCCATTCCGGGGATGACCTTGAGTCAAATAGAATGAGCTTCCCTGAGGCCAAACTACTGGATCGCGAAGAGCTTGAACACATGCTTTCCAAGGCAGTTTCCACAAATGCAGGCCTCCTCCTTGCAGATACATTTAGAAGGCTAATAATAATTACCCCAACAACAATCAGGGTAGCAGCTGCAATTGCCACAATAGCAGATATGCTCAGGAACATGTGGTGACGGCCTGTTGTTGACATCGGAGATTCATCACGGTGTCTATGACCACCCATTGGTTGTTGTAGGCATTTGGATCAAGAACGAGGGGCTTTGGTACATTCATTGTACATGGCCCCTTTAACAATGGTGAACAAATACCCAAATTTCCTTGCAAAGCAGTTTGATCCAAGCTCTGAAATACACTCCCAACAGGAAGCCTCCCTACTAACCTGTTATAAGATATGTTAACAGCAAGAAGATTTTCCAGTCTTCCAAGCTCTTGTGGTATCTCTCCACTCAACTCATTGTACTCTAATTTAAGAATCTTGAGCCTGTTTAACTTTGAAATGGATTTAGGAATAAGACCACTTAAATTGTTGTGGGATAAGCTCCTACAACAAACAAAAAAAATATCACAATTAGTACAGTTCAAATTAATAAAACACAGATATTTGAGAAGAAATAAAAAAAGAAGGTGATCAGACTTACATCAAATAGAGAGATGAGCAGTTCCCAATCTCATTAGGAATGGGGCCATTCAATGAATTTCCATCCAATTGGAGAATTCCCAAACTCCCTGAATCACATATATCCCCTGGGATTGAGCCGAATAAGGCACTGTTTCGAAGATCTAGCACTGTTAGGTTCTGAAAGAAGCCAAGCTCTGGAGGCATCCTTGACTGAAGATTGTTCCATGACAAATTCAAGTACCTCAAGTTGGAGAAAAGTCCCACTTCTGCTGGAATATTTCCCTTGAGATTGTTCCTTGACAGATCCAACATCTTCAAAGATTCAAACAGTCTACTCGAACCCGGTGGAATAGAACCTGTAAGTCCCATTTGGGAAAAGTCTATTTCTTCCAACCCCAGATCAAACAAACCCTCTGGTATGCTTCCACTGAAGCTGTTATCCCTCAACCGAATCACGGACAACTCATTGCAGTAAGCAAGAGACAATGGAATGGCACCAACAAGTTTGTTGTTGGACAAACTCAAATAACTGAGTGATTTCAGGTCACCAATTGAGGCTGGGAGGCTGCCTGTGAAGCCATTGTTTGAGAAGTCCAAATACTTGAGGCTGCTCATGTTACCAATCCATTGAGGAAAATCACCAGTAAACATGTTATCAGACAGACTGAAAAATGTCAAAGAATTTAACCTCTGAAGTGAGTCTGGTAATGCACCAGTGAAAAGATTATAGCTGAGATCAACCCTACCCAAGTGGGGACTCAGTCCTATATCAGCGGGGACTGGCCCAGAGAAGTCATTGCCCTGCAATAGAAGCACTTTCAAGTTGTGTAAGGCTGATATCCCTTGTGGCGCAGACCCAGAAAAAGCGTTGTTTGAAAAATCTAAAGTACGCAATCTCTTCAACGACCAAATCCCAGAAGCGAAATCCGGGTTACCGGAGAAATGGTTATTGGAGAGATTGAGGCCATTCAAAACAGAACATCTAGGCAGTGTACTAGGCAAAGGTCCTTGAAGCAAATTTCCAGATAAGGAGAGGTACCGAAGCGAAAAACAGTTATCAAACAGATTATCAGGGAGGGGTCCTGAGAGTGAATTCTCAGAAAGATCAAGAAACTTTATGGAACTCATGTTGACAAGAGCAGTGGGAAGGAGACCTGAGAGACTGTTGCGACTCAAATTAAGGCTTTCAAGATTGGGAGGCAGAGCAAGCTTCTCTGTGCTAATGTCACCACTGAAATTGTTGTTGGACAAAGACAAGACTTTCAAATGCTGCAAGTTTTGAAGCCCCTTACCAATTCTTCCCAATAAGCCTAAGCCTTCAAGGGACAGCTGAGAGACTCTTCCAGTGGCTGGATTGCACTGTACAAAGTCCCAAGAACATGGGGAATCATCGTCTTCATTCCATGAAGCGAGGTAGGAGGAAGGGTCGTGGAGGTCGGATTTGAAGACGAGCAGGCCTAAGACGTCGTTGTTGAGTTGGGCAGGGACGGTTGAGTCTCCCATGCAGGCTTGCAGAGAAGCCAATATCAATATTGATGGCAGCATATGTTGGAGGAGTCTGAGAGAAGCCATTGTTGAGTAGAATAGTTTTACAAGTTATGGAAAATGGCTTGCTTGCTGGCTGGTTAACTTGCTAGGCCAGAGAAACACTACTTCTGAAACACCGTACGTCACGAAAAATCTGCCATGGAAGACTGTTAGATTTTGCACTCTCCACGGACTAATTTGTCACTGTGAGCTCACGAGAGAGAGAGAGAGAGAGAGAGAGAGAGAGAGGTTATACTAAATATCAAATCAAATGGGATGTGTAATGTCTCCTTTGTAAAGGCAAAAAAGTGGGAGGAAATGGGGAATGGTGGGTGAAACTAGGAGTTTCGTGTGTGATGGTCCTTTGTAAAGGCAAAAGAGAGTGGATGGCAAAATTGTTAAGGGTGATATTCTTTTGTCATACTTATTTTACCACATATTCTGACAAAAATTAACCATGACGAAACCATTGTATAAATGTTTTTTTTGGGGAGAAGGGGCTAATAACACAATTTTTAAAATCTTGTAAACCAAATTGAAGGCTATTCAAGCCCTATGTGGAGCCATCATAGTCGAGTGAAGCGATCACAATTGGCTCGGTCACTAAGAATCAACATGATTAATGGGTTTAAATTCACAATCTGTAACAACTTTGCATAACCATATATGTATACATTCCCTAGCCTGTGAAAGAGAGAATGTTGAAAAATAAATAAATAAATAAAAGGACTGAGTGTATGTGAAACCCCCCAAGCCAAGACAATTTAGCAGAAATTAATGGTCCAAAACGTGGGTGTTGGGGTCTCTACTAGCATGTGCCTGCCAACCGCACACCAAGGCAATTTTCTTTCTCTTTGTCGCTTGCCACATCTTCTTGTTGCCTCGTTCCTTCACTTTCCAGTTTCAACTTTCAAATACTAATAATAATTCAGTGCAGGACCAAACCAACTGCCATTTCCAAACATAATATATTGTATACTACGATAGGGAAAGTGAATTCCTATACATGCAAAACATCTTTCATGATAAATAGCAAGAGTTTGAATACTACTTGGTAGAATCATTCAGTTTAATATTCCCAGCATTTCGAACTCTAATTCTCTCTGTGTCTGCATATTGATGGCTTTGACAAAACATTTGCATGGGTTGTAAAGTCTTCCTCCTCTTCATCCAACAATCATAAGCGTTGAGAGTATCCCACATCATCGAATCAAATGACGGAAATGTCAATTTAAGAGCTCCAAACATCTTAGGCCTCTCTACTCATTGCCGATTGATTTTGCGGATATTCAATTTTTAATATAATATCATAACAATCTGTCCATGCGTCAAGCTCAACGACCCCACTTGGTCCTGATAAGAATTTCCAACGTGACTAAGTTTAATTTGTTGCATATATGTTTGTATGTTACAAGAGTTCCAAAAGCTAGTAATCCATTCCTTTCTGCTTACTTAATGTTATATATAACATACACTAGTTTCTTGTTGCATTCATTTGTCATTATTACTAACTTTTAATTAACCAACTATTGATCAACCCCAGGATTCCTTTGGAATATGCCTGTTGTTTCGGCCTGATAAAATATAGGGATGAATTACAACTTTTGACATGAACTTTGTCTCTACTTAAAACAAAGTCCTTTCAAAATTTATACAAGCACAAACGACAGATTTACTCATTTTCTTTTGTGTCCTTCAAAAATTAAAATGAATTTGAAACCCAGTTTAATAGTATAATTAATTTTAAAAAATCATTACTCGCTAAGTTATTGGAAAAATTGGCTCATAATAGAGCTATGTTATAATCCCACATTAAATTTGTAAGGAGTCGTCAATTGGCATATAGAGAATTAGACCACACATTAATCTCGAACCATTTATAAGTGAAATCTCAAATCCGTGCAGCAAAATGACTAAATTAAAAGGAATATCGACATGTTTAGTGAGTGTCCGTTGGTGCTAAATTACCCTAACAAGAACTAGAAAAAGAGTGAAAGGAGTCAAAATTAGGCCGCTAGGTAATTGAGTAAATCTAAAGAACGCAATGCATGGGTGGCTTGTGAGAAAGACAGCTGCCGGGCTCACATGATGAAAATTGTGGTTCACGGGGACGCCCTTGGCAGCTTGCGGAAATGTTTAGGGCAAAGACAAAGGCAGCGTGGGGTCCTTCACTTTGCATTGCTAGTCTGTCAAGGCGTTCATGTCCCTAACTCCAACTCCAACTATTGGAAATGGAAGAGTGGGGCTCCCTCTGTCTTTTATTTGAAATTGAAATCTTAGGGCTTCCATTGTGACAGGAGAGATTAATGGTACTCTTACATTACAGATATAGTCATGCCCAATAGGGACCCTTCAAATCTATTTGTTTCATCAATTTCATAAAATACCCATGAGAGCAGAGAGAGCTAAAAGAGGACCAACTGAATAATTGTCTATTCAATTTTTTTTTTTGGGCCGGTGTGACGGTGTCTATGGAAGTCTTAATCATCTAATTATGGATGATAGGTTAGTTGTTAGAAAGTCTCATGGGAGATTAGGGATGGCAATGGGCCGGTTCAGGACCACTATCCATGCGCCCCTTTCCCTAATTTTTAATTTTTTTATTATTATAAATACTTATCTTACATTATAACACTAATTTCACCTTAAACTATCATTCAACACAATTATATTGAATTCAACTGTAAAATTCAACTCCACTACGCACAATCATCTCAATTCAATTTGACAAAACTAAATAAATAATAAATTATATATTTTTTGTTTATATTATGTTTCTTCTTTTTAAGTAGGATTAGCATGTATGATTAATGAAGTAATATCATCAACCTTCAAGTTTGGGGTGTGCTTTTCTATACTTAATCCCCATCTTAATTGTGAGGTTGGTCTAATTTATACATTTAAAGCATCGAAATGTAGGGAGCATTTTATAGCTCGAAAGCTATGGCGCTAGCGTTATATCTTGGAGCTGAATCGTCTTCCATTAAAGACCTCTTTAATTTCTTACATGGAGGAACATGTACATCATCACCAATGTCAAACTCTAAGGTTGCGTTGGTTTGCTGGAAAAGATGAAATTACTTTTTTTTTTCTTCCAATGTTTGGTAAGTGCCTTTGTTGCTTTAATCGGCAGAAAGTGCGTAAGTTAGTTAAGCTCCACAATAACCCAAATTGCATCATGGTAAAACTCTCATAAAATTCAAGGTGCGATGGTTGTAATTCCATGCCACCACTGATAGTGACTAGAGTTTAAGCAATCGTGTGAGTCTCCGGTACTCAACTTTTACTTGCTCACAAAGTGAGGCATTTCACCACAATTTTCAGGCTCAAGAACAGCACCAGCAAAAATTACGACAAATTTTGAGCAAATCAGCTTTTCGAAAAACAATCAAGCCCAAGGACCTTTTAATCCACCAAACATCATGGGTAGCCCAAACTCCAATTAAGCTTCTACTATACGCCGCGACAGGTACCAACTCTAATTAAAACTTATAATTAAAGAATTGGTAGGCACATTGGATGACAACACGGTGGAAAAATAGGCCAAATTCTCTCATACTCTCTAAATGTAGGAGACAATCTTAAGACAACCCAATATAATACTCCCCCTTCCCTCCTTAGCGAATGACAATACAATTATTGGTTGAAATTTTAATTGTAAATAGGTTTAAACCAGTAACCCTACAACCAACTTATCCTAGGTCAGGGTTTATTTAATTATCTTTAGTTACCCTTTAATTGACATAATGTCATGCGCCCACATACACCATAAGAAGTATAACCCAACTAATTAAACCAAACTTATTTAATATTCATTTATCCATCTTGGGATGCTTGAACCTATGACCTATTATATGCACCAAAAAACCTCGACTATCCCACGTATCACACTTTTTTTTCTCTCTCCCATAAGGCATATGAATCATGTTATATGGAAGATTTTATGGACAGGTAAAATGAGGCAAGTGAGAGGACGCCAAGTTCGCATCTGCAAAGAAAAAATGCACAAGAAACAATGGAGCCACGGGCACCTGAGGTTGAAAAGGAAGAGAATTGAGAATAGATTTATCAAGACCTTGGTTTGCAAACAAAGCTTTCACATCGCTGTACACATTCTAAGTTGTTCTAATCAATCATTGGCTTATTCTACTGTAAACTTGGTTTATCAAACTAACCTATAACCGAAAAAATGAAAATAGAACAGAGACAACTCAAGAAAAGGTAGGCTGAAAGTTCAGAGTACGCTTTTCTCTTTTTGAGCTTTTTAACAAATAACATTGCCAAGTGCCAACACTGATAGACAGCCCTTTTGCCAAATCAATTAAAAATAGGAATCAAGATATCCATATGTATGCCTTTTGTTATACTGTAGCAAGCTTGCATACGTCCGATCCCAGATTCCTATATACAGAGACTCATCGTCTGGACTCACAGATACCCCCGAGATTTCCCCAAAGAAATCAATCTCCTGCCGCACTTTGTAATCTGCCTTTGTACTATAAATATGCACAAAATCTGCAGGTTCTGCAACGACCATGAACTGGCCATCTGATGAAAAGCGAATTGATCGAGCAGCACCCAAGTTATTCTTCAGAACCGCAATAGGTGAGGACAGATTTCTTATATCCCAAACTCGAGAAGTCTTGTCCTGATTTCCGGTGGCAAATACGCGACCATCAGGATGCCATGCAGAAGCAAAAGAGTAATCAAGATGACCAACAACCTTGGCAATAGTCTGGAAAGATCAAACAATTACGTCTTGTCAGTCAAGGGTTCGTATCTTTCAACATAAAACCTCGAATATGCTTTCTTTTAGATGCAAAATTTGGATTCAAAAGTATGACTGCTCTTCTAACTGGAAATTAAGATATTCTCGAAAACAGCAGAAAGTATACATCTCTATGCTGGACAATCAGAAAAACAACTGCTTAGAGAAAATCAGTTATTGTAGTAAGGATAACAGTTTAAAGAACTTGACAGTCATATCAATTACTTTCTCCCCTCTATCATGTCCACAAAATCTACATGTCTCACACAAAGAAACTAAGCTCTTTTTGACCAGTTTACCTCCTCTTCTCAGCAACGATACTTCTATTTAAAGAAAAACAAAATATAAGTTGCAGAACAGAATAACAGCAGGCAAAGGAAAATATTGTTACCTTCCCATTCTGTGAATCCATTAGCAATGCATCTACGTGATCACCAACAACAGCAACAACCCTACGATCCGGGCTTATTGATGTATGCTGCAAAGAACATCAGCTCCACATTAAGAAATAAAGACAACTTTACCTAACAAAAATCCGCAACATGCAATTATGTTCTTAAGATGACTCACATTCACTGGCCAAGGGAATCGAAAGTGATTCAAAAGCTGAAATTTCTCCATGTCATATTCTCTTATGCCACAGTCATTATTGGATGCCATGAAATGCATTCCACCCCTGAAAAGGAGTTCCAATATCAAGTGGTGCTTTATTATAAAGAGAAAAAAATTCAGATGAACAGATTTCAGAATAATATACCCCAGCCTATCATATATTTCAACAGCATTTGTGATGGCATTGTCATCGTATGTGGTCCGGGTGCAGAAACTTACTCCTTGCTTATCAAGACTCTGCAGACAATTACAAACAATATGGTATAAGCCTTTAACAAAACTAAAGCAGTAGTTCATATGTTAATTCAGTTATTACATAGATTAAACAAAAATTATAGGCACCCAGAAAAAGCACCAACACCAGGGTATGAACCTAGAATGCCAGTAGTAGCTACCACCACCTCACGCTCACTCAATCATTTCATAAAATTAAAAAGACCATTGGAAAAAATGAAAATACGAATGCACGAAGCCAAACCATTCTTAGTACCAAAAAATGAGTAACAAAACCACTTTCCTTTTCCAAAATCCAAGCTCAATAAATCTCCTCTTCTAATATGATTTCAGAAGAAACCCTGGATGAGAAAGCTAGCCAAGCATTTGTTCCAGGTTCAATTCAAGAAGGCATCTCTTAAGCTGCCTGTGAAAAATGGGACAAATTCTACGGCCCTCAAGACTCTTCCAAAAAGCTTTCACATACCTTAACAAGACTTAGTCACCCACTATCACTGACATCCAAAAAATAGTCAGTTCTTACATCAGTCAAAAACCAATCTAATCACCAGAAATTCAGACAATTCCCTGTCCAGAGTAGTATGCCACCTTCTGCATGCAACAATAAATTACCTGCAAATTGCCGCTCAAAATATTCCCATTCAACCCATTGGCAAAACAGAAAATGATCTCATTGAAATTATCCCCTCGCATATGTTTATTGCACTAGTTTGGGTGTCTCATGCCACAAAGGTCATATGAATAGCATAGCACAACAAAAAAATTTCAACCAACACAATAGGAAGTCTACGTTCATCAACTGAAAGCTATCAGTTCTGAGGCAATGCCTAGTAGGGATGGAAAACATGGTGGGCACGCATACTCAAATAAAAACAAATTGCCACTCATGCAGCATAGCCGGTAAAAGTAGCATGATTCTTAAATGTTGCAACTCACAAAACTAAGCTAAATGAGATTTAGCTTATTCTAGGTGGAAAATTTGTATCCTTTCCAAACTCCCTAATCTCCCCACATTCAATATGCAAAAGAAAACTTTTATAATGGACATCAAAATTGATGCTCTTATCCAGAACATCAAAATCTGGGGAGAAAAAAAAGAAGCTCCTGTCCACCTTCTAAAAAGGTCACTTTTGATTTCAAACAAGAAATTCTTGTAAGGATCATTGCATGAGAGCTAAATAGGTAGGATAATTAACCTCTTACAAAGTTACAATATCTCTTTTATTTATTAAATTTCCTTTTCATTTGTTTTCGTGGGGTATAAATTAGAATTAAAATTATCCAGACAGAAAATTAAGGGCATTACAGCCCACATAACACATAAAATGAAAACTGAGATTTTGATTTCTCCAAAGAACAACATGCACTGTCAATATGTCAGAGAGATATAAACATAAAAACTAACCTTACAAGTAAGCTCTCCTTGGAAGCCACCAGCAACAAGAAAATTGTCCTTGACCGCCAGCGTGCTTATCTGAGTCTGCATAAAACCCTCCAATAAACTTCCTGCATGTTTCTGCAAGACCATAGAAGTTGGCAAACTTAGACTATTACATAAATAAAAAACAAGTAGCAATTGTAAAAGGACACTCTAACATAAGTTACATAAATTAGGAGAGAGAGAGAAGAAGAGAGGGGCTATTGAGGAAGGGGGGGGGGGGGGGAGAGAGCATCAGCCAACAAAAATTTGAACAATAAAATGAAAGCAATCCCTTTTATTTTCTTTGAAAGGAACTAAGATGATAAACTTTATGTATAGGTGGTTGTACTACCTCTGTTGGTGCTACATGCCCTGCAAAGTTGAGAACCTCAGACAAATTGCCAGATAGAGAAGACCAGTGCATGACTGAATAACTGGACATGAGATATACATCATGTTTCGAAGTAGCCCAAACCAGATTTCTGAGCTGCATGCAAAAATCAGGCAAGGTTGTCAGCTACGTCATAAAAGTAAATTTTGTGAAAATATATCAGCTAACGGGATTATTTTGCAAGCGTACTCCATAACCTCAAAAACCCGTTACTTTCCTAAAGAAAATCATTTCAGTCAACAAGTTCATACACGCAAGCCCATGTGTGTGTGTGTGTATGTGTGTGTGTGTGTGTGTGTGTGTGTGTGTGTGTGTGAGAGAGAGAGAGAGAGAGAGAGAGGAATTAGTGATGAACTGTTCTATATCTTTAAAATGTAAAACTAATAAACAACTATGTCACTTGCAAGAACACAAACCTGGAAATGAAGAATTGTAGGTTTAACCAGTCTTGTATTATGGAAGAATTCATAAAAGTTGCCACCCTTCTGCATTTGTTTGCATTCCTGGTCGAAGTCAACATATATTATTAGTGGAGTCCACTAATACTGACTTAGTAGTTGGGAAAAGAAAATGAAGTAAATACTTGAGAACAAGTAGAAACCTTGTCCACAGCTTCCCCAGATGCAGGGATGTTCTCATAATTCCTGTACTGTTCTAGCCTTGTCAATCTGTACTTTTCCCTCGTTATGTTTAACCTGTCCCATGGAATACCTTGAATGTCCTTTCCCTTTCTTGCTTGTGCAGATGATGTATCAGACATCTTGGTGAGCTGCTCGAACTCAAGAAGGAATTTCATGTCCATTTAGTACAATATAAAAATGAATTAAGCAATTGGAGAACAAAATTGAGTGAAACAAACCATGTCATATTCATCAAGACCCTCTCCACCCTGATTTTCTTCCTCCACATCCTCGACAAAATCAGACATATCTCCCTCATCCCCCATATAATCGAATTGATAGGCCTGCTGGTAAGACATGGTCTATCTGCATTAAGTTCAGAATTTCAATATCATAAACATAATTCCCAAAAGTTTTATAATCACCAATTACATCCACAGTCATGCTTTATCATAATTCCTTTTCCAAATAAACATATGAACAGATATAAAAAAGGAAAAACAAAACCCAACTTCCCACAAGATGAACAAAGAAGAATATATATGGCAGCAGATACAGGAATCTCTACATGATATTGAAAATTTTATAGCTCCTCTATCTTATATTATGGGAAGCCCAACTATTAATTGTGAAACAAAATCTTGACAAAAATTTGCAAAATTTTCATCTATTCACAAGATTTTTATTACAAGTTAAGAAAGGGAAAGAAAATAACAGGGACAAGCACTGACTAAAATTAAAGGCAAAGTGCGGCAGATACACAAACACACACACATCAACAAGAAAGGAGCATGACGTGAAAACATGTATCAGCGTTTTCAAATCAAAACAATAAAAACAACAGCAACAACAAGTACAAGAACCAGAACAACAACAACAACAAAACTAAATTGATTGATAAGAAATACCCAGAAAGGCAGAAACCCTAGGAATTAAAAAAGTGGGAGATAAAACATGAAACTGAGAGAAATAACAGGAGGGGGGAAGAAACACCTGCCTGAAAACAGAGGGTTGTTGTGAAAATGAAAAGAATGAATTGTGCAAACAACCAATCAATCAGGCAGCAACCAAGTTGTGGTTATGATTTGCCGAGTACGGAAAGAAAATAAAGGAGGAAAATGAAGACGCTCCTCCCTCTCCCCTTGTTTCTCTTTTCTGTCCCTCTATCTGCGTGCGGGTGTCAATTGTGTCAATTGGGAGAAAGAGAGAGAGAGAGATAACAATGAATAATAAATGAAAATAATAATAATTGATATTTTCTCTGTTTTGAGTGGGGGATGTGGGGAATGGATGGAATGCGATGATATAAATGTCACGTGTTTATTTGTCGGCAACTCTCTTCTTGTTATTGGGAAAAAGTCTCTTCTTTTGCTAACCCATTTGCACGCTGTTGAGCTACTCACTCACCCAACTCATGTTCTTACCATGTTTCTTTGTGAAAGTGAAATCGCTTGAAATGATAAGGGAAGCCAATTGAGGGGCTTCAAAGGGTACACCCCAGAAAAAGAAAGAAAGAAAGAAAGAAAGAAAGATGGGTAGGAACACCATGAAAAGAGTTGCCCACTCACTTGATACTTCAACGTGGTGCTACTACTCAATGCTTTTCGTACTTTTTGTTTGGGATATGTCCCTTAAATCATGTTCACGCAATAAGTTTGCAGCTCGAGTGATTAAGAGTATTTATACATCGCTTGTATTTACAAAGAATAATCATATGTTCACAAAACATCTTTTTGAGGATCTTTCTTGTTGAGATGAGCGATAATATACTAAACTTACACACACAACACGGATGCTAGAACTTGAACTCAAGATCTTACTTGAAGGAGTAAACACTCCAAACCACTATACTAGTGGGTCCTTTGCATTCACAAAAACATATTACTCAAATGAGTTTCACATAATAAATTAGCTCTTAGTCAATGATATTTCTCTCCTCAATGTTGAAAGATGCCTAAATTTGAATCCCCAATATTCCTGGTGATGGAAAACAGAAACACGAGTTTCACATATACAAGAGAGTGATTTGCAGCATGTGATCCTCACAATGCTGCTGTTAGACAACTACTTGCCTATTATCAAAGAATAGGCCAACAGTGAAGGATAGAAGGCTAGGGTGGGTTGTAGCTCAATGCAAAGTTTGGGGAAAAAAAAAGTATTAGCTAGGGAAAACGCTTATAGATAGCACGATGATCCCAGAAATTAACCCAACCTAGTCAAATAAAAATTGACCAAACTTTTCTCTAGTTGAGTATAATTCTTGTTCCACTCTCGAATGATGTATATCAACCTAATAACCTCCGTCACATGCAGCCTGATCATGCAAGTGGATACATTGATTTGTGGCAAACAATCTAACGATTACATTTTTCTTGCTTTTTCTTGATACATCTACATTTCAATTAAACTAACACAAGATAAAAGAGAACATATGAACCTTTTTGTAATTGAAAACCCAACCAAAAGCAAGGACAGATAAGAGAGAAAGATGGGTGGGGACAAAACCATGAAAATATCCACATGGCCACTCAATACTTCAACATGAAAATATCAATATCAAAATAGCAAAAAAGGAAAAACATAAAACGAGCCAACTGAGGACTCGTTTGATAATCATTTCAATTTTAGTTTATAGTTTTCATCTATTGTTCTAGAGTATAGAATAAAATGAGAGTGATGATGAGATTAAGAGATGGAAGGATGAAAGGGAGTAGTAACAAAAATGAAAGTGAAAACAATTTCAAATATATTTCAATTTTTAGTTTTTGTTTTCACTTTTGTTACTCTTCCCTCTAATCTTTCTACTTAATCTCATCTCTACTGTCATTCTCACTTCCATTCTCCCTCTTTTTCCTTTATACTCTAACACAAAAAATAAAAATTAAAAACTAAAAATTAAAATTAAAATAGTTATCAAATGAGCCCTTAACTACTCAATTCTCAGCGAGAGAGAGAGAGAGAGAGAGAGAGAGGAAAAAAGCTAGAAGAAGGCTTTGACAATTCGATTGAGTAGTATGTCGAAAAAAATGGAGTGGGTAGGTCCACTGCCTAAATATGCAAGAAAATGGACTCTTCTCTAATACGTTATCTACTTCTGGTATATGCAAACGGAACTTTATAAAATAAAATAAAAAATAATGCTTGGGCTTTCATATTATATTCTTATATAAATATAATCTTTCTCCAGTAAGATGTCCTTGTTTAAGAAAACTAAAATAATTTTATTTCTAGGCTGTAATTCAAGGAGTGGAGTTTATAAGCTCCACCTAAAAACTCGGTTAAATTGGAAATTGTTTAGTTATTTGATCATTCGAATTTTCATTTCAATTTTATTCAACGTATTATGTTTCTTTGCGTATTTTAGATGACGAAACAGTTTCAAATCTGAATGATTCTTTGCAGGAATAATTTTTAGACAAGGACTTAAAATATAGATGATTATGATGGTCGAATTGCATTCTTAGATAACCTTAGAATTGTTGACTCGGTTAAATGGGGAGTTTTTATTTCAATTTTATTCAACGTATTATATTTCTTTGCACATTTTAAATGACGAAACGATTTCAGATCTGAATGATCCTTTGCGGGAATAATTTGTAGACAAGGACTTGGATGATTATGATCGTGGAATTGCATTCTCAACCTTATAATTGATGTGTATATTTCTTTTTCAAGATAATGACACCCTTCCGCTGCTGGGGCCCCTTAGCTGGAATAAATTACTCAAAACTTTTGTACTTTATTTACGTAAATAAAATAAAGAAACTGAATGTGCGGAAAATTATCTGTAAGCTTTATTAAGATGTGCTTAATGGTGGGCTTTGGTCCAAAGTTGAGACAAAGCAGTTTTGTCACTTTCCTATCAATGCAATACAAGTGTTTGAAATTCAATCGGATAAATCTTGGAAGCGGTGGAGCTGGTACAATATTTCCGCTGTTCAATAACCGAAATGTCTATTAAGCCCTCGGATGTCAGGCCGAAAAGGGCAAAAAAAACAACAGCAATAATTGACTTGATATAGAGGTTCATGGCCCCAGGGAAAATGCTCCATTATAAGGATTTCATGTTAGGGACGCTAACGCATTAGCTGGGATTAGAAGTCGTGAACTAATCTCTTCACTTTAAAATCCTTAGTTGCGAGGCTTCCCATCCCATGGCCTAGTTAAAAATTTGCATAATAAGGTCAAATGAACAAACAAAACTTTTTTGCATTGTACCAACCGACATTTATGATTCGTTTGGGCTTGCTTCTTTAAGAAGTACTTTTGGCCATAAGCGCTTTTAACAAAAATGCTTTTATTATAAAAATCTTGCATTTTTATAAAAAAATCTATGTACTTCCTGGAAAAACACTTGGAAGTGCTTCCTGAAAAAGTATATAACATTTGCTTCCCTATAAAGTGCTTCTATGATCCAAAAGTACTTCTAAACTTTTATACCAAACGCTGTCATAAGCGATTTTAATTGTCAAAATGCGCTTTTAATTTTTTCAGAAGCAATCCCAAACATGCTAACAAGTTTCAGGAAAATTATCCCCTAGAATATAAGAGAATATGGCCTTTTCTAACTAAAGGTTAGAAGACATGGAGGCACACACATACAACTTTAATTGTTACCCAACGGCTCAAGAAACAGACATCATTTCCAAAGCTCCAGAAAAGCTTGGATCCAACCTAAGAAAAATCAACTATGAACTACTCAATATTCTTAATCAACTTCTTTAGATGGTACACAACCATCTTCAAAGGTGAAAGCTGCATTAAGCAAAGATTTATTTTCTAATTGTAGGAGCGAATGCCGGCCACAATCAGCCACACTACATGCTGTTCCCTCATGAAATTCCCATGAAGTGATGAGGTTCTCCTCAGCCATGCCATCAAAATATGGCTCTTTTTCACTACATAAATCTATCAGTTTATAAATCTAGAACATAGGATTTCATTTTTTACCAAATCAATTGATGAGCAGAGTCGTATGTATTGATGAGAAGACCCTGTGCAGGTCAAAATTAGATATTATATAAATAGATATTTTATTATAAAAATAGATACGTTAATATAAAAATAGATGTGGCGTATTGAGTGAGAACAAAGACTTCTAACTTTTCTTACTTTGCCTCCTTTGTTCTCCTATTTTCTTCTTCAAATCTTTAGCCCTTTTGTCACCTTTCTCAGTCTTCTTTATTTATCTTCCCGTTCGACATCAACTTCATATCAGCCTTGTCATTGAACTCATAAACTTGTATCCTAAAGTACACTTTTAGCATAAACCAAACACCTCATTTTGCTTCATGCCTTCACTTCAACAAGAGTAATAAATCACATCGATCGAGAAAGCATTGCTACTGAGCAAACTCTAAAGCCACTAAACCTAGACCAAGTCTGCAAATACATACGTATATAAAAACACTATGTATGGATGAATGTAAATAACGTAGAACATTCCAAAAATCCGGGAGATTGGTAGCATACCTGAAATCTGGTGCAGAAGACATTTGGTATATCAGAAAATGTAACATCCCACTTAAGAAGGCCAAAAATAGTGATTCAAATGCCACTCTCTACATGAACACACCCTGTCATACTCCTTCCCCAGCATATTGCTGCAGGGCTAGCTGCTCCACCCCGCATTGCTCCCCATCTTCTCCATTAAACCTACTCTACATGCCAATCACAGAATTTAAAGGTCCCCCTTGAACATGAACTTAACTTGTCACTAAGAAAAACCGAGTCAACAGGACAAGCGATACGGTAATATGTAAAAGAAATCAAATAATTCAACTTTCGACTTGAGAATTTAACAAGCATATTACAATTATGTGATTACCTCCACGATCTGCCACCATCGGAAAAATGTTTGACCCGTATCTATCCACACAGTAGGTCTTGTACTATGTAGTCATCGGAAGCCAATTCCTCAGTTTAGGAGCATAAACTAGGGATACAAACAAATCTAGAGTGATCCACCAAAAATGCTCCATTTCATCAATGACAATAATTAAACGCACTGGAAAGAATTAGGGTTATACCATCGGTGAAGCAATTATAGTTCAAAGGTGTTCCGAAACTTCACAAAATAATAAAAAAACAGAGCCTTCCTTTGATCCAAAAAGACAGGGTGCACAGGAACCCTGCAATGTTTAGCCCAACTAGGAAATAATGGTTTCTCCTCAGATTTTTCTTCTGAAAATTTTCTATTTAATAAATTGATTTTTACCATTATGCTATTTGAAAATGAAGTTGTTATGCCTTTAGTATTTTTTTCAACTGATGATAACCAAGGTATTTTTGAAAATTTAACCTTTAAGTTAAGGGTCATTTTGCTTTATATATATGTAGATATATTGTAATACTTCATCTTTACATGCATTCACATAACTGCAAAAATAATACCCTCACCACTTTGATTATTTTCAGGTAAGATATGTACATTTTTGACATTCTCAGCTACCAAGGTTCCATAGATTGCTTCCCGCCACCAAGAACAGAATGAGCATCAACAGTCCAAAACTGCCCATTCTCCCTGTAGTCCACTGTCTCAACCTTCTCATCACCATTATCATCCAAATACAAATCTTCAGACTCAAACAAACTCTGAAAACCGTCATCATAATCATCATCATTGTCATCATACTCAAACTCATCACTAGCGTCACCAATCTCAGTGTTGTTAATGCGAGTGTTCCTCCTCTCTCTTCTTAGTCTCTTGCTTTCACTGACCAACTCCATCAACTTTTCCTTTATCACCAAAGTCTCTTTCTTCTCCAACAGCGCACCCTTATCATCAAAACCCTCCACCAAGAACACAGAATCTCTCTGCCCTTTCAAGCTCACGTAGAATAACTCTGGGTGCCGCACGATCATCCCTCTCAATTTGTTTGGCAGCACAAACTCTTTCCTAAAATGAGTCAAGTGGTCTATCAAAGTTCTCTTTTCAACCGTCATTCCTAGCACTTCTCTCACCACCAAACAAGCTCTCTTCTCTGCCTCAATTGACTCTTTAGGCAAGTCCGAGACAGGGGTGTTGTACGGGCACACATCTGGAATTTCTTTAAACTTGAGCAAAAAATCTTGGTGACGCCTCTTCAAATTTAGCCCTTTTCGAAGTGTCAACTGGTTAAACTTCAAAGGTCTGCCTACTATTAGCTCACGCGATTGAACTTTAGGAGATGATAAAGGCTTTGCCAAGTCTTGGTCCCAGGAGACAAGCTCAAGCGCACGGCCATAGGAGGTGTCAATAGTCTTGAATTTATTTGGATGGTCATTGCATAAACGAGAGCGGAAATTAGGGGGAAGACCAAGATCTGGAGCTAGATGAACCAACTTTGACAGAAGTAGCCGGTGATGAGACGAGAGCATAAGAAGTTTCTGGAGTTTGGTGGCCAAAGAGTCAGAGATGGCTGATTTAAGACTTAATTCCTGAGCAGCAAGGGCAGCTGCAGCTGGGGTTAGACGGACACAGAGTTGTGATAAAGACTTGGTTGCGTTGACTGGCAAAGGAGGTGTTGGGATTGAGAAGAGTTCGAAAATGGTAGGGTAACGATGGATCATTGAGAGGATGGACCGTGGCTTTGATAGGGAAAGATAGGATCGACATTTATAAAGAATATGAATTGGAATATAGCATTTTGGTTTAGAAAGGAGCAGTGTTTGTAGCTTTTGGACAAAACGTATCTTGTTCTGCTTCACAACATGTCTGTCCAGTGAAGGACAACGGACAGTTTTGACAGAAGAGCACGATATTGAAAAAGAGATATTTTGTGAGATCTTGTTGATTTTACAATTCTTCTTGACTGTACCTAATAAGCAAGGAGGATAATGAGGAAGGAAGCTGGAATTGAGAGAACTGATGGGCCAATTCCTTTGCAATGAGGAAGGCAAAGACAACTCCATTTTTCACAATTACAAGATTTAAACCCTACACAAGGTATATGTGTAGTGAGATTACGAAGCGTATAACAATACCATCCATCTCATTATTATCCACACGAGAGTGACATAAAGAATTTCCCTTTAGTGGTTTCTTATGAGCAAAACGGTCACAGAGAAGCACAACCCTCAAAGTATGTGTGATGAGGCTACTCACTTTATCTACCATGTATAATAGTGTACCAGCACAATGCTAGACCTTGTTGCAACTCTTTTTATCATCTTCACCGGAACATATAGTTGTACCTATAAACACAAATAAATAAATTCATGTCATACAATAAGATTATGGAAAATGGTTTAGAATACATGCATCAACCCTAATTTCAGACAAGCAAACACAATTTCAACCAAAGTGGAAATAATAGTGCGCTTAGGAAAACTGATATCTATAAATGGAAGGAGGAAACCAGCATATCCCATATTCAGATGGAGAAGACATTGTACATCTACAACTAGAAAAAAACAGCACTCTCAATTGCCAATATTTTAATTGAAGTTAAACTCAACTTAAGCACCAGAAGACAGAACTCTTCTCCATAAGGAATCCTAGTTCACTATCCAAATCCACAACATTTTTAAACGGAAATGAAACCAATACTAAGCTTTCTCTAAAGAAAATTTGAAATTTCTGTTGGGTATTAAGCTAAAAATCCCAGCAGTTCAACAACATAAACCCTGCGAAATAAAAACCAAGCAATTATAATATCATATCAGCAAATGCGACAATGGCAAATCTATATTTGAGCAAGATACATATTTACATAGAGAGAGAGAGAGAGAGAGAGAGAGAGAGAGAGAGAGAGAGAGAGAGGAGTGATTGCAACTCGCAAGAACTCTAAAAAGAATTCAACCAAAAACAACTATACAAGTGAAAAATGAGAAGATAAGATATCAACAAACAATCAGTTCTCTAGAGATAGAGATTGAGTACGAAATTTAGCTCTGCAAAATTGACTTGAATACAAACTGTACACTCTAATCTTAACATCAAGTGATTGGTGATCCTATCTGAAAAGTCATGTAGAATCGCGGAAAAGAACAAATGTGTGGTTCTCTATACAGAAATCCAGAGAACGGTCTCATATTGTAATAGACATAGAAAAGGAAAAACAAAACTCAACCTCCCCAACAATGAACAAAGACGACTACATAAATATCGCAGCAGATAAAGGAATCTCTATATGATGTTGAAAATTCTATAGCTCCTCGAATACTCACAAAGACCAGTTACAAGTACTGAAAACAAAAATATTAACACAGAAAGGAGCAACACGCCAACTAGAAAGGAGCAATAAAAAAAGGAAGAGACTTGAAACCATGTCACAGGTGTTCAAATCAAACTATTCAAAGCAATGAAAACAACAGAAACAGAATTATATTTGATCAATAAGAGATACCCAGAAACCCTAAGGGAAAAACAAAATTTGGAGACAGCATAAAATTGAGAGACATGACAGGAGAGAACAAGCACCTACCTGAAAACAGAGGGTTTGTGGTGAAAAGGAAATGACCGAAAACTTGTTGTTATGATTTGCAGAGTCTGGAAAGCAAGGAAAGGAAGAGAAAGGGCTCCTCCTCCTGCCCTTCTTCTGTTTTGTCTATCTATATCTGCGTGCGTATGTGTAAAATTGTGAGGAGTTCAGACGAAGCACATTTGCAGGGTGTTAAGCTACTCACTCATATTAACCATGTTTCTGTGCGAAAGTGGATAAGCGAGGCGAAGGCAAACGCTTTAAATCACAAATTCACAAGGGCAAAGGTATTTCTTACAAGAGGTCATGTGAAAATAACTCATGCAAGTTTTACACTATCCGATCATTACCACCCCTAGCTAGAAAAAGGTTTTTTTAATCGAGTTTTATTTTAGTCCTCCAATTTTTAATTGGAATGGTTTTTTTTATAAAAAAAAATTACGAAATTGCAATGTTTCTTCAACTTGTATTGGATTTTTATTTTGGTTCTTTAGTTAAGTTTTAGTTTTATTAGGCGTCCTCCAATCGTCCCACTAATGGTAATTCGGTCATTTTGTCAAATTTTATCAATATGTTCGTGAAAAAAGGTAAGGTGTGTTATTTGTACATGAATTAACGGTTAAGCCCCTCAAATTGATGAGAGGAGACTACAATGGGACTCGATTATAAATTCAGAGGCCATTGCAGTTAAAAATCCTAGCTATAAATTACTTTAGCACTTTTAAAAAATACTTCCGTTTTCTGCATACGAGATAGAAATCATTTCATGGGAAAGAGAGAAAAACAATACTTCCGTTTCATTCTCGAGATTCTTGAAGAAATTTTATTTTTAAAATAAATATTTTGTTCCATGTGTAAACATGAGGACATTAGGAATACAAATATTTCATGTATATTGACGCATATGATCAACATTTGATATCGTAATAGTAAAACCAGTTCCTCCAAGTTCAAGGAAAATTAACGCCTAAATCAGAGAAAATGGCCTTTGCCAATGCCAACTAAGGGTTACAAATAAATGGCACAGAAGTGCCTCAGCTCATAACGGCTCAGGCAATGTCATCATTAACGAATCTCCAGAAAAGGTTGAATCCAACCAGAGAACCCTCCTCAATATTCATAATCAACGTCTTTCCATGGAACAACGTCTCCAAAGGTGAAATCCCCATTGGGCAAAGAGGTATCTTCAAGTCCTGGGATTGCTTGCTCCATAAATACTCTAGTGATCAAACGGTAAACTTCCGTAAAAGCCCATCAAATTGCTTTAATTTCCAATCCTTGTAAATTATTTTCTGTAGGTCTTTCATGCATCTTCAAAATTCTCATTACATGCTTCCAATGGAGGACCGAAGCAGCACATTAAATTCACAAAAGAGGGCTCACTTTACAGACCTCAGCATTGAACCCACAGTCTATTAAAAGCAGCAGCCATGCCCGCTGCTGTTCGGAGAGTCTATCCCTGGGGCCTTTAACTTCGACAAGCCTGGCTTCACCTTTGTAATTCCCATGGAAACGCCACAACAATAAATCTGGCATTCCGCTTGACCAGCTTCGATAATCTTGTGCTAGATGTCGACAGAATGAGGCCAAACAAGGGCCACCGATGCATGTAACAGCTGCCCGAAGCTCAGAGAGGGAATGCCGGTCCCAGTTAACTCCTCTACATGCGGTTCCCTTATGGAATTCCCATGAAGTGATGAGGATCTCCTCAGCCATGCCATCATGAATACTCTGTAGGTGAGATTCTATATGGCTCTTTCTCACTAGATAAAAGCTATCAGTCTCCAAATCCAAGGGAGCAGTCTGCAAAATAGGAATTTTTTTTCTTCATTTTTTTTCCAAAATAAGAGTCAAATATATTGAAGAAAAGACCTGTACAGAACTTTAGACAGGAAAAGCGTTGACGAAAAAAGTGTTTACTCCGAGCAAGTTTGATAGTATCCGGTATTTTATTAATTTAATTGCCTTATAATGAGGCCTTACAGTAACAGGGTTATAGATATCAGGCAAACTGGTGAGCATGAAGCCAATATAACTTTATCATACTTTGCCTCTTTTGTTCTTCCTCTGTCTAAACCCTCTTATTCAAGCACTTATATTTGTGTTTCTCTCTCTCAACATTCTTTTATTTCTCTCCCTGTTCTACATCAACTTTGCGATAGCCTTATAATTGAAGGATTAAACTATTGAAGTTAAACTTGTATCTGATCAAATCTTGGGTGTCAGCTGGCAAACAAGATCACTCTCCCTTCTTCTCCACTCCTGCATCTATCACCACCTATAAATTTTGAACCTGTTCAAATTCTTAGGTGCTACGAGTCTACCCCCTTTAAATTCAGATTAAAGTAAAACAGTAGAAACCAAACACCACCTTATGCTCTCTCTTATTGATCAGTCCCCCTCCTTGAAATTCAGACTTAAAGTATACACAGTAGCAGAAACCAAACACCATATTATGCTTCATGCCTCTAGGTTGCCAGCTTCAGTTGTCACTTACCACTCCAACAAGAGTAATAAATGACATCTATAGGCCATGCAGTGCAACTGAGCAACCTCTGAAGGACCTGGCATGAACACCACCACACCTAAGCCAAGCACGCAAATGCATATATATACACGTATGCAGGAATGTATATAAAGTAGAAAATTTAAAAAATGTTTGAAGCTTGGTAGCACACACTCAAACATACCTGAAATCTGGTGCGGAAGACGTTTGGTATATCAGAAAATATAATATCCCACATAAGAAGACCAAAAATAGTTAACCAAATGCCACTCTCTGTATGAACACCCTGCCATCCTTCTGCAGCATAATGCTGCAGGGCTAGCCGCTCTACCCCACATTGCTCCCCATCTTCTCCATAAAACCTGCTCTTCATACCTATCACAGAATTTAGAGGTCTCCCTTGAACATGAACCTAACTTGTTGGTCAAAAAAACTGAGTCAATAGGAACAGTGGTACTGTAAGATGTAAAAACAAAATTAAATAACTCAACTTTGAATTGAGAGTTTAACAAGCATATTACAATTAAGTGATTACCTCCATGATCTTCCTCTTGACGGACTCTGCAAAACTAGGAGTTTTCCATCGCCTTGGTGGTTTTCCTAACCGAAGGACTCTCCTTTGAAGTGCCACTCTTGAACCAGCGCGCACCCATTGATCCAGTAACCCATTTTCGGCAACAGAAAGGCTCTCGTTAAGATATCCCATGTGCTCCAAGTCAATCGACAACCTCAGTGTCCAATATCCTCTTCTACCATCACAAGTGAAGCACTTTAGCAGCCGCTTCAGTAGATATATTGCATCACTGTACCTGAGTGGAAGACAAAAGTTATCTCAGCCTGGGAAACATCACAACTAGACAAATGTAGGTGTAATCAACATCAGTTCTCCTTATAACTTTATGTTCAAAGAGCTGACCAGTTACCAGTATAGTAAATAATATCATATATTTGATTAAATTTCATAGATGCTAGCAATCGTTGGT